GACGTCTCTCGGTAGTGTGACGGCAAGCAAACGCTCCTCCACGTCTCATGGGGGAGTGAACAAAAATCAGCAGGGTTAGGTAAATCTCTAAACCAAATGGCCTTGACTTCAAAAAGGAGAGGCTCATCTAACCAGCTTGAGCCTGTACACGCCATTCGCGCTCATAGATTAGGTCCACCGGTTGGCGCGAAAGTCATTGGAACCCTGGAACCAGGACACCAGCCAGTTAGCTCCTGAGTTGATAATGATCCCTTCTCTTAAATGAGGTTTTTTTTTTACTTCTATATCTCCCTTGGCAGGGGGTGTTTGGTCGTATCGTCTGGGCACACAGCCTACATTCAGCGTACCCGCAGGCATATCACACCATCCCTTGGCGGCGCGCGAGAACTCTACAGCTCACGATGCTCGAATCAGTCAATGGCCGTTGTTGTGATCGGCCTTCTCATGTCTTGGCGCCGCTCGGACGCATGGAATAGTTTCGGCTGAATCTACCCTGTTCAGGCTTTGCAACGCTCCCACGGGTGTCCAGAAGCGGCGACAACAAGAAAACCGTACTGCGAATTCTTCAGAGCCTGCGGCTCCCCTCGCCATTCTCTTTGGAAATGTCCGACCGTCTGACGGCTTAGGAAAGGCTATTTGCAGGAAGAGCTGCTTAGAAAATGTGGTCACATCTGCGCTGCCTTGTTCATCAATGTACACCGGACAATGAGCCGAGCGTCATGAATCCGTCTTCTGGAACGTTTCCCACGTTCCTTGGCGCCTTCATGTCTTCGCGGCCTGCCAGGGAGCTAGCCGCTATTGATGACTCAACCCTGCACCTGGCTAAACAGTTTGTCTGCGCGGCATCTTTGGACTGTGCTACTTGTGCCATGTTGTCGCATTGTGTAATGTGTGTACTTCTTCCTCGCCGTGCGGCGAACTGGCGGGCGTGCCTTTTCCTTCTTTCCTGGGTTGGTAAAGAGCATGTGTGTGACCTTTACATTTTGGGGACTGAGTTGAAGACTACTTCTTCATTAGGGTGCCTTGGGTACAATTGTTTTCCCCTGCAGGGAATCATGGGAAGACCCAGGCTTTAAAACGCGAGCGCCAAGACGCTTTAAGGAAGCTTTCATTATCCATGTAGTATATCACGCTACCTTTAACGTGTAAATTACTGTAAACAAACGTTACTGTTACCAGCTCCGGCTTCTCTGCTCGTCTTGGCCTTGAGACTTTGATGGCTCCGGTCCTCAAAAAATTCTCTCAGTCGTAACACCATGAATATCGGGTTTAAGGTGTGGTCATATGAATTTATGGCATTATTTATAAAGAAATGAGAGAACGATTCCTAGGTGATTGAGAATTAATTAAGCATTGCAGGCCGCATGCTGCGTTATATTGTTCGGCTCGTGTGTTCTTGGGAAACTCGACTGCCAATCGACAGCGTTTTCTGGCCGCACTGCGATGCCCTTGTAACGTTTCATTATTTTGGGTCCCTTTTTTTGTAGCCGTAGGCAGTGCAGCGGCGGAAAGGCTATGCCTCACCGCATATAATGTCCGGGTGGCCTGAGCCAGGGCTGGAAACTTTGCACGGGCTTTATTGAACACTGTCTTTTCTGCCCATCGATCATTTGTAGTCAGCCGCGACGCTTCATGCGCAGTCTCGCGCTTGGCTCGCACAAGCATTCGCAACCGCGAAAGCAAGCGCGCGGGGTTGTACATTTCGCCGACCGAATTTGTTGGATTACTTCAACTGCGTTACATCTGGTGTGCGAAACAGATAGTAACGAGGTCCGCCAATGAACCACGACCACTTGAATGTCAGCCGCACCCTTCTGCTGGGTAGAATAGATATTTATTATTGTGGCTTGGCGCCATCATTCCTTCCGTTTGATCACTATGTCCTGCCAACTACATGAACAGACTACGAGCTTCACTCCGCGCACTTCGCGCCCTAGAACATCTCTGCCAGCAACATATTCCTTGATATTCCTACAGAGCTGGCGGCGTCATATACTATTACGTCGCTCGCACCGACCATACGGAAGCCACTGAAACCCGCTCACAATACTCCATACCATCTCATCGGTCGCGCAAACTAGCATTTTACATACAGATCCGCAGCATACCCACGTGCCCTTGCATTTCCCCGAACATATTAACATTGGCATTGTCCCTGCAGGTAAGACACGTGTGTTCGTTTGCACCAGAAATTTTCAAATTTTTGTGTCTCTGTTCTCGTCGCTCCTCGTTGGTGACGCAGAGGGACACAGGATCTTCCAACAATATTTACAAACACGTTTCCGGCACAGTTTTGAAGTTGTTTGTTGCGCTAGCGAAACATCGCGCACCGCAGTTGCAGACAGTATTACCAGCTGCAGCGATCCAAGTATGGCGGCTAGTAGTATTTCGTGGGTGAAGGGCGCTCGGGCAGCCCTTTTACAAAAAGGGTCTATTAGTTCTCACCACACTCGCTGGCGAAAACTGCGAACGAGGTGTTGCACGGAAGCCGAGCCACAGCGCAAGTTTGTAACGGTAAAGTATCAACACACCAACAGTCTCATTCACAAGCGCAGACATGAAAAAAAGAAATAAAAGCTCGAAGAAGATGAAAATTTACTTAGTGGAAACAGCTTAGTGTTAAAACAGAAAAAAAAAAACAAAGACACGACGACGTTTGAAGAGACACGTAGCCCAGATACATCCTATTTGCCAACGATGAATGCTGCCATATACCGACCCACCGTTCCCACTATGTACACCTGCTTGCCACGCGGAAGAACTCTGTTCGATTTTTGCAGAGATCTGGTGGCGTAGCACAGCGGGCCCGTGCACCTCCCCTGATGTTTTCGTTGTTGTTGCTGTTGCCATGGCATATGGAGCATAATATAGCATTACACAGCATCTGCGTGCCCAGCCTCCACTCCAAATAAAAGGTGCCCCCCCCGCCACCCCTCGAAAAATATTTCTGCCTATAGGCCTCTGCACGGACCCATAATTTTTATCGCTTGCATCTATCGTGATTTGTCTCTCGTGAACAGCGCCGGTTTCTCGCTCACGTCGATAGCGGCAGCGGAATATCTGGGAAAAGGGCTGTGTAACGCGGTCACGATAAAAAAAGATGCGTGGCAGATTAGCAGAATCGCACGAGGCGTCACACCGTGTGAATTGCGTAGCGGGGGGTTCTGCTAAAAGCTTCCGATTCGTCACAGAAAACTTAGCAAAGGCTTAGTCCTCACCCGCATTATCATCCATCAAAATAACAAAAAAAAGTGTGCAGCTTCGCAGGTCGGTACATCGTCTCGGAAACGTGGTGTAGGGGCTTCGCAACTTCATTGAATTCAGACGACTTATTGTGCAGTGAGTACCTCGCGATTGTGCCTGCACGTGCCCCAAGACATAGTTAACAGTGGCTCTGTGAAGGCCGTACGATCTGCCAACTTACGCTGAGATTGAGCTGCGTGTTCCGCTTATAGGCCTGGTGTTTTATTGTCTACGAAATGCGTCGTCGGAGGCAGCTGCGCCGTATTCTCGCCGTTCTATTGTGTAGTTCTTACGTACAAGGGAGAGTTGCTTCAACAACTGCCACTCGGCATAATGTCGATGCAGTTTATATGCCTGGCTTAGAAAATCAACATAAGAACGTCCCTGGTGGTATGAAGCGACTGCGCTTGAACTTACTTCGCCTGTGTATGTACTATCCAGCAATTCTGAGCACGTGCTGTGTATTCCTGGAGTTTATTCGCTGGAGCGGAATATTTCTCGTACAATTCCTGATGTCCGTGGCGAATTTTCTTGCACCTACAACCCATTATTAGAACATCATTGAGAAGACACGCGTTTTAAGCTGAGTTGAAAATCACATGCCCTTTAATTGTTGTAGCCTATATATTTAAGAAGTAGGGCGAACGAAGACTAGTGGTATCACCCCACACATTTCTATGAATGGGAAAACTTTGTTTCGTCTCGGTTCAGTGGAACAGCTGCCGTCTTTGTCTCGCGTTACAGACGGCGTCAAACATTGTTGCGTTCCCAAAGTTTCGGCACATTTCCCGCAGCCGTGCTCTGCCGCAGTTCTGCTCTGGTCAGCCTCTTCGATTTATTTAACATCGAAGACCGACGAGCTACCACAGACGACCGAGCGCTTCGAACGTGTAAAGTATTTGTTTCCTTCCGAATCCGAGCGCCCGCTTGCACTCGCTATCTGTAAATGACCGCACTCCGACAAACACGTCATCCAGCCCGCGCGTTAGACTCTCATCGTCAGCTATCTGTTGTTGTCGCAACTGCATGTTATCTGTTAGCTATAATCCCCAAACCTGCCTGACCAGGCCGATTGTGCTCTTTCTACGCCGGCGAATCGCGTTAAACTCCTCGTATTTCGCTAAACAGGCCGCAGTCGCACCGAGGTCCGAGCATTGAAATTCGACAGAGGGAGGACCAAATCTTATACGCCTGGCTTCCGACGGCACGCGTTCGTGGTACAGCTTCTGTACTATCATGCGTCGTAAAACTAAACGCGAACAGTGGAGCCCGTCTATCAAGCATCAGCGAAAGTTTACAATGAGAGCAGCCCAGTCTTCGCTTGACTTGAGGCGCGCGCTTCCGGTTTTGCAGCAGTGCGCGAACGATGGCCGGTGTTGGCATTCCCAACGCTTTTAGCCGTTTAACTTTTGTTTTCCTGTAATTATTTAGTTCTAGTTCATTTGTGTGTATACAGGAACCGAGCAGTGCTGCGAAGCCGGATGTGTGCACCTGTCAGTGGTGACGACTGGACTGCGCTCACTGGACGGAAACGCGCTCCGTAGTTTGCGTTTTATTTGACGCCGATAGTGCGCACACTGGTAGATTCGGCCTTTTTTTCTTTCCTCCTTTCGATCTTCAGTTTCTACTTTTTTTCTGTCCACCCGAAACAAAATCTTCGCGTTGAGCCCCTTTCGTTTGCAGCTGTAAGATCTACATTTCCTTCTTTGACCCTTGCATATGTTCGTTCCCGCGTCACATGTATTGTACCCCCGCAGAACACCTGTTGTCGCCGCATCAGGCGCACCGAGGTGCCGCTGGACACCCGCTTGCGGCGGCCATGTCCGTCGAGCAAGGAGTCCGCGGCGGGTCGATCAACAGCGACCTCCGGTGGGACTACGAGAGCGGAGACGCCGATGAACCGCTCATTCGAGGCAGCGAAAGCGGCGACGCTATGCGTCTTTCGCCGTGGGCGCACATCAGGAAGCACGCCTGGATCGTGCCGGTTATTTACACGCACCTCTGGGCGGCCGCCGTCATCTCGCTCGTGGCGCCTTTCTTTCCGCCACTCGTAAGTACACTTCTTTCATTTTATATTCACACTTCACCTACATCGCCATATATAAGGCCCTGTATAGGGGCAGGTGGAAATTCGGTCATAACATGACACAGTTAGCAACAGATACAATAGGTACAACAATGCATACGCACCGTGGTGGTCTATTGGTGCTCGGCTGCTGACCCGCAGGTCGCGGGATCGAATCCCGGCCGTGATAGCGGCGAAAGTATTCGAGGCCCGTATGCTTATATTTAGGTGCACGTTAAAAAACCCCAAGTGGTAGAAATTTTCAGAGTTAACCACTGCGGCGTCTCGCATAATCATATCTTGGTTTTGATATGTTAAACCCAAACAATTATATAAACGACAGTACACTCGAATTAGATTGAATTACACAAATTATATACACAACGATACCTATTAAACTTCCCAATGTGTCTAGGTAAACCGTTCTTATTGACATTAATATTGTAGGTACTGTTACACAGAAAATTTTCACTGTCAGTTTCACTGACGATATCATCAGACGTTTCATTCTTGTATTGTTTTTACAAAAAAGAAACTGTCAGGAGCGTGTGCTTTGTAGGAGTATTCTAATATTTTTTTGTCAATTATCTCGTCGAATTCAGACATAGGTTGGTCTTAAGAGATAATCAAAGTTGTATGACCATCGCGAGAAAATTTCCATTCTGACCTACTGCTACCAATTAAAGGAAAATAACATATCAGTCTCGGGGGATTTCTCGGCCGCCACTAGAGAAGTTCGAAAGTGTCTCTGTCTAAGATAGCACGGATGATATCAGGCGAGGTGGGACAAAAGTTAAAAAAAAAAGCCTATGATAAAATAAAAATTGGCGGTGAACTGTACGATTGGGATCAAACTAAAAGTACACAAGTACCGAGTAATCGACGCCGCGAAAACAGGCGGACAACAAGCCGTCAGCTTCGAGCAGGCGCGAGAACCACGGATTGTAATAAAGGCCTCAAAAATAATGTCTGATGTTTTAGCGTAAATGCTCGAAGTATGATAAAGAAAAACAGCTGACCTAGACAGCAAAGTTACCGCTCACAGCCGCCATGTAATATTTATTACATAAACGTGGCTGCATGGGGACATAAGTGACTCGGAAGTACTACCGCATGGATACCGCACCTATACCGCAAGGACCATCTCCCGCGGTGGCGGCGTTGCTATTTTGTGCATGAACTCGTTGCACGTTACAAGACTGCCATATTATTACCAGCACTGAATGGTGAAAGTTCACTTCGTGGAATTCGATTTGGAGATTGACGGATTTCACCACCCCGCAAACAGTGACGGTGAATTTTTCGAGGCACTTAACGAGTTCTTGTGCAGGGACCGGGCTCCTAACTTTATAGTAACCGGGGATTTCAGCGTTACACTAATTAATTGAGATGGTGATTTTCATGAAGCACTCTTAGCTTCCGCTGAGCCACAAACAGAAATTGTTTCATTACATGGCCTATCGCAACTAGTAAAAGCGCCTGCAAGAATACGATGTGATAGTCAATCAATTTTGGATCTTTTTATTATTAGTGACAGTGTTTTTGATCGTGCCCCCAAAATGGACATACTGAAAGGTATCTCATACCGTAAGCTGCTGCGCCTAAATATCGAAATAAAATTCCGATCAGGACTGGCAAAAAAAAAGAGTGTATTGTTCACGTGCAAGTGATATTGATATTGTGGATGTTCTAGATTGTTCTTTTTATTTGTTTTCCTCGTTTTACGAATCAGATCATCTCAACTGTTGAGCGTATGTGGTGTTCTTTTTTTTTTTTTTTTGAAAGCCTGGTCTTGACTTGTGTGAAAAAGGTTATCGCACATAAACGACACTGACAGCGTACACATAATTCATGGATGACGAAAAAGATTGCACTTCACAAACGCAACTTAAACAAAGCCGAAAGGCATACAGACGGTATCGATGCTTAAATGGTTCAGATAAGATGTCGAAGTTACGTGAACAACTAAAGACGGCATGAAAAAGGTCAAAGATTTTTACGAACAGGTTCATCTTAAAATTTCTTTAAAACATCGCGACAAACATATTGGCGGCACATTTCTTTAAAGAAAGACATGTCTACTCTATCGGTTGGTGTCGTCCCGGCAAGAGATAATGCAGTAATTGCCGAAGCTGTTAATGCTTATTTTGGTTCTGTGTTTCTCGTTGACGATGGCCGTGCACCATTATTTAGCAAATTTGATCACAGTGAACCTATTTAATTATAATGTGTTCATATCTGAAGAAGGCATACTAACAATACTGCTAAAATTAGATGATAAGGAATCACCAGGCATAGACGGTATACCAAATGCATTTTTAAAGCGCTACGTGGAATGGTGTTTGAAATATGTCTTTTTTTATTGAAATGCAAAATCAACGAAGGAGTTGTTGTCATCGTTACTTGGCGACGGCTATGCTTTTTCATTTTATTGTTAGAAATAATAAAATAAAATGAAAACAAAACCCTGGGGCACCTTGTATATACATATACAGGGTGCCCCAGCTATCTTTAGCCAGAATTAATATGCCAACGCACGCAATTACGACGTGACTAAGTGCATATTGCTGACCATAACCTGGAGTGAATCAGACTACTTTTTGTGTTCTGATCAATTGTTCATTTTGACCATTTTAACTAACTTCTGAAGGAATGAAAATGGGTCAAAAATTTCAGTTAGAAAGCTGTGGATCGGTTTGCAAAACGCCCCATTAGACAGTTTCGAACTGCATATCTGTTAATTATTAGTGTTTTTCCGCTAACTACAAATGCCCGCGAAATACATAAAATACCACGTGACAAACCCACAGGCAGGCCTACGCGTGCCGTGATTCTGGTGCTCCCTAACGTTCTGCGTACGAACGATACACTTCCTTCGCATCGGTTCATGACAGTGGTAAACAGTCACATCGGTCATCGCTTTTTTGGCCCATAGCGAAACGTGTTCATCGCAAAGCCACCATCATCGTTGCGGCCCTGTCGAGACAGTACAATCAGGTGAATGCTAGATGTCGTTCGTATGCGGAACTCTAGGGAGCACTAAAATCACCGTGCGCACTTGCACGCGAGTGGGCTTGTCACGTGGTATTTCAAATGCGAATGCATTTCTTGGAGGGGGGGGGGGGGCTTTGTCAGGCATCCGGCGTTGTCCACGGGGCCGCTCTCACTCCCTCTCCCATAGCAACAGCTGCGGGCACGCGCGCTTTTCCTCGCCCCTGGCAACCGAATCGTGTGGTGCAAGAGTGTAGGAAAGGGTAAGTGCACTGCTTCGCCGCTCGTTCTCCCACAGTTCGCTCTCTCTCCTCCCTCCGCCCCACTTTCCCGCCCCTGCAGCGAAGGGGGCACGTATGTGTTCGGGGAAGATGACCTCAAAGGGGAGGCGTACTCCCCGAAGATAATTTCACTGCTTCGACACTTGACGTTATGGTGGCTAGAATACTTGACATTGCACAAGCGAAAAATGCTGTCATCGGTGCCGCGAGTCTCGCGTAGGCTGCGAGTGCGGAGTGTCCCGCGCAACGTATTGAGACAGCTGGAACACCGGGCACCCTCGTCGTCTGCCAAGCTGGCGAGACCTTCAGCGGCACCCCGTCGACTCCCCTACCTGAACCACGAGCAGGGCCTGGTCCGCGTGGAACTTTTTATCATGCAACCGCAACTTTATTAACCCCAGTTTCAAAATATTGTTTGTATGCAAAGCTTCAAAAGAAAAGCCCAGATTTGAGAGCACAATCTTTTTTTTGTAATGTTTCTTTTTTTTGTTTCTCTCCGTCATGTCTACTTATTTTATTAACATTTCGAGTTATGCCTACTTGTACCTGTTGTACGCGTTCTTTTAGAGCATTATTTGTTTTGTAGCTGTTCTATCGTCTCGCGCGTATTTTTACTGCCTCCTTCTAGTTGACTTTTTTGTTAGCTCCTGCCATTGTCCTGGTTTCAAATTAATTATTTTTGTTAATTATTTTTGTTCTTAATGCAATTTTCGTATCTGCTTATGAGTACGTCAGTCAGACTCGGACATCATTACACATGCGACTCCACACGGGTCGACCGGCCTACCGAAAAAGTTTGAAGTGTACCCTTGGAGGCCTTTCAGGCGTCGCAGACCTGAACGTAAAGTGGAAGCCTGTGAGTCTGCCACACGCCATTATTAGGTGGGCGGGGCCTCGCCCGAAGTGTGTTACATACTGTTAGATATTAGGCATTTTTGTATAGATCAAGTATCGGTCGAATATGAAGAAATAGAATATACCACTGACCGGTTCATACCGCAGGCCGATTCCAGAGGCATACCAGCATGGAAATATGGCTTTTTCTTCTCAACAATGAAACTCATGATGCTTCCAGGAGCTGTGATAGCCGAAAAGTTGGTATGTTCATTTGTTCATTCATTCATTATTTGATTTTATTTTGCTTTGATTTTTGGTCACGCACTTCCATGTTCAAAAACGTGCACATCAGTGTCTTGCAACGTATTTAATAGGCGCAAAGTGAAGTCATAGCGCCTCACATCTTAAAATGTATACACTTAGTGAATAAATATATAGACGTGAAAATTCTTCTAATGAAACAAGCTCAGAAATAAATGGGTGCTGCGGTATCATTTTAAAGTGACATCTAAGGGTGGCGCTCATGTTACATCGGGAGGTAAATAAAGTTAGAACACTAATTTTAAGATATACTGCCTAATCAGTCAAGTGAATTAACTTTGTGTCTATCAGGCTGTAATTTAACATCAGTATTACTTCATTTTACGTGTATGATAACGAAATTCTTGTAGTTTTCTTAAAATATGATGGCACTTGTGTTAAAATCTGCGCCATCATACGACGCCATATGCATAGCAAATTTATGCATCGCCGGTGACCTTCATTCTCTGCAATAATCAAGATTCGAATTCGTCTTTATTTATTTTTTTATGAAAGTGGAGGGTACAGGACTAAAAGCTGCACAAGTAGCTCAACAAGAATCCCGACTCCCTGGTACATGGTAGTGCAGTGAAAATTCATAGATATAAATGTAATCAAATACTTAAAATACTATAGCTATAGTATAGGGGCCGCAGTACACTTTCTTGCGATACTCCTTTTTCAACAGGCTGCTCGGTAGACTGCCTTTTTGATATCTACATACTGTATCCTGTGTGTAAGGTATGAATGAATGAGATCGTGGGCTGTTCAACGAACACCATACTTTTGGAGCTTTAGAGGAATAATAGCATGATGAATAAGGTCAAATGCTTTCGAGAAGTTAATGTATACACCTATCATTAATTGCTTGTTATGTAATGATTCTATATTTTTGGGGGGGTATACTTAGAGCCGCGTCTGTTGAGCAATGTTTCCTGAACCCATGTTGAAAGTCATGAAGAAGGTTATGTTTGCTGAAATACGACGTCATACGAAAATGCATTACTTTTCTATAACTTTTGAGAATATTGGTAAAACAGATATGGGAGGGGAGTTGCTTAAGATATTCTTATCGCATTTTTTATGTATTGGCACTACGCGTGCAACTTTTAATCAGTTTAGGAAAAACACCATTGGACAAAATGATATTATAAATGTGAGTGACGACTGGGGTTATGATGTCAAGGACATATTTTACGGGAACAATTTGAATTTCTTCCGCATCTTTAGTTTTGATATTTTTCATTGAGTTCAGATAAGACTTCTTGACAACTAATTGGAGAAAAAAGGTGAATTAGGGTTTTCATTCTGTGGAAATGTATCGCTGACATAAGAAGCCGCGGAGATGCGATCTACGCTATCTGTGGGAGCAAACACACAGTTAACGGCGCTTGCGAGTGCATCCCCTGATAGCTCTTTCTCTTCGCTTCAGATGATAAGACTGAACTATCATGTGACTGAACCAGCAATGTACCACTAGTTCAGTCACTCTTACTTCACATGAACGCTATCAGTGATGTACTTCCACTCGCTTTCGATGCGTGTGAAAAGCGAGTTCACACTCCAAACAGGACGGTTGTTATTTTTTTATTTTTTTTTTCGCTCTTGTATCGTTTTCTTTTTTCCGCTGACTTCGCGCCTCAGCGCGCACGGGCTGGCTTTATCTTTTTGATCTTCCTGCACTTCGATTGTTTGGGCGCTCGGTGTATCCGATAACAAAGAGTCAGTTATCATCGTTAACGTAAGGACCACTTTCGGTGATGGTTGCGTAAAACACGCTTCGGTAGTTTTCATGCATTTGTCCCCCGTTTTGCGTTCATTTTCTTTTATCCTACCAGCGTGTGTTAATTTTCGGGCCGTATGCAAAAACAGAGAGATAGCGCATAAAATCACTGATAAAAACGTGTCCCATGCGCGTACCTTCGCTCATACCTTACATACTAGTTCATAGGGAAGCGCGTAGAGGGGGGGGGGGGGGGGGGGGAGGCAGAAGGAGTCGCCCTCTATAGTCACGTAATAGGAGAGGCCGCTAAGGCTGCCAATATATGAACTTATTAGGGAGAGAAAGGTGGTGGCAAGCGTTTGCCCCTTTCCCTCTAATCGGACTGTCATCATCATTCATTCAAACAAACTAGCAACGATCGCACTGATGTTTGTTGGCGGAAACGCACATGTGCCCGACTTGTCGAATAAGCGAGGCTGCGGTTTTCGAACTTCTCGGTTTTCAACTAGCTGATATAGGTTGAAAAAAAAAAAAATTGCGGGTCACTATTTAGAACATTCGGTAATGCGTAAATGGTGTTTCAAATCTATTCACCGTCGAAAGAACGCAAAGCATATAGCTCTGTGAACGTTCACCGGGCCATCGTTATTGAAAGCCTTTGTTATTGGTGGGTTCAATTGTATTGAGACAACATTAACCTGCAGCTGGTAGTTCTCGTGGAGGGTGCTCAGCTGCTTTAAACACGCGTTTAATTAATGGCAGGGGCGTGATACTTGCCAGAACATAAGGAAGAATAAAGGAAATTTCAGGAATGCCAAGTACATGATAATATAGGCGGACATTAGACAATGGAAGCAAAGCAGGTGAGAAGGATGAAGAAAACGTTCATTGTAAAAAATAGCAAGACTGTTCTTTTGCTACCCAAAGTAGGTGGCCTTCGCATTCCAGAGAGATGCTGGCTATACCGCCGCTGTATGTGCTTGGTTCACCAGACTTCGTTGATATTCCAAGTACTGGGCCCTTCACAAGAAGTAACTTCGTAAAGGGCATGAACGATCGTTTCTGTCATTAAACAGCAGCCTATAAAACAAAAGTACAAGTATCGTATTTCTTTCTCGGAAACAGATCTCGGGTGTCTCCGCCAGGGCTGGCTACCTAGGTGGACAAGTAGCCACTGCACTATTCTCTGTCACATGCGGGTGAGATGATAACCACTGCATTTTACTTTGCCTGATAGCACAGATATGATATATTTAATAATGTATGCGTAAAAGGCCATGAAGCGTTTCAATGAAGGTAATGGTTCTGGTTTAAAGAATTTTGCTCGATTATGTAGGTACATAGTTGGACTTGATACCAGCTGGCATTTTCACGAGGCGCACAGTAGTGGCTTGTGAGACTGGTGACTGGATGAAAGCGCGTGGCTCTTGGCAATGAGAAAATAGCCGTATGATGTCTGATTGATGTTCAATATGTACAAAGACTGGGCAAAGGATTAAGCGATGATTCGTTGAGGTAATAAGAACACCAATCCCTTTTACCGTGATACAGAGGTATCTGGCATATTAGAGTACAAGATCAGCCTAAAGTGTCATGTAAGTATATATAGTGAACTGTAAAATGTTTACGTGAAGTAGTCAGTCAGCTATGTCGCTTGCGAGTACCGGGCCTTTTATGTTTCAGTTTACCAATGTTTTTTTAGCTACTCTCATATCATCAAACAATGGCTTTGTTGCACAGCATGATCAGCAAGTTTCAAGTGGGTTTTCACTTGTGCTAGTTTGTTTTTGCTTTGTGCTTTCATCATTGCGGGTAAAGGACACAAACCAGGACTGCAGGCATGCCCTCGTCGTGCACAATGTTTTTTGGGACCCGTGTATCATGTCACATCGTTCTGGTAATGTTTATAGTTTGTGCTACACGTTCGTCCCTGTATTCCCTCTTAGTCTGTATCTTTTACGCGCAACAATGCCCGACTAAATGCTCAGAAAGTTAGAGTACTATTCCCCGAACGTTTCAGCTAGTTGTTGTGTACTCCATTTTTGCGAGTGCAGCTATTACAGCTGTACATAGCAGCTATAGTGACTTCCAACATTTAGGGACATTTTTTTTTATTCATGCAGTTTTCTCTACTGGATAAAGAGCGGAAACGTACTTCTGGGCACATCGTTGCTCATGGCAGCGTTCGGCGGCTGCTGCAACACAGTCTACAGCGTTTGCCTGTACACTTTACTTACGTCAAGATTTAAAGACGACGGCGGTATGCTAATCGTGAGTGCACGTTTCTTTCATATCATGCAAAAATAATGGGATGACCGCGATTCTGTAGTTATCGATTCACTTATGTCAGCCAATAATACATATAGACAAAAGGTCTGTATCATTCATACGTTAACTTAGGGTGGCACAAAAAATACAGCACACAAGAAAAAAGAGGACACAAAATGTGTGGTGCATTTTTCAAGCCGTTTTAAGTAATCATGACCCAAAACCAACTCGCCCAACTTCTTGCCTTACTGATTCAGATGGTAACTTCTGATATGTAATGCAAGAAGATGAGCGGCTGTAGCATCTTTCTTGCTACCATATATACGGCTCAAGCGGCAACTTGAAAGTGACAGAACCAGCTCACAAGGAACACACATTCAAATATACTAAATAAACCACGACTATAATGTTGGCCAAGTGAGACAGAAGTTTATATTTCGACAGAAGCTTGCATATATAGTGTAGAACGAGGAATGTAGATCTACAACAGTGCAGCAAGTCTACGACAGTGAAGCAATGGCTGTTGTGTTACACAGCCAGTTAAGCTGTATTCAGTGACATTCTTTGTGCCATTGAATTCAATAATTGGCAGTTGTTTCCCCCTAGCCACATTAGAGGGAAGGCACAAAGACAGCCCTACACATTGACATAATAGGAAGGGGGGTGCTGCAACTCGTAGGGGGTTCAAAGTCAGTCATATGCATTGACCAATAGAAAGGGGTGGTGTAAGGAACCTTCACCCCCCCCCCCCCCTGAAGGGTAACTCTACCTATGCCTATGACAATGACAGCTTTTCTGACACCAATCTGTAATGAAACCTGGTTCAGCAATGAGCATACTGGCCCAACATGAAAATGACGTGGGCGTTTTCATCTCCGACGTTTTTACCAAGGCAGGGCACTGTTTCGTAAGGCCTCGTGAGCGATTCAACGATGGGACAGTCACACTGGACGCACAAGGGGCTGTAATACAGGAAAGTGGTATAGCACGGGAAAGAGATGAACACAAGAGAATGAGTACAAGCACACGTTACCAACCGATTTATTTTCCAAAAAATACTCAATATAGGTGACAGCCCATGTTCTTGTCCTTTGTTGTGCCATATCCTTTATAGTAACTATGCCCTAACTAGCCCAGCAACAAGTTTTATTAGGCGCTAGAGGTTCCTGAAGTAGAAGCATCATTTTCCCTTTCTCGCATACGCACCCCTCTTCTAGCTCGGTCAAAATCTGGTCCAGTTAATACAAGTTGTGCGGAAGACTGTCCTGAAGTTAAGGCTGTGCACCCCGTGACGGGGACACCACAGGAAACATAGCAGGACCACTAGCTCTACTGACGAGGAGATCGAAAGAGTGATTGTTGCTGGTAGGTAAGCTGTCAGCAAGTTCTTCATTAGCATGCCTCATCAGGTGGCCACTGACAGAAACCTTTTCATCTTTTTCAACACCGTCATTCATGCTACGGTGTCCTCCGTTTGTTCGGCTTCCTCCTGCACTTTCCAGAGTCACTATCGTTTGATCCTCCTCTTTCGGTTCTTTATACCACTTCGGAATGTTACCGCAATGATCCAATGGCTGTTCTCCTCTGGTACAATTAACAGTGGGTAACAGTTGCTCAGCAAGATTTTCCACGTATATCATCATCGCTTCATCACTGCCAAAAGATACCCTGCGCTGATGGTTCCACAAGCCTGCACGCTGTCTTGACCGATGCTTGTTTATTTCAACTTTAATCGAAATGCTTTCACAATTTCTTGATTCGCGAACAGTCAGTTTTCACGGTTAGAATATGACCCTTTTGAACATCTTGCGTCTTCTCCCATGCCTACCAAGAAGCTGTCACAGTCATCGCTATTCTACAGAAACCAGCTCGATAGTAGTCAATGCTGCTGTCATGTCTCATGTAAGCAAGAGGCGGATAGCACCTGTCACGTAGGTGACCAAACCGTGTTCGCGCATTCAGACAAGAAATACTGTCCACCAGCGATTGCATAAAGACTTTCTCATGGTAGCCTGCAGTCTCCTCGAGTTCCTCGTCAACTGCCTCGTATTCAGTAATATGGCGGATTTCTTAGTCCAAGCAGAGCAACTCAGCTTCCTTGCTCTTCAAGAAGTAGATGTGCTTCATGACATGGCTCTCTTCAGCATCACGGTTCTGTAGCCATTCCATCAGGGCCGTAATAATCTGACAGAAGCTGACCCTGAGAGTTCCAAGAACCTTCCGAATACGCTCAGCCGAGGTCATCGCTGTCCACAAACGACCACTCCCGGCTTTCACGAAACCAAACTATGTAATAAACGAGAACCCGTGGTCGGAGATCTGAAATACGTCTTTACTTGATGATGATGATGATGATGACGATGCTTCTAGTATGATTGGCACCTACCCACCCAGGGGGATCAGCCTAAAGTCGGGCAGACTATGTAGTCTGAATTTTTTTGTATGCTAATAGAAGTTACGTAATAATTAGTATAAAAATCAATATTAACGAATTAAAATTTAAAGCTAGACCATGTTGCATAACCTCTCAAGAGCCTCAGACCATTTTGCCAGGAAGACATAAAATTATTAGCGGTTGACTGTCGAAGTAATTAGTACGGCTTATTATGGGATTCTCTGCAGCACTCACAAAACTCCGATGAATCCGATGATGATGATGATGATGATGATGGCCTATATCTATGGGTCACACCCACTCTGGGAAATTGGCCAAGAAACGAATAATTTGAAGATGTATGTCCTCAAGAAAATAATTGTATACAGATAAAAGTGATATCCCCGTCACTTCCTTTTCTTCTCTCGCACCTGCCCATGCCCCACTCCATCATTTTTACCAGTGATCATGGATAGTTGTTAATTCACTGGGAATGCCTAAATGATCGGTCTCCAATCACTTTGATGGCATTCGCAACATTTCTTCAGCGTGTCATTATTTCAGGGCCTGATGGAGTGCCTGTGGGGAGCAGGCACGTTGATGGGATCATCCATAGGCGGGTCTCTCATTGACGTAAGTATTCCATCAAAAAAAGCTACTAAGAGCGTGGCAGTTAGGTGGCAGTTAGTTAAAAAATATATGCAGCTAAGAAGCTGGCAGATTAATGGCAACATAGCACAACAGAAAACACTGAACTAAAGACGATGCACAGTCACATCAGCGGCAAAATTGCTATCCGTAGAATAGATTTCTGTGGAGCCATCCATACATCTATAACTAGAGAATACAATGCGCTAATGTTTGGTAGCACGAGACCATATTCTTTTACCTTTTTATAGGTTATTGGGATCTTCTAGTTTTGTTCTCGCAAAGATGTCCATATGATCTCGTTTGAGTTGTTCAGATAATGACTCAGGCTTTTGACTCAAGGTCACTTGAAGGCGACCAACAACTCTGTTGCTAAAAACATTCCATTCTCGAATAGTGGAAATGATATGACATGACATTCGCAATGATATTGTAAACTTGAGAGATAAAAGAATTTGGCCTTACTCTGACACTATGCCAGCTTATTCTAGCTCACCTTTTGCTGAGAACCAAAGGTTGAGGTGCTGAAGTAACACTGTTCTCAGTCTTATGCAATAATTCACTTAGCTCGCAAATACCCGGTACAAGTGATCTGCATATTACAAGGAGGAAGAAATAAATAAGCGGAAGGACAGGGAGGTTAGCCACTTCGTACATTATGAGCTTATCAACGGGACCACTGACCTTGCTAGCGATTTCTACCGAAATGCCTTATGTGTCTATTTCGTGGGATTTTTATGTGTGTGTCGACAGCAGACATCCAGGAAAATCATCCTACCGGAGCTGGATTTGAAACCATACACCCACGATGTGAAAGCGAGTGTCTTGACACAGCATTGCCAGCAACACTTGCCAACTATTGCTATAGCAATTCTATATATAGAATTCATCACTGTAGAATTACATTCACATCCACAAAAGTCTCATAATCTTAAATGCTTGGAGAGAACAAATATATCTGAACGATGGCAATGAATTGTGCCCACAGTACAACAATGTCAAATGAGAAGGTACAAGGCCCCCTGCGGTACAAGATACAAAAACCAACATGGGCAATCGTGCACATCAGGAAAACTAGGGCATTGCAAAAAACATGATGCCAAACATGCGTTTCGGTGGTGAAGGGACCGCTCAATAAGCTGACTAAAGGTACAGAAAAGAACAAACACGCCACGCCGATATCGCGAAATACCGATCGAGCCTATAAATGAGTTCGTACCTTTGTTGAAAATTCTCTATAACGGCTCAGGCTAAACGACTCTGCTGATCATTCCCCTTTGCAGAGTGGAATTGCTCCTCAATTGTTTTTATATAATTAGAAAGCCTTTGGAACATTGCTGATTCAGTCATTGCTCATCTATGAGTGTTATGATTGCTCGTAATATTCTTTCTTTTTTACTTGTGGCAGCTTTGGGCATTTCCTCTCCCTTTCTTCGTCATTGGCGGCGTCCTACTTCTGTCATTACCCTTCATGGCACTAATAAATCCTAGGAGTTCCAAGCATGGTGAGCTGATTCATGAAACTAGCAAGGATTCTCCCTCCCGGACTGACTTATTTTTGTACAGTTTATATGCAGTAGCTTAGTTTTTAACCTGATGACTGTGGTGACATCTCACTAAATCTCAGATATTTGTGTACGTATTGTTATATATACCTGCATTTTGGTATGGCATGCTTAACAGTCATTGCTATCTTCGTTCAGTGTGTTTAGATGGCATCGGCCACACATGCCTGGACGCAGTGCCGTGCCCTAAACTTAAATACGAGTAAGCTAGCCCTCCCCCCTTCTTTCTAATTCAAAAATTTGGCATATTGGGACAGGTGGCGCTTATGATGGCAGGTTTAAGAACTATGAAAATTACGTGCTTGTTGACATGGTTTTACCACTTCCTTTGAAAGTTAGTGCGAATGTTGCCATCAATAATGTTCCGTTGCTATTGTATTTTACAGGAGGCTGTTATGAGTTCACAACTACAGCCGACTTTGGTGCTGTAATTGCCCGCCGCCGCCGGCGTTCGTAACCGCTGTTGCGCAAAATGAGAAAACATGAAGTGAGAAAAAAATTTCTAGGGTCAAACGGGATATGAAATTCCGTGCTGCGAGTATTCGTTCGGCATGCTTGTCGAGTATTTTACTATAGAGCCACGCTGGTGCTCAAAGCTCCTTCAAGAAAATGTCCTGTCGGACGCGAGGCTCGCCAGTGGAAGAACTGGCGCCACTGTCGACATGACATACATAGCAGGATAGCAACAATGTTGTCTGCTATGAGAGCACTGGCATGTGCTAAAAACAACATTTTAGAATGACACCTACACTTTATTTCTGATTAAATAGCAATGTTTCCCAGCTTCAGCTGTACGCTTGACAATACTTGAAAGCACTGCAATGCGCAGTCACTGTCTTTGAAGACGTGTTGCGAGCACTTGCAAGAAGGTGTGCGCCATGAAGAAGGTGCACCCCAAGGAATTTTTTTTGTGTGCGCTCACTCTACCTATACCGTAAACATGTAGCACTGGTAAATGATTCTGAGCTTTATTTTTAACCAATGCTGTTATTTTTAACCTAAATCTTCCCTCGTTTTTAAAAGTATTCACAGATATGTCAGGTTGGCTTCCGTGTGGCCATAGGTGTCTGCAGGGTTGCCCTTCGGGGGGGGGGGGGGGGGTGATGGTTCGTCGCAGCGCCCCCTTCCCATCTCAAGCTATTATGGCAATGTATGGTGCTGAACTTTGCGCTCCCCTTTTGGGTGACCAGGTGGGGTGGCCTGCCCCTCTGCATTATCCACTTGTGCACACGCCTATGCGTGTGGCGTTTTTATATGGGGGAGTGCGCCGGCGAAGCATATGGGGGAGCGTGCCGGCGCTGTCCTACAAGCACGCAAGCGAGGCGCGTTTGCACTGTGTGACGCTGTGGAGATACGAAGTCACCCTTTATTGGGCGATTCCGTATCTCCTCACCCCCAATACAGGCATCATGTCAGGCAAGAAATCTTATTAACATGTGTAATATGGCAGGGTAGAAGACTGAAATGACACCAAGCATCACACAGTGCAAACTGCGCAATGAATCGGTCATTGACTACTCTCCACCCATTAACAAGGGCTCAGCCATTATTCTATGCCGTGATCTGCCACAGCACAAAATGCACATTTATTTATTTTATTTATGACATACTGCAGGCCCAGGTAAGGGCCCAAGCAGGAGGGGCATGGGAAGTACAAATTATAATAACCAGAGGGAAACAACATTGTAAGTATGGAACGGGAAAAGAAACAATACAAATGTTGGCATATAAACTAAGCATATGCAAAGCATATACAAGGCAAGAACAAAAAGGCATACACAAGGCATATACAAAGCATAAAAAACTTAACATCTTAACTGAGCAATAGCGTCAATATTGGACAGCTGTTCACAAGGCAAGTTGTTCCAGTCTGTTATTGTACGCGGAAAAAATGAATACTTAAATACGTTGGTTTTAGTGCTATAAGGCGTTAGGGATTCAGCGTGGCGATGCCTTGTCCGGCGTGCTTCGAGCGGAGTTATGAAAGGCTGTGGGTTAAGGGATAAACGGTTATTTTTCAGCAAGAACATAAATTTTAGTCTGAGAATTTTACGCCGTAGTTGTAATGTTGGAATGATATTAGTTAGCATTAGAGTTGATGGGGAATCAGTTGAACGGTATTTGGAGAATATGAATCTTATTGCTTTGCGTTGTATCATTTCTAATGCGTCAGTGTTACGTTTGGTGTAAGGGTCCCACTCAGTACATGCATATTCTAATTTTGGACGGATTAGCGAGTAATAAGCTGTTAGACGAGTGTTGTGGGGAGCCTGTTTTAATTTATGCCTCAAAAAGCAGAGCTTACGGAAAGACGACTTGCAGATGTTAGAGATATGCGTATTCCAGGATAAATTGTTGTGCACCGGATAAATTGACTGCGCACCTATAAGTCACATAATGACTTATAGGTGTGCAGTCAATACCATGGGTCTCTACAGAATGACAAAACATGGCATAATGAGTGCTTCCCTAAATCATGAATATTATAATGATTTATAATGTAATAGGAGCTTGCATGCTTACTTAAGTTAGCTGCTCCAGATAGTCTACAACAGGCTCTGGTAAGGCCGCTGTTCCAGCTTTCCCTGTGAGTGTGGTGGGCATTCAGCGCACTCCTGGGGACATTTTTTTTCTACGGAGCAGGGCGACCTCATGCAAAGTCGACTCAGTGTTAAGTGCGAGTAGCACCACTTGTAGTATAGCTGAAAGTTATGACACTCATAAAGATTTACTTAAAACAGGCATCGAACCTGATCTTTTTTCCAACAAACAGACTTTAATATTTTTATTTTATTATTTTTTCAATACTGTGGGTCTTTTCAGGCCTATACAGGAGAGGGCATACAAAGCAAATAAGAATTCATATTACGAAGATGAAAAGAAAGGGAAAATATGCAACACAAAGCAGCCAAAACAACAATATAACAGCACAAAAGCAATAAACGAACAATGCATATGTGTTTCACCGGAAAGAAAAAAAACAACTAGTTATCATGATAATATCAGACAGTAACATAATTCATACACAGATGCAGGCCGTTAAGCACGTGAAGGGATGTGCAAGTACATGCACAATACATTGTTTTTGCCTTTATTTTGCCCGCAAATACCGCAAAACCTATTGCAATGCCTCTAAATTAATTTCAAGCAGCGATGAAAATGATTCAAGTGATTGAGCACTGACGACGTCATTCGGCAAGTCACTCCACATCTCTATAACTGCGGGAAAAAAAAGAATACTTCAACGTGTTATAACATGACAGGAATGGGCATATGTATTTCTCGTTAGTTCTACTGGAGTGACAGTTCGGAGCTTTTAGGTAATCATCCTTATTTAAGTTTACCAAGTTGCTTGAAAGGATAAACAAAAACTTCAGACTAGCTAATTGTCATCGGCTAGCAAGATAAAAAATACTTGAAGTGCAGGGACGTTTTTGCTTTGTATATGAAAGTGGCACTTGTGGTGAAAATTGTTCTCTCCTGTTGTGCAGAGTGCCCAACGAACGACATCGTGCCTCAACAAGAATGTGTGGAGAAGAAGTACTGGACCCTCATTTATGATCTCATATTTATAGTCAATCTTGGCACTGTTACAATAAGTTGGGCTATGACCAGCTTTAACGAACCAACATTGGAACCGTTCTTGCGTCAGGTAAGCATAGTGCAAACATTCTCATAATGAGTATAATTCTTCGCAGCGCAATAACTAAGAAGGGGCAGAAGAAAGACAGAGCGCTCACAACTTAAAACGCTTAAACTTATTCACACAACAGTCATGTGCAATTCACAAAAGCCGCAGTTCAATGTGTGATTAACCATAGTAAGTACAACTTGTCTTTATCCGTTGGAGCAACAGAAAGCATGCCGATACATCCATCTTTCATCTTTCTCTCTCCCCCTCTTTCACTTATCTTTTGAAAGATGGATGTGTCGGTATGCCTTTTATTTGTTTAATCCGTAAAAAAAAGTTATCGCTATCAAATATTTGCCTTCAGGGGACACTGATTTGTTTTTACTCCATTTCGGTGGATTTATGTATACCGAATGCAAATGATTTTCTAAAAGATGTAGCGCAGGCAGTTCAAAGTGCCCACTGGATAATATTGCACAGGTTGCGTCACGGAGGACTGCTCATAGGTCTAAAGGACGAGCACTACAATATAAATGATAATCTTATTGCTTCTAAAACATTGCTGCGAGCGCATGAGTATGCGATTCTCATAGGAATCAAATACATCTATAAATCTATAGTGCAGTAATTAGGAGATAATTCCCAAGTGTCTCCTGTGTGAACTTCTTGGTTAACTCTTGTGTTACGCGGTAAAGTCTCGTTGCGTAAACATTTATATTGTAGTACCAAGCCAGGATATGTGAATGTCTATGCATGTGGTTGTCCACATATGTGATTGTTTATGCGTTGTGCGTAAGCAGCATGACGTGTAAGAGGGTGTACCCTGTGCCAAACAGATGCCAGCCACTTCATAATTATGTTATTCAAACAGCAATAACAGGCGGATACACAGCCGTGTCTCAACATGGTAACGTACAAGTTATACTCAATTACATGGAAGCTCAATTCTTCTTATAAATATGTGGATGTTGCGTAGATATCAGTTTTAACTCAAATTGCCATATGGTGCTCGAAACTGTAACATGCGAAATGCATATTTCAAATTGCAGTTTAACATGTCAAGCACACAAGTGGGAACGGTATTCACAGTCCAATTTGTTGGATATTCTATCGGCGCCTTACTTGGAGGCCTTTTTGCGAAGTTCAAGGTGAGAAAAAGACTGTTCTTTGAACGTCGTTATTCCCGTGCTCTGCTATTTCACTATCAAGATTCAATGCACTTATGCAAAGTGGTGTGGCATATTACAAAGGCCAACATTTGCCCAGATGTGATTAAGACCTGTCATAACTAATAGCGAATGCTTCAACCTGAAACAATGATATTTCTGCAGTCACTATAAGTAATGAAAACATTTTGCACTATTTAGTACAATTTATCTACATCCCCTTTTTATGTAACCCCCCATAGAGGGGCATTTAACGTTATGAAATGAAATAAAATGAACTCGTTAATCCGGGGTGATCAGACGTCACTACTAAAAAGGAATGTCGATAGGTGCTTCATTGAGCGCATTTTTCGTTCAGCCTACTTTACTTGCGCGTATGTGTTATTGTTACAGTTAATGCGTATTTTGCTTCACCGTGAGCATTGATAGTTGTTCAAGCAATAAAAAATAAATATTGTGTCTGTTAGATATAAAGTACCACTAAAAGTAAATAACCTATTTGATATCAAGAAGTTATAATTTAGCACTTGCCATGATATGTTCTGACCTTGAATTTTATGTATATGACTCATCCTAAGTGGGTTAATATATTTGTAATACTATAAAAGCTATGTCACTAATACTGCTATCGAGTCTCAGTGTCCTAATAATTTGATGACAACCAGTGTCTGTTTATTTGTTTGCTTGTTTGTTTTTTTGTTCACGATCACGTATTGTGCATTTCTTTCTTCCAAAGTTGCTCAATTAACCATCTAGCACATGCGTCCCGTTTCAAATCCTTACATTCTTTTCTCAAGACAGTCAGTATTTCAAAATGAATATTGAAATAGGCATGCGACGTTACCAAAACCTCATGTTTTGCTGCGCAGTGATATCCAGTATTAACTATTTCCTTTTTCCAGCACTGTCGAGCTCATCAATTTGAAACTTTGTCTCATTGTTGAACTCTGCTTAACAAGAATTCCGGCTGTTTTTCGGTAAAGGCGTTCTTGAACATATACATGTTGGTTTGTGCATGCATGTCAGTGTATGACACAGTGAATCCTATGCTACCTGGAAAGGATATTTCTGATCACTCCTGTGTTACTTTTGCAGTCTAGGTGCTTAGAGGCTGCATTGCACGTGCACTGCACGTATGCTTTCAATTGAATGTGCATCACGACATTATGTGGGGAAAAGTATATGGATTTACACACCCTTTCTAGTTTGATTGTTTCTCGACTTTACTTGTTCTAATGTTTATTTCTGCTTAACATATGCACAACTTTTTTTTAAATTTTTCTCCTTTCACAGATGGAACCATTCCTGAACTTTTTTGGAATGCTGCTGTCAACGATAGGGTACATCATACTTGGCCCGATACCTATCATACCAATTCTGCCGTAAGGAAAACTACCTCCGCACTTTATTCACCTCATGCATCTATAGAAGCTGCGAGGTGTCAGGGCCAAAGAGATGTGTTAACCTGATCCATCGTGCTACACAAAACGTTAGTAGCCCTTACAGTTTGGAAAACCTTATAAATTGACTAGCAATAACTGTCTAGCTACGAGCAACACATTGTTGTTTTATAAGGAAGTCTGCTTTAGAGTAACATCTCTCTCAGAGGACAGCACTCAGCTACTTAGAAAAGAAACAACCATGCATAATTTCTTAAGGGAGTTGCCAAAGTGACTTGTAAGCATAGAGCTTTACTGTAGATTGCCGCAATTCCGAGAACATTGTTCTTTACTGCATCAGCATGGCATCCTTCAGCTTATTTCTAGCATAATTCAGGGTCTGAAATGGCAGGCGCATCCCGCAGCCACCAAAACCCGTCTTTCTCAATCTTTCGCATCAAATTTTCACAAAGTCAGAATTTCACTGATGTGCGCAATCTTCAATGTCAGCTTCACATGTCATTCATATCATAGAAAGAACCTTTATTCCATTATTTTCAAATTCAGTGAAGCCTTCATAGAAATTCTTCTTTGTTACTTTGTACTGCAGGTATGGTTGAAATGATGGTTCATATAAAAGATGAAATCCTTTGTTAGAGGAGGTACCATCTAAAACTAGATAATGTGCAACCACTTCATTAGTTCAAAAACGGTCTATGTAGCTGCTGAAAATATTCTGGAAATGTCACGGTGCTTACTTGCTGGATTTTGTGATACACACATGACGTAAAAACACTGGTGCCCTATCTTCTTTTGAACTTGCTGTCTTTTTTTCTGAAATATTGGCTGTCGTGCGAATGACCATTTCAAATATATTATCAGTTTGATCTGATTCTCTGCTTTCTTCACATATTTCAGGAATGTTTTCTTCGTATACGTCTCGCAGATATTCATCGGCCTCGGCATGGCAGTCACATATGTCAGCCCCTACATGCATGCTCTCAGACACACTGTGTAAGCCAATACTTATTACTGTTTCAGTAATCTAGTCAAAGAGAAATTTTATTCGATGCTATCGGTCACGGCATTGGGCTCGTGATTACCCATTCGTTTTGCAAACTTTGAAAGACACCATGTAATAATTTCAAAAATCTCACTGTTACTGCAATTAACTGATGGATTGGATGGAGCACTTACAGCAGTCATTTCCAAATAACAACATATAATTTGTTGTTGTCTCTATAGAGGAAAATGTACAGTGCTAACATACGGAATGAAAACTCTAAGGATCAAGAAAGAACTCGCGAAGTTAAGTGCCACGTAATGTACGATTTAGCAAACAACATTTGGATGGCATTAAGAGACAGGAAGATAACAGTGTATTAGAAAACAAACAGGGGTAGCCGACATTCTGGCTGACATTAGGCACAAAAAATGGACCGGTGCACCATAGAGTTTCCTAATACTAACTCGAGAAGACACTGGTACTCGTTCATCCATTGTGGGAATGACGTGTAGTACACAAATTTGCCTAGTCTTCGTACTTGCAACTTCGAACGCACTTGTGACTTTATTTATAGCTGTACTTTAGTTTTGTTTCGAATGAAAAAATGGACTATAGTAAACTTTGCGAGCAGATTTGAATTAGTCAGCCTTAAAAGTTCAAGGTGATGAAGCGCAACTGCTAAACCTTTGCTGAACTTTGTATTTAGGCAAAGCAGATTCAGGCCACCCACAGCCAAACGGAGGCAAAAGAATGAAGAATAGACAAAACTAGGCAAATTTGTGTACTGCCCATCGTTCTCACGCTTGCTGAAGAAATGCCATGCGTCGCAGCTCGCATAGAAACTAGCGCCAGAGTTCCCTCTAGCATATCTATAGAAAACCCTATGCCGGGCATGTCACGTAATGCAAAGGACTGCCAACCAATGGTCAGAATATCCAACACTGGTTAAGTCGTTAGTTAGTGCGACCTAATGTATATCAAGGGAGAGGAGACTTGGCCGAAGACGGCAGACGGTCACTTAGATCGACGTTGATTAGAGCAACGTAATGGATATCAAAAGAAGACATAGCCGAGGACGGCAGAGGGTCACTCAGATCCATGCTGGTTAGAGCAACGTAGTAGCTATCAAGGGTAAGAAGGCATAGCCGAGGATGGCTGAGGTATAAAACATAACCAGCTGTCATAGGATAGAATAATTTGGATATTATTGGGAGAGGGCTTTGTTCTGCAGTGTATGTGAGATAGCCTGACAATGAGGATGAATATTACTTTGCTAGCTTTAACAATGAGTTGGAGTGCTAGGCGAAGGGCTAGTTCGGTCGCTAATCAATCATAGTACTGTTTAACGGCTCTATTATAACAAACTTCCATATCCTGGGAAAGTGTCATCATTACACCCAATATACCTTACACAAGTATTCGTTATATATATATTGGTACTATCAGCACACTCGTAGAAGCGTTATACTTTTTTTGATTTGGTGTAATCGATAATTCTGTCTTTTTATGTCACACTTTAACTGTTTATTTTAGTTATTGCATGCTTGACTACATTTAAGTGGCACTATGAGAAAGCAAGAGATTTGCTTAGATTGATGATTTATAATGTTAAAAAATACTACTGCCGGCATGACAGAAAAAAAATTTGGTCAGTGGACTTTGATTAAATTTTTCACTGGATTCTCTACGTGTGATGGCAGCGTGACGTCGCAGACTTCAATTTTAAATGCGAATGCATTTCTCAGTCGGGGCTTGTCAGGCTTCTGTCGGCGTCCGCGCGCCGGGAGGTGTTATCTCTCCGCTCTCACACTCTCTCCCATAGCTGCGGGCGCGCGCGCTTATCCTCGCCGCGACCAGCAGCTGGTGCGGGCGGAGTAGCGAAGAGTGAATGCGCTCTGAAGTGTGAGGGCTCTCGCATCGCGGGAGCTCGGCGGAACTCCTGCATGTGTGGAGAAAGTGTGGGAAGGGTAGGTGCAGCGCTTCGCCGCTACTTTCCTCCCCGTTTGCTATATCTCCTCCTTGCGCCCTGTGCACTCTCCCGTCGTTTCGCTCGTACATATAAGCGCGCGCCTCACTCTCGACCGTTCCCAGGCTGATGAATGTGAAAATAAATAGTTACCGTACAAATACTCGTTTCGTCATTTAAATTACTACGCCGTGTACTCTCAGCTCAACAAATGCATTCGCGTTTCCTTGATATTCCCTTCGGAGAGGTGGGGGCAATTTTTTTAAATGTTTTGGCCACAGTGGCTAATCTGGAAGAACACATTTGCGGCGTCTATTATGAAACTACCTCTTGAGGCTTAAAAATATGCAATCTGATCCAATCCATTTTGCTCTACAGTGAGAACGCTGGTTACCCCGACACTGAGAAAACTCACGGTGTAGTGACAAGTGCGACTTACCAATTCATGGTTTTTGGGTAAGTAAGTAAAGTATCTGGTGGTACCCACAACCTAAGTGCTCACTGACAACTTCAGTTTTGCCACATTTGCTGCAGTGCCGTGATAACATCTCCCGTAGCGGGATTTGTGACCCAGAAGCTTGGCTTTCCATTTTCCTCCATGATTTTCGCCGGTTTCCTGGCTTTTTGGGTAAGTTCAGTGATATTTTCACAGATAAAGCTTATTGAAAGCGAAGGGGGGTGGGCAGTCGTTTCTGTTTTGTTATTTAACATTACGTATTCGTTTGCAGCATACAGAATCAACTTGGTATAGAAATGCACACGCACATATAAATATACAGGCGTAAACATGTATTTGTATAATCGCGGTCCACTAGAGTACTGTGATTACTAAATATTTGTTAAGGAACTAACCATTCGTGGTGGCACTATTCGCGTATACTAATCCGGCAGCGTATTCCACTGAGCTAGATTTTACTACGTTCACTTTCTAAGTTGTTTCTAAGTTTTGTGGCAAGTATACGATTAGTAATACTAGCACCTCCAATACTTTTTCGTCATACTCTCCAAGCGGCCAGCTCTGCTCCAAGGACGCTTTTCATGACGTATACTGCATCTCCTTTATCTTTTCTATTACCTTGGTTTCACGCTTTCGAAAAGACGCAAGAGGTAGTAACACTAACATCAATGTCTTTTATTATTTATGACGGTAACGCCGCAAATACCAAACGAACGGGCAGTTAGCACGCATGAAGCAACAAGGCACATGGTTGGTTTTTGTTATTCCAGGACTTTTTGCCTGCCAAACGTCAGCTTTTTGCCGCGTGACCATTCTCGTGAGACATTGAACTATTTTGCCCTAATAACGTGCGGACTCCGGGAAGCTGAATTACAATGCTTCTTCTTCTTTTTTTTTTACAGACCATCGTGACGGGTGTTGTGTGGTTGCACCTAGATTACTCACTTTGCGGCAAGAAGCGACCACCGGAGTGTCAAAAGCCTTCTACGACAGACGAGGAGGACAATGTGCAGGCAGAGCTCTGCTCTTCGTGACGTTGCAGAAAAGTGCATCTGACATTCACGCTTGCTCTACAAGCAGCAGTGCTCGTGTTGTGTACATAAGAAAAACTGGACCCATGGAACGTCATGAGTGGTTTCAGAAGGCAGCGACGGCGTTGTGCGTAACATGTGCTGAAGGGAACGTGAATAAGCGTTTCTAGTACTAGCAATTGAGTGAAATGTTTTAACGCGACGCTGTTTAAAAGCTAATTGAGCATATACTCTGGTATTGTCGTGGGCGTCACTGGTTGCGAGCGAAAAATTGCGGAGATGGCAAATAAGATTCATCGGTTCGAGCCGGAACTGATTCAAGCATTTTGCGTGGCAAGCAGGTATTCGAACACAGAGCCATGCCAGTGCTAAAAACTGTTTCGAAAAAAATAAATAAATAAACCTACAAAAGGTTTTTTGTTTTTGAATCTGCCATTACAACCACATTGTGAATCATCATAAAACAAGGTAAAGGCGTGCTAACACGAAAACAATAGGGAATAACAATATACGATCGCACAGAAAAAGAAACTAGACCCAAATTCATCTGTGCCTGCGCAGCTTAGTGCCACCCTCATAATCCGGCACACGTGAGGTATTCAACTCATCAAGCATTTTATTTGTTCTTAAAGTAAGTTAACGGAAGGCTGGCGGGATGTTTTTTTTTCGGAAATTTTTCTGACATTACAGCCCCATTTGCAATCATCATAAGACAGGGCTTTCACATGTGCTTCCACTGCTTCAGATATGTCAAGCCTCAACTATTAAACGTGTTTCTTCATTCTTCTGTTTGCATAAGACTGGGCATTCATTGAATTTTGGCGTGAATTTGCACTTTGGGCAATGCATGAGAGGATTATGTGGTGAGCCTCACATCTTGTGTTCCATCAGTCTCTGATTAACACGGTAGGCCATTTGCCCACTGGTCGCAGCTAAGAGGAACCTTCTACAAGGTGTTTCATGCAACAGTAACTCAAAAATTTTATGAACAGTGTTTTGCCGCAACTGAATGAAATCAACAACTTTTCATCACCTGGCGCGCATCAGGCTATTTTTCATATCGCGTTTAACTGGTTAGGTAGCCAAGATCAATTATGCAAAATTTGATGTTCATTAGAACCAAGTGCGTTTCTTCAGTATTGGAGGTCATTCCAAAACGACCAGTCCAATTTTTTTATTGCAACGTAAAAGCTGCGTGGTGGTTTTTCTGGCGTTCAAAGAGCCTGCGAAATATAAAATAAAATCAAGTGACAGTACGCGCCCATGCGCTGCCAAATCGCAGCGCTCTCAAGCATGTTTCGGGCGAAAGAGATGTATGCAAAACTGAAAAAAATAAATACAAACAAAAATAGGAAAGCAGAAGTGAAAAGAACCAGTTTGAATCTGCATATCCCCCAATCGCCCTTCCTTGTTTCAAAGAGCTAGTGAAAAAGCCACGTTATCAAGCATGTCAGGTCCACAATGACCAACTAAAATGACTTTTAAAATCTCAAGTTTAAATATATTGTCTACACTGCCTACTACGTCTTCATTCATTAGCCGTGGGTTACCCATCTGCCCGGTCTGCCCCCAGTACACAACCGCAACATAGGATATTCAGTGCACTGGGCACGGTCATATTTGTATTTAGTACAGTACAGCGTTTTCTTTGGTACGTGTCAAGCTGCGCATCGTGCAAAAGGTGGCCCGTACTTGGCTTGTGTTAATTTCACCTATCTTTTCGATGATGTCCACGAGCTTATGCCTTCTTCCTATGACAATACTGCGGAATCTCAGCTTGTATATATACGCAACTTCATATTTCGTGATTGCATTCAATTAGACGAAAGACCCGACTGCAGTTGTGTTGAATATTGACCACGATGACCTGGAGCACTCGGTCGTGTGTGATCGTGTTGTCGCGCTATCCATCTGCTGCTATGCTACACAAACACGCCCAGTCTTCAACTTTAGCGAGATTAAGCGAGGACAACGCGGACGCAGCATGCACGGGACCAAATTAACTGGAACAATTGGGAAGAGGTTTTTGCACTTCAGTAGGCGTAGCCAGGCAGACGATGATGATGACTGCCAACGTTCGCACATGGTCGCGCCAAGCCTTGTTGGGCCTAGCATGTCACGTTATGGCTCTCCATCGGCATTGCGAGTGACGTACCCCGGTGGTCTGTGGTTACTGTGCCAGACAGCTACAGCACCCCAAGGTCGCAGGATCAAAACCCACGGCCACTGGGGGAGCTTATCGATGGAGGCGATAAATGCCAGAGGTCATGTATCAATAGAGCTAGGTTCACGTTAAAGGCTGTCGAGATTTTCATAGCCCACCATCGCGGCGTCCCTCGTAATCGTATCGTGGTTTTGGGACGTGAAACCCCAACAATCGTGAGCGAGAAATGGGCGCCAGATGCCGCCTGAGCAGGCGTGAACGGCAGCTCCTTATCGCACCAGCCTGCATCGACCGTGCCCTTGCCACGTCTCGGTTATCGGCGCCGACGGCTGCAGAGGATGACACCCCGTCGTAAAGACGTCGCCGACTGTGTACTTTGTCGAGCCTTCCTTGCAGTGGCCTTCCCCATCCGAACAGCCTTTCGCGAGCTTGTGTAGACGCCAGACGACTCTGCCGAAGGAAGGGAGGAAAAAACTTTATTTGACGAGTACCATCGGACGCGGTGAGAATTCTACGCTGCGTTTTATTGCCTGCATTATTTGGGTAGGTTATAGTCGCTCTTCGATGCATCCGGTATGGCAGTCATCCGATAGCTGCTTAGTGGAGGTCGTGCACGCAATTTACCCGGGAATTAGAGGATTAGTTCACGCTTCTAAATTAGCTTTCTCCTAATTAAATAGGTGAAAACTAAGCCCGAATTAAAAGCTGGTGATCTGCCCCTTGCGTCCGTCAAAATATTACGGACTTGTACAGAAGGTCACTTCTTGATGAAGCAGCCGTCGACACAGACTTCGTCGACCATTCATGTCCAGATTCTTCTATTTCAAAGCTTGAGCTTATCAATCGCATGTATGTAAATTCAGCTGTACAATTGTACTGTACGGTAATTTAGTTCAGCAGACGCCAAAAAGAACTGTGAGCTTTGCTGTAGATTTACGCACCTTGAAGGAACTTCCAGGGAGACATCAAATCAGTTTAGGTAGATAAAGTATTCGTCCAGAACCTTGTTGCTATTAATTTCGCAATCATATTTCTTTTATTTATTCTTTTGTTTACTAAAAAAGAAATGAAGGTCAACCTCACGTTCAAATTTCGCGCCCAAACTTGAAGACGTGATCGCTAGAGTAACGTCCCGAACAATAGTTTTTTTTTTTTTAAGTATTTTGCAATGTTGATTGAAACAATTTTTCTGAAACTTCCTCTGCTTAGACCGTGTGTGCGTTAGAACAGCCTGTTAGGCATCTATAGCAGGGAATGATTACGTGCGCCCCGTCAGACATCCTCAAAATCTCCGACGACACGACTTTTGGTGCGGGAACTTGAAGGCGTCGTCTAGGACCTGTTTTTTTTTTTTAAGTTTCGCGTGTTTTAACTTACAAAACGCCTTCTTTCGGTATGTGTGACGCTTTTAGTATTGTGAAATTGTAATTTACTGATGAGAAACAACTCATCGTTCCCTTTAGAACCCCTTTAGAAATAGCTTACTATTCCTTGAATGGCCACCTCTATGACTATTGCCCGCCACGGTGGATAAGTAGTTACGGTGCTCAGCTGCTGACTCCAACGTCGCGGGTTCGATTCCGAGCCGCGGCGGTCGAGTTTTGGTGGTGGCGAAACGATGCGAGGCCTGTGTAGTGTGAGATGGCAGAGCACGTTATAGAACACCAGATGGCCAGTCGAAATTGCCGGAGGCCTCCGTTGCGGCGTCTCTCATAATCTTATTGTGGTTGTGGGACTTAAAATCTCAGATATTATTATTATTATTATCATTATTATTATTATTATTAGTAGTAGTAGTAGTAGTAGTAGTAGTAGTAGTAGTAGTAGTAGTAGTAGTAGTAGTAGTGGTAGTAGTAGTAGTAGTAGTAGTAGTAGTAGTAGTACGGCTATTATTGTTTGATCTTTGAGGTGAACTAATGCAGGAAATAACGTTGCTGCCACCTTATCAACATGAGCAGTTAATAAAGTATCAGCCCATCAGCGCAATCTTAAAGCAATGTAGTTAAAGAGACCCTACGACAGAAAACGCGCTCTCGGCGTCGGCGGCGATGTCCGTCAGCGAAAAACCCTGATGGTGCAAGGAAAAAAAAAGAAAAACCGAGGTACAGCCGATATTCATCCAAGCGATGCCCCAGCGCAAGCGCATTTCCCCTACGGCGGAAAAGACGCGACTGGTCACTTCATTTCGGAGACTTCGCTACTGACAATGCCGACGGTCTCGGCACATGCCAAAATCCTAACAAAACGACAGAGGGCGGCACAGCAAAATGATAGAGGTGGTTTCTGCGTGGCAGCCGAGTATTCACCGAACATTTCCAAGCACAAGTTAAACCATGCTGGGGCACGGAGCTGCTTTGGAAAAAGGACTATGATTTCGTCACGTCACCCGAGCGGTCGCGTTATCGTGTGTAATATTGCTTGACAGAAGCGTATACGATAGCACCGGGCGCCACTCCCGTGAATTGCGGAACGAACGAGTGCGTGGTTTAAAGTTGGTGCACACGTTGCAGGAGTCTCAGCTGTACGATTATCATCATCATTCATTCCATCAACAATGTGTACCGCTACGTAACAATAGTCGTTGGTGTTTAAGGTCCCACAAACACGATTTGATAATTAGAGATGCCGCAGTGGAGGGCTCCGGAAATTTCGACAAAAACCAAATTAGGTACACGGGCCTCAAGCGATATCGCCTCCTTGGAAAATGGGGCCGCCGAGGCGAGAATGTGTACAGCTATGTAGGTGCGCATATTGCCTCACACACAATTAGTGGGTACTGAGGAGAATGTCGAGTATACGGCATAGAAGGCACTTCGCAACTGTACGTGCATGATGCGCCTGAGGGGAGTTCACCACGACTAGTGTCACGCGCACAAGCGTTCCTTCCCTCACGGCACATAGTTGAGGCGTCCACCGAGACGATGATGATGATTTGTGGGGTTTAACGTCCCAAAACCACCATATGATTATGAGAGACGCCGTAGTGGAGAGCTCCTGAAATTCAGGTCACCTGGGGTTGATTCTTTAACGTGCGCCCAGATCTGAGCACACGGGCGTACACCATTTCCGCCTCCATCGGAAATGCAGCCGCCGCGGCCGGGATTCGATCCCGCGACCTGCGGGTCAGCAGCCGAGTATACCTTAGCCACTAGACCACCACGGCGGGGCCCACCAAGAAGCGAAGTATATGGCAGGCGAATAAGAAAGGGACGCAAAGACAGCCCGATAACGTTATCACGTTACACTCTTAAAGGTGAAATAAGCATCCTCCAACCGTCTTTATACTGATACAAAAAAGCACTTTTGAGCATACGCTGCAGTGATACACTGCGTATCTGAAGGATATGCCAATTCGGAGAGCAGAAGTAACTCCTGAGATCCCTATACGCACCCGTTGCTGTTACAGAATAAGATAGTGTTGGATATGGTGTTATGTAGGTGCCTGCAGGTGTATGAAATCAGGCACGTCTGACTATATAGCTACGCGCAGCATCGTAGGCAGAAATTGTTTCCGGGGAATGCACCTTCCTGATCAGAAGTGGGGCTGGGCCAGCATATGTGGTCGACTGTCACTTCAAAACAGAAAAAAAGTAAAAAAGAAAAAAATGCGTGGCGGGGGGGGGGGGGGGGTGCACGAATCCAGCGTGCCGCACTGTGGCTACGCCAGTTCTCGTGATTCCTTTCAAAGTTCGTCTTAGAACAGCGAAAATTGTGCGTGCTCAGGCAGTGCTCACAAGCCTATTGCGGCTACACAAACTTTTTCAGACGGTACTGCAGTAAACATGAATCACTACGGCATACGACACTTGAGATGATTGATTTGATTGATTTGTGGGGTTTAACGTCCCAAAACCACCATATGATTATGAGAGACGCCGTAGTGGAGGGATCCGGAAATTTAGACCACCTGGGGTTCTTTAACGTGCGCCCAAATCTGAGCACACGGGCGTACACCATTTCCGCCTCCATCGGAAATGCAGCCGCTACAACCGGGATTTGATCGCGCGAGACACTTGAGATGAGCTTATTGGCTTGCCCTCAAAGTGAAAATTTCTGGCATTCACAGGCCGCCGTCTTTCATTGTACGTGGATGGTGTTACGGTCATTGAAGAATTGAATATGTTTTTTTTTTGTTACTTCCATCGTGACTGTATTTTCTCTCGCACGAAGTAATTTATTATTTTTTCTGTTTGTTTTAATATCTTTGTAAAAAATTCAAGTGAAGAAAGCGTTGGAAAACACTTTAAAATATTGTAATCTTGAATTCGCAAGAAGAGGCTTTGCCTGTGGGTATTTTATATCTTCCAAAACGAGATATTTGTTGCTTTAAAAACCTTTCTGTAGGAATAATACGCAGAAAAAAAGACACGCGTGGTAAACTGCATTCTTGTATCTCTCATTTTCCTGTTTGCTGTCGGTTCGTCAGTCGTGCTTGCTCGAGGTTTTCACGCGATCACCTTTGTCGCAGAAAATTCGGTATAAGAGTGAGTGTTGTTATCCGCGAACTGAAAATCGGCGTTGTCCGCGATTTCCCTCCCTCTTTGCCATATATCATAACTAACGCCTCTGGCTCGTTCATTTCTTTTATTATTATTATTATTATTATTATTATTATTATTATTATTATTATTATTATTATTATTATTATTATTATTACACTGTTGTTGTTGTTGGTTCGGTGATATATGTCTTAGATCTCAATCCTTGCGGTTGTTGTTGAGGCTTCGGGGAAGGGTGGTAATTGAAGGTCTCTTTGCCGGCTTACCTATATATAGTCAAGGCTTTCCGTTTCTCGAGCTCTTTGTAGTCACTTAGCGGATAAGTGGCAGTTTCTGATTTTTTAAACATTGACTGATAAGCGTTGTGGCTTCGACAAGACAGAAGTACAGCGTTGTCTAAAACGCGCAAAACTGCGCCAAAGTTGAGCAACTCCCAAATAAAAGTGCACCGATCTCATGAATAAGTTTGATTTCCAGCGTGACTCGCGCTGTTGTGTCCGCCCAAGCCAACGGACAGCGGATAACTCGGAACCAGATTAAAGCTGATTTGCGGTTGTCATTTGTATAAAATGTCTACCTTGATCATTTATCTTCTCTCATTCATCTAGGAAATTGCGCCGAGTAGAATAAAGAAAGCATGCTTGCACTTGCTTTCTTTTTTTTTCCGAGCCTACTCACTAGCCGTATACTGAATTACCGATGGCAGAGATATGGAGCCACGGCAGCGTTTTATTTACGTTCAGACCAATAAGGACGGAGCGTGAAAACGACGAACATTGATACGAATAATAATTGTTCGTGTTTGATGTCTCAGAAGCAACGTTTGACTATGAGAGACGGCTGTAGTAGAGGGCTCCGGAAATTTCGACTACCTGGGGTTCTTTAACGTGCATGTAAATCTGTACGCGGGCCACAAACATTATCGCCTTCATCGGAAATGCGCCCGCCGTGGTCGGGATTCGATCCTGTGACCTTTTCGGGTCAGCAGTTCAGCACCTCAACGACTGCGGTGGTTCGATGAACACTGAAATGCATTGCAGGAATATAAGGTTACGTGAGAGAGGGAGCTTATACAATACAAGTAAGCGCAAGAGCTGAAGGCTGATAAGGGCCTTCTTTACGAGAAAGTAAAACCGACGTCATATTCGGCTCATACGAGACGTCTGCAAATAAAAGGTATATAAACATGAGCCGTGGTACGATTGTGAACTATGCAGAAAAGCCTGTGTGGGGACTAGTTGGAACACACTGCAGGTAAAAGCTGCACTGCAAAGCTGGGGACGAAAAACCGGACTGACACAGTGACTCGAGCAGTTTTTCGTCCCCTACTTTGCAGCACAGCCTTTATACCTAGCTTCGATGCTTCGTTTGCCCCCTTTTCATCATTGCATTGACTTATTCGATTAAGTAACTAAGAATCTGAAGTACTTGTTAGCCACACACACTCACTATGTTGATATATATTAGTGATAAATCTTATTGCGCAACCTCGCCTGCAGCATACAAACTTCGGGTCATGCTTCAATATTTGTTCACAAGCGCAGCGAAGCTGCCTTTGTACATTCTTCGCTACGCGTACACGTGCGTGACGCATGCACGCGCAGCGTACGAGCGCACTGCAGCTTTGAGCACTGTGAGAGGGAACACCGAAGCCGTGTCTAATCAACGATTACTTGTAATGTACTGATATGAAAGTGATGTATTGCGTCGTTATGGATATATATTTGTGCTCGAAAGTTTAGTGCTGCTGTGAACATTTTTGTTTCTGCGAACTCCCGTCAATGGCTACATTCTCAAAAGAGATCGCGTAAAGAGGGTGTCCATTTCGTCAAAATAATTTTCGTCCGCCTTGCTTGCGCTTCCGTTCTAGAAAACTCAGCGTGGGTCACTTTGCTATCAAGAAAGCTATATATGTCACTCTGATAACGTGCATGTCGTTCCTTACTTGAAAGTGCCGGGCGCGCGGCGCTATAGCGCTAGGAAAAGAGCACAATTAAAATAATGATGATTATTATTGTGAGACAAAAAAAAAACGCCCATTTTACTCGATATATTAGTGTGTATACGCAATGGCCCTTGATAAATAACTTAAATGGTCCCTTTCTTGTTTCCTTACGACTGCATGTCTTTTGCCGATGGTTCTGCCAATTTGGTACACAGTAAAAATTGGCCATGCGCAGCTTGCTGAATGTTTCCACAATGCAGCGGTAACGCCCCCTTCCATTATTATTTTTTTTTTTTTTTTTGTGGCGAAGCTCTTCAAGGTGTGGGTCAACAGTCACCTGTATGTATGCATGTACGTAGTAACCACCTCACAGCATATCCACGGAGTGAATGATGATGAGTGGGGCGAAGCTTAGGAGGGTTTTATTGGACGACCGTGAATCATCCGTTGCCCGCGTCCGTCCGTCGTCTGTCTATTTGACGGACGCACGGACGGACAGACATGGATGAACGGAAGCGCGGAAAGACAGACGGACTAACGGACGAACGCACGGACGAACGGAAGCGCGGACGGACTGGCGGACGCTTCGCCTCACTCATCATCATTCACTACGAAGATATGTTGTGATCTTTTTTTTCTTTTTTTTTTGCCTGTCAAACTCTTTAGCGCATTTACGGCGAACAATACAGTGAATTGGACACAGACAGGCAGAAATCGCTCTACCATGCTCGCGTATTTCGCACTAGGTTCTATCACAATACTAACCTTGATCACTGGCGTTACTCAATTTGCCCGTTCGAAGTGTGGAAATCAAACGTTTCTCGCCTCGCCTTCGATCAGTAGGCGTGTGATACGCCCTTGCGGAGCACTTAGCGAGGTGAGTGTACCGCCCCCAAGGACGCGCTGCATTTCTAGCGTCGCAGCCAGCCGGTTCTGAGACAACTTGTCGGCTCGCCACGTGCAGGCAGCCGGAAAGTGGCACTCACCGCCGCGACAGCAACAAAAAGCAGGCACGCGCGCGTAGCGGTCTCGCCGCTTTTGCGCTTCCAGGCGCCCGGATATCGGGACGAGCACACAGCTGCAGCGACGAATCCGGGATCCAGCTGGAGCACAACAGTCCCGCTCGAAAAAGGAACCTCCGTGAATGTTTGCGGCGACGCCGGGTCGGTGAGTGACTGCGCATGCGACGCCCGTGCTGAGGAGAACGAAAGTATTCGTTTGTTTGACCGCGGCTCTCCGTTCGTCTGTGAAACACTCTCAGCTGTCTTATTGCGAAGATGAAATCGCACTATGTTAGGGAGCACTTTGAAGTTATCTCGTGGGTAGCTATGAAATGTGTGCAGGTTAAGCGCACGTGTTGATACCCGAGAACGGCAGTTAACTGGTAGCAGTTATTCTTGGTGGTCGTAAAAGAAAGTTTCATCATAAGGAAAACGCAGGCGTGAAAAAGCGGACAGGAGAGATCAAGACGGCACAAACGCCGAGGGGATAGTCGGCGTGTATGTTGTATTAGTATCTTAATTGTACTTGTGTTCCCACGAATGCGCTATTTTATCAGCGTGCAAAGCGAAACCTTAGAAATGAACCATTTGAAAACACATGTAATGTGTTCAATGTTGTTTATTTTTATCCCGTGCGGTGTGTGATGTCATGTTGCATTTAAGTTCATACAGTACACACTGCACACGCCAATGCAGGTCATTGTATGTTAAGCAGGCGTTGACGGGACGATGTTGTCATGACCAAAATGTTATGGTAGAGCACACATTGCTATTGTATATATATATAAAGAACTAGTGGCGCTCTTCCGCGCTATATATGGCCAGTGTTGGCAGTAACGCGTTACATGTAACGCTGTTACCAATAACGCATTACTTTTTTCGGTAACTTGGTAACGTACTCATTACAATTTCGTAACAGTAACGGGTAATGTACTTACATTACAATTTTTCGGTAAAGCGCGGTGTCACGTTCCTCATTACTTTTCATCTTGTAAATGCCATTTCCCCAGAGCTCACCCCGATGAATTCTGCTGTCGCGACGTCGGACAGCTGTCCGCCTCCAGGCTTTGACAAAAAAAAAAAACGAGGGTGGAATCACTTATTTTTGATGCGAATGTATTTCTTAGTCGGGCTATGTCAGGCGTCTGTCGGTGTCCGTGCGCTGGCAGGTGTTCATCTCTCCGGTCTCACTCTATCTCCCATAGCAACAGCTGTGGGCGCGCGGGCTTATTCACGTCCCTAGCAACCGGAGCAGGTGGTGCTAGAGTCACTGGAAAAATTTCTCTAGGTGGTGCAGGCTGAGTAGCGGAGAAGGAGTAGAGAGGAGGAGCGTGCTTGGCGTGTGAGGGCGCTCACATCGCGGGAGCTCGGCGGAGCTCCCGTGTATGTGAGGGCAGTGTAGGAGAAAGTAGGTACAGCGCTTCGCCACTCTTTTTATCGTCGTTTGCTCTCTCTCCTTACCGATCGTCAACAGTAAGAAGCCGGAACTTATCGAGTATAGGAAGACGGCAAGGCATTTCTGCCAAGTGCTACGCTCTGACACGATTACTGTGAGGGGGCAACTCTCCTTGTGAGTCTTTGCACTAAAGAAGACCTCAAGAGTGCCAGATTTGCGGTTTGTGATGTCCCTAACCAACTTTTATAGGCTCTTACTTTCACCTAGCTTCTTAGCCTCACTTTTCAGTTGTTTTTTTTTGTCTGGACGCTTTCGCGGAGTTGGAAGACAGAGCTCAACGCTTGAAGCGCTTTCACCCTGTAAAGGTTCCGAGAGAAGACGGCGAATTTACCTTCCTTGTCTGATGGGAGAACGCAGTACGAGTTCGTTTTCAGGTACGACGCCAAACGACGAACGATAGGGCACCCTTGTTCACATAGCAGCACATCTACACCACTAGACACACACCTATCTGCACTTTCGCCCACCCAGCAAAGGAACGATTCAAGTTAACCACCAAGTGGCCAATACATCGACTGTAATCGTAGAACTATAGCTTTTAGCCACGCCGTCTTTTCTACAGCACTTGCTAAACACCTTTTCGTAAGTACGATATGTGCAAATATATGACGCCAGCGAGCTTTGTGGTCAAGCGAAATGGAGCCGGCTTCGGCGTTGAATGATTGACGCGTATTTGAGACACCCCCTTTTGTTTTTGTTTTTTATTGCAGCAGTACGGGCAGCATGAAGAACACGCCGCGACAAGAATTGCTGTCTTTAGCCAAACAATGGCAGTTGAAGCCCAACACCATCGAGTTTGCACGGCGACTGGACAGCGAGGACCCGCTGCGTTTATTCCGGGAGCGGTTTAGCGTCCCCAAGATGGCTGACGTGTCTGTCGGTAAGTGTGAAATTCATGATTAGGATTAACTTTATTGGTTGCTAATATGTATATGGTTGCTCATAGGCAAGCGTCTTTGCTTACCTCAAGCGAGGCTGTGAAGTAACAGCGCAAAAACTGGCCTCGTCCAGATAACCGAAACGTGGCAGCGCATTGTCTCCGTGATCATAGGCGTGCGCATAGTGGAGGGTAGGAGAGGGTGTTGCATGGGGCGGCCGTGCCCCTAGTCGCCTAAGAGGGGGGAGGGGCGCGATTCAACTATAGACTATTTTACCTAAGACATATGGGCGCCAAGCCGTCAAGCCGCTGTTTTCTTAATTTTGTATATTGCGACGTGAATTACTGACGCCATGAAACATCGTACGCACCAAACCCATCATTTTCATGCGTGCGCATCTGCCGCAACACTGTTTTAATTTTAAAAAATAAAAATTAAACACGAAAGTCAACAGTCTAGTATGGCAACACTGCAGTCCAACCGTAAAATAGTCTACACTTTACTAAGTTGGAAAAAGGGCGCTGCGATTAACCTTCGCCCCCCCCCCCCCCCCGCTAGAATGGAACTCTGCGCACGCTATGACCGTGAACATCCATGACTAAAGAAATAATCCTACTATTTGTAGATACTGGACATATACTCACACAATCTATGTTCTCCAATGGCGAGGCCATCGACCGAGCGCATATACATAGTGTAGCAAGGTTGCCAGCTGGGCTAGTTGGTATGGTATTTAAAGAAACGCAAAGTACAGGACAAGGAGCGGATCCTACGACAGAGTTTGCGTAACGTCGCACTTTCTGTGCTATAGGTAGCCCAACATGGCGGCCACCGTTACCTCATTAGAGTGAGTCAGTGAAGGGGGAGACGGAGTCGCTCGGTCCTTGGAGCTCTGCCTTCTGCTAGTGAGCCGCACCAAAGAAAACATAGAGGAACACGAGGGGGCACTGACTCTAATATGATGTCACCATTTGAGCTCACGCCACATCTCAACTAGCAGCTGGGGCGCCACTGTGAAGTCAATACAACTTATGTCTTGGTGATGCAAGTCCGGAGCGCACATGCCTCGGTCTCTTGCAGGGGCCCTGCAAGACTTTTTGAACATGGTCAGAAAACGCTGCTGATCGGTAGTCGAGGCTCCCGAGAACACGCGAGTCAAATATTGTTGAGCAGCACGTGGCCTAGATTTCACCATAAATTCTCAGTCAGCTGAAAATTGCTTCCTCTGCTCTCGTCAAATAATGCTACAAGCTCAAAGATCACTCCTCACAGCGCAGCCGTTGTCTGATTTGAGCATGGCGCGCTCGGTTTACTGGGACCGCCGCTGGAAGCCGCGACCTGTTCACGAGTGTGCGTGCGATCGCACTGAAAGGCCGCGTATTCAAAGAAAAAAGAAACAGAAAGAAAGAAAGTGATCAAGGTCACGAGGCACGCATGACGTAGCTCCTTTCCCCGTGCGATATCCATCCCTGCTTAGCTTCCAGCACTTTCGTCGGAACGGAAGAAGAGATAATGTTATTGCAGCTTGTGACAAATAGTTGTAATTCCGCCAGTACTGGACGGATTCTAAAAAGTTTTGTGGCGGTGAATTCGTGAGGAACTAATCCTTTGATGAATACATTCCATGGCTACTTAGGAAAGTGGTGCAGGTCCCCCTTACAGCGGTACCCGACTAAGACGTGCACCAACTTCCAACTGTTTTTCTTTTCATTGATAAGGCATATGCCGTGAAATTTAGCGCAAGCGCCCCCTTCCATTTCCCGAAAGACTAGAAACATTCTACCCTTTCCCTTCATTTCCTTCGCGTTATTTTCAGTGTTTCACACACACACACACGTGCGCACGCACACACACATATATTCATTGTTTTGATTCACCCAACAAGGACGAATGAGCACAATAAATGTATGTGTATACAATGAAGCATTCATAGACGCATTGCTGTGCATTCTTTATTAGCGGCTCTTTCTCCGCCATGATCAATTATGATCCGCGACCGAGCAAGGGCGCCCGTCAGATTTTCTTATTTTATTAGAACCAAATTAAATTACTATCCCCACATTACCAGGTTCATTACGACACCAAAACATTTATCCAAAGTAAGCTTTAACAACAATGTCACTGAACAGTAACGCATGTCATACATTGAATAATTATCATTAAAAACCATTGCTGAGAACATCTTTTCAACACGCTCAAAATAAAAACTTCATAACTTGTGAGTGCAAATATAATAAGAAATGATCTCACCCGCTTTTAGGCGGTTTGCCCATGCGGCCATGAAACTAAGACGCGGTCGAAGAGGGCCAATATTTTTTGAAATGCCAGTTTCGCCCATATGGTGAAGCAATGAATGCAACTGCAACAAATCGGAATGTTATAAGAAGAATGGCTTGCTCACGAGACCTGACAAGATTCAAACAAAACGCAAGCGTCATGAAATGGGGCCGCGCTGCAGCGAGCGACGCCATCTTTTATGCAGCGTATCTATAGCTTCAACGCAGTTATTTGCGATTAGAACAGAATAGAGCAGATCTGTTGTGAGACAGCTTGTGAAAATGTATATAAGCTGTCTGCTGATACCCTCTAAAAATATCCTCCAGCCGCGTCTTTCGCTTGACGGAGACTGCCGGCTCGTTAGATTTCTGCTTGACCGGTGTTCGCAGGCAGCGCTCGCACTATTTCACTCACCTATAGAGCATATGACACGCTGGTGATGTTATCGATTCGCACCATATACAAAATATGACGGCGACTACGACGACGAAAATGCACCTAGAGTTCACCCATATAAATTTCCTTAAAAATTTACCAACGATTACGATGCCTAATGTCAAATATGAGCGGACCTGTTCAAAGTATTTTGTTGGAGGAGGAAGAAGAACAAGAATAAAGGCAGGGAGATTAACCAGGCACATGCCCGGTTGGCTACCCTACACTGGGAGAGAAAAAGGGAAGTATAAAAATGAGAGACGAGAGAGAAGGAAAAGACAAGAAAATTGTCGGTAAAAAAAAATGTTGGTAAAGTCGTTCGCGTCGGCGCAACACGCTAGAAAAAAACGGAACTGGTGGAAAGAAGCCCAGGTGGTCGAAATTTCCGGAGCCCTCCACTACGGCGTCTCTCATATCCATAAGGTGGTTTTGAGACGTTAAACCCCACATACAATATCATAATCAAGGTGGGAAGTTAACTGTTCTTGGATTGTAACATGATTAGCAGACATTGATCGCTATTATCATCATGTAAAGCTGCAGAGCCAGAACTTTTTTCTGGATGAGAAGGAGGGCTTAGTTGGTGAACGTATGTATACAGAAGCAAAATTTAAAATTTTCGAAGAGGGAGAGGTTTGAACGCCCTCTTTACTGGCTATGCCAGTGCGTGTGGTCATGGCCTTGGTGAATAAAAACAATGAATGAAGACGTTTGACTGAGGAAAGGTATGGAGCACACTCGTGCACCCATCAGATGAATGGAGGGGTGGCTGCCCCGCCCAAATGTGCCCCATAACATAAACAGACCAGTCTTTTCATTCTATTTTTTTATACTGCAGTGTTATGCCCATGCTGGTTTTTCAAGATAATGGTGGCCGAGGACTCCTGATGTTGCATTCCAAGAACTCTTGAAAACCTGGCTTTCCGGGAGCGAAGGCTCCCGGAAAGCCAGGGACCTAACGCACGCCGCTGGGAAAAGCGCGCCATTGCTCTATTTTCACTTTTACATCCATTGCAAAGCCTTTCTTTTGAACTCCACCATTGGAGAGGGAAAAAGTGAAGGAGGAAGGGGGTCCACGATGATACTTGGTTACTTCTAATACACGTACATGAGCATAGGCAGGCATGCAGGCTCATAATTGCTGAATGCCCAGTGTGTCTACTTTTTATTGAGTTTTGCTTGTGGATGTACACAACATGTATGTTAATTCAAAGCACACATTCTACGTATTGCAGTTGACCCGAAGTTCATCAAAGAGCCAGGGCAAGAGTGCATCTACCTATGTGGCCATTCATTAGGTCTCAAACCAAGAACAGCTGATGACCATGTACTGAAAGTTCTTGACAACTGGGGTAAAACGTGAGGAACAATTTATTACTTGCACCTTCACTGTTTAACAGGTCCATCATCCTCCAAGTTATGTGACTAGACTTAGTTTATAAACATACTTATAGAAAAGCAAATATGTTGCCATACTTATGTTTTCTTTTTTCTTTGCCTGGCCTCTACCTGAATAGTGCTTTTATTAACATGTCATCTGAATAATCACAATGTCCATTTGCACTATTGCATTATTAGTGCTATCCATGACTGTTCATCAGAAGTAAATACTAATTATGGTTGATATTCTTATCCAGGATGACCACAGACAAATCAACAGTATTGATCATACTTTGATTAATGCATCATGCAAAAATATCCATTCGCAGGGTCTTGAACATAATATAGGTGACTACCAGATGGCCCAACTAACCTGCTGCTCGGGGATAATAATGTGGTCGTCTGAGACCAGTTGCACAGTCCTAGGTATTTAAACGATACAGCAAGCAAAAATATCCTCTTCAGACAGGAATCATGACGCACGGTCTGCAAGTGAATGACATTCACATGGCGTATGGTTTCAAGGCACGCAGTTTTCCATTCCTAGGTAGAAAATGAAAGAATGTGTTGTTTTTGATGAGTAGCGGTAATTAATGTTAAGAGATGCTAAAAAGAAATATTAACTTGGTTTAGATTGATGAACTACACTCTAGAACATTATTGCCATATGTTTCACTATCACAAGTGCATTATTAGCCGAGAAAATCAAGGTTGAAGTTTCATTTTTAAATTTTGCACGTAAATCTCTGCCCATGCTGTCAAAAATGACAAAATGTATCTTTTGTCTTTTTTTGCGACATTGGTTTGATGAAAATTTCCAAAACTCTGTGTGCTAGGTTTAGAGCACCCTCAGACTAGGATGTACTTCATTGTTATTGATTAGAAGCTAAGTAGGACCCACTAGACGCCTTTAAAATCTATCATGTCACAATGCTTAGTGCAGGGACCTCAAAGTGGTGTCTCCACCTGTATCTTCTTTTCATGCGTTGTCTCGCTTACCAAGTGCCATGTTGCAATAATATCTTTGGAGGGGAAGATTGTGAAACTGTACTTTACTAATACGTGAAAAAAATCATTTTTTACACAGTAATATAAAAGACAGCTGTGGTATATTCATCTAAACTAAAATAATAGTATGAAACAAATTTTATCAAAATCAAGCCAGTAACTTACTGAAAAAAGTTCAACACATATGTCTCACTTAATCGTGAGAGTGTTTTGAAAAAGTCGGGAAACGTACACTGTCCCACTGCTTCATGAAGGCACTGTGTCATGATTGCTTCTATCGTTAGCTGGAATTAAATGGCCAAAGCAAGTGCCGCAAAGTACCGCTTGAGAAGTTGAGAATAGAAAAGTTGTGTGTGCCTCATTTTAGCATGAGATCACCACCTGCAGTTGCATCTGCCTTCATAGCGCTCCGTTCTGTTTCTGCAAAGCTTACATCACTGCAAGCTCCAACCATGGCTTTTTGCTTATTTGATTATCCTTACTTTTGCTGTCAAAACTCTCTGGCACAGCTGTCGTCCCTGAACATGTTCCTACTTTTCAAAAGGTATATGATATAAAGAAAAATATTTCCACGCCCTGATATACACAAGTGCACTGAGGAATGAGTGGAGAAATTTCACAGGAGACCGTTTGCATGCATTTATTGGTCAAGTTATATGTAAGTTAAAGCAATATGCGGCGGAATCAAGTTCAATGACTACTAGTTATCCACTCGGAAAACCTGCACAAACGTGCACACTGCGTTTCAAGGCATTCGAAAGAACGCAGAGTGCCTGAAATGGATATTCAGGGTGTTGTACGTAAGTTTAGCCAGAGTTTTTAAACTGTGGCTAAAATATGCCAGAACACGTAATTATGACGCGACCAAATGCACGTTACTCACCGCCTGTAGTTAGACTATTTTTTGTGTTCTCAGATATTGTTTGATTAGATATGTTTAACTAACTTTTCAAGAAACAAAAATAGATAAAAAAATTCAAAGAGGATGTTTTAGATCGGTTTGCAAAACATCCAATTAGATAGTTTTGTACTTCATATCTGTTAGATATCAGGGTTTTTCTTCTAATTGCAAATGCCCACAACATACAAAAAATACCACGTGACAAACCTGCTTGCGCGTCAGTGAGCACGATGATTCTAGTGCTCCTTAACGTTCCGCATACGAATGACACGCTTCCCTCGCACCGGTTCATGACAGCAATAAGCAGTCACAGCGGTTATCGTTTTTGTGGCCGATAGCAAAATGTGTTCATCGTAAAGCCACCACCATCATTGCGGCCCTGCCAAGACAGCACAATGGGGCAAATAATATGGGCGTTTGTATGTGGAACATTATAGGAGCACTAGAATCATTGCGCGCACTGGCGCACGAGCGGGTTTGTCACGTGGTATTTTTTTATATTTCACGGGCATTTCTAATTAGCAGAAAAACACTAAAACCTAACAGATATAAAGTTTAAAACTGTCTAATCGGATGTTTTACAAACCGATCTACAACTTGCTCAATGAAATTTTTTATTTGACTTCGTTTCTTGAAAATTAAGTTAATTAAACATATCTAATAAAACAATATTTGAGAACACAAAAATAGTCTAAGTCCAGGCAACGGCGAGCAAACATGCATTTGGTCGCGTTGTGATTACATGTTCCGGCATACTATTTTTAAACTCTGGCTAAAGTAACATGGGACACCCTGTATAAGGACGTTGGTTGGCTTTGAGGACACAAAGTTCAAAATGAACATTTGCAATATGGTGTGCAAAGCCTTTTTTTTTTACAGTATTGTCACACAATAGTTATGCACAACTTCCTTCTTTTACAATGAGCTTTTCCTAGCAGGAGCTGGGCATACTGAGCAGGTGTCATAGCAGCACTGATGTCTTGTACTTTGCTCACAGCCATACCTAACTTTCAGACTACTTACCATTCCAAAGTTTCACAATTCCTTTTAAAACAACCTTCCTGCAGTGGTGCAGAGTGTCATCAGCATGGATACCTGCCTGCTGCCACGTGTGACCTCTACCCAAGGAAGCTCATGGCAGACATCGTAGGTGCGACCTGATCTTTTTTAAAGAGCATTTCTCTGGTCCGAATCACTTGCAGTTGGGCTTTTACTCGATGCAGTTTTTAAAGTAGAGTCTTGGTGAGAATACCAGCAGGACCAAGCAGAAGCAACCTGGACAGGGACTGGAAGGATGCTAGATGGATTCTCATGAAGACTATGTACCAACTTGGCCGACAAGCCGCTCTAGTGATTTAAAGCACAGGCTATATATTCTTGAAACTATAAACTAACACAACTTTCCATAATGAAGTGAAGTGAGTTTAACAAGCTGTGTGCAGTCTAAACAGATATTAGAACCCTCTACGAGTCGAAAAAGTGTGCACCAGGAAAAACCTTGAGCAGCTGAGAGAGAAGTGACAGAATTGCGATTGTGTTTTATGTGGCTTTGTTTGCAAATAGTGCTGCAGTAAATGTCCACTGACATATTAACAATTTGTTCTCAGTGGTCCAATACAGCTATGTAAAAATTAGAGCCAGTGTACTTCAGTCTAATCTGATTGACTGAATCTGTATAGGGAACGTGTAGTATTTATACGTCGGGCAGCAGTCCATTGCACCATTGTGCCGCCAGTGCCAGGAGTGGCAACATGCGGCCACCTCAGTTTGAACTGGCATGCTAATCGTCGTCTCTCAGTGAGCTATGCCCGTGTTTTATGCCAGTACGTGTGCGTAAAAGTGACATATTTGATAAAACTGATAGAATAGAAATTTACAAAATCAATCATGCTTTCTATACGACGTGGCACAGAGGCATGACAGAGTGAGTGATTCTTGCAGCTAGCCAGTGTAAAGCTTAAAGCATAGGCCGTCATCATCAGTGTTTGTAAAAATTATTTCTTGTCATTTCGCCTGCTTATTGTAGAATAAACCATGGCAATTGTGTATGACATGTGTTGGATAACCCCTTGCTACGTGTGCAATTAATGCGTGTGGTCACCGCATTGCACGTGTTGCTTTCAGTAGTGCGTGGTGTTTCGGCGAAGTTTTCTGAGCGGTAGTTCAGCTCTATTTCTTTTCTTTGCTTGAGCTGCATGAGTTCTTGAGTAAATTCAAGTACCAGCTTTGCAGACAATATCTCGGCTGTTACGTAGCACAATAGGATGCCGTGATGCGGCTTCGCTTGCACGCTCAGTACTGTGAAGGGCTAGGGCAGTATGCGGGGAAAAAAAATTTTGATTTTTCGCTGTCTGCAAGACACTTTGTCTGGAATGCGGGACTTCTTCCTTAATAAATGTTACTGTTTTCAAACAGCGATATGGCAGACAAACAGCGGCAGCGTCTGAGGGAGAACTGCTTGATCTGTCGATTGCTTTGAAGCGAATGAATTGTAGACTGCACACTCGAGATCACTTTGCTGACTGCCCATTGGCTTCTTCAGCACGGTAAAAATATCAGTTAACTAACGTGGAGAGTGAATTCACAGCGAACCAGCAACAGCGCGTACTTCATAAATGTGCCCATAGGATCGCTTAATTTCTTCACGCGGAGTACACTAATGAAGTGTTCCCACCAGTTTCTAAAGCATAGTTACAGCAGAAAACTGAAACACTTCGTTCCATGTGCATAGTAGTTATACATATTGGCAATGTTTACCACAGTGCAATTTATATGTGACACCACAGCTAAGCACCGCTAACAACCAGACATGACTCCGCTATACTTCAAGCAGGGGTGGGTCGCTGGACGGAGCACACCAATTCATTTTGTTCCCTCCCATATCGCAGCGCCACCAGCTCAATGCACGTTTATTAACCTCACTTCTGTTGCTGCTAGTTCAATAAATACACTGTAATTGCTAGCTTAGACAAAACTGGAATAAATATATCAGGTTGGAGTGCAAGGCCAAGACTATTCAAAACAGCACTCACCATATAAAAGAGATACAAAGCATTATTGATGAAAATTATGTCGCTATGACCTAAAGCAATTACATAATTCTTTATTTGCATACTATCAGGCATAGAAAGCTAGATGATGCTAGGATTTAGCTGGGTTATTTCATTAATTATTTACTTAAACTTCACTAATGCTTATGAGCCTCCTTTTCAGCAAATATTGAATTAGCCCCTTCAGGTGCAAATCATGGTGCACTGTCTTCGAATGTGTCTAATTCACTAGCATAATTCCAAGGCAATCAATATTACATTACAGGAATTAATGCAACATAATCTATTGTTCTGAGCAAATTTCAGTAATTGATTGTAATTAGCTTGTACTTATTAATTTATTATGTGGTCAGTCATGTTTATTTTGACATAAAAAGGGGGCAGTCGGAGGCTACACAGGTATGCACAATTATTTTTTAGTTGTATTCATTTAGAGAAAAGAAAACTAATATTTTTGAAACTCTGGAATACGGTACATTGAACCCACGAATCATCGTACTGTCCTCATCAAAGTGATTGCTAACAATCACATGCAACCCATTGAAGTTGAGTAAAAACATACTGGCTATGCCAAATGTTTAAAACAAAGTGTCTAAATAGCTCTTTTGTGGCCACAAGTGGACACAGCTAACATAAATAAGTTGCGTACACAAATGTAGCTACCATTGCTAAAGGGGCTATACTGTGCCTATAGCAGTACTTGTGATTATTGTATGTGACAGTATTTGGAGATTCTCAGAGCTCGTCTTACCTCCCCTATAGGTGCTGATCCAGATGAGATTGTCTTCATGAATGGCCTCACCGTAAACTTGCACTTGCTTATGGTAAGTAAACACCTGAAAGCAAATGGTATGTTTTGCACAAATGACTCTTGTAAAATGAAATCCTCTAGTAGATGAATAGCAGAGACATATTCACCGAAATGGACAAAATACTTTTCAAATGAGGCATCCAGTAAGCTACAGTTGCAAGGCTTCAAATAGTATTTAGCAGTGTTCATGCCAAAGTTAATAAAAAAAATCACATTGTTGTGTTACAGCAGAAACTGAGAGCGGTTGCCAATGCATGTGTTACTTGGGCAGAAATAAAGATGATTGCCCTGGTGGCAATGTAATTAGAGCATGTGCCTTTAGTGCAGGCTGTGTTCTCACTAGACTTGCAGAAGGTAGCACTGACCATTCCTCCTCTTCAAGAAACACTGTATTTACATGCATGCATTGACTGCTGGAGAGAGGGATGGTAAGTGGACTAGTGCATAAGGATCTTCTCTGACCTCAAACCACAATAAGATACCGAGATAGTAGCTGTGCCTTATCTTGGAGGTTATCTGCACTAGATTACAGGTGAATGTAGAAGCCAAAATACAGCAGGTATGCTAGCTTTTGAAAATACAAATGCCGATAAATTCTGGAGATTGAACAAAGTTGTGTGCCAGGTGAATAAAATTAATTCCCCCTTTTCAAGCTAATTGAGTCAACACAAACAATAACAGCTAGAGTGCTAAACCCTATGAATCACACAACTATTGTACAGGCCCACTGATTGACTGGCTGATCATCATGATCAGCCACAAAATCAATAATGTATGCAGCTGCCCATATGTCACCTTTTGTGGATGTTCATATTGTGAATTAGGCCAGAAGGATGCACAATCGTTTTGCATACACAAACACGTTAGATGTTGCCTTACCTTAACACATAAAAGCACACACAAACTGAACAAGTGTTACATGCATAAAAACAAACAGGCACATGGCAAGTGCTCTAACAGAATCATTTTCTTAATTTTTGGTCGTCAAGAAGTCCAATCTATATGATAGAGAACAATAACATTCTGATGTGAAAGAGAGTTCAAATATAATACTTGAAGGCACAGGAGAAAGATCGCTGAAAATTCCGCTGAGAGCCTTCGAAGCACAAACCGAAGGAGCGTCTTGACAAACTGGGTCCAGAGTGCAGCCGACTTGGCGTCGTGCCTTAGAGGGAAAACCTCATTGCGTCCTCCCTGCACCAGTTCCAAAGCCGTTCTCCTCTTTCTGAGCTTTCCTGCCGTTTTCCGCCTATGCAACGAAGACATTGAATTCTGGCGTATGGCCCAATGAGCGCAGTGCGCAGTCATTGCTACGTCTACGCGGCTAGGTACCTCTCTTCGCCGATCAGCTTCACCACCAAACGCTAGAATTCTCGTAACTGTGGCCTTCCCTGTCACCTCTCAGTCTCGAGCTGCCATTTCATCCCCTCCTGCCACACGTGCATGGGACTCACACCACACCTATCTTCCCAAGCATCAGCGACTCTGCAGCTCACTGGTGTTGGCGTCCACAACTCAAGCGCGACACTGAATTTATTGCTTTACACACACGCTGTGGTTAGTGGGTGAAACAGTGGGCCTTTCGCAACAGTACTCGCAGTAGGTGCCTTAGGATCATTTAAAATAACCGTTGTTACATGCACAGACACAATTCTTTTCCTCGTGGCATGGTTAAAGTGTCCACCAAGAAGCAAAGCATGGCAGGTGATTAAGAAGGCAATGTGATCTTGGACAGACTGTGCTATAGCATTTCACTCTTGTAGGTGAAGCTCAGCCATCATTAAAGTTTTTCCCACTCATATGTGTTTTAACTGCCTCGCTCACTTTGCCAGTTTGTTCCCATAGCACATAGTTAATGCTAACACTGGACAATGTTACTAAGACACAATACAACCTTCTTTCAGATGACTTACTACAGGCCACAAGGAAAGCGATGCAAGATGGTCATAGAGTCATATGCCTTTCCATCAGACATGGTGAGCAAACAAACTTCTAAAATCGCAACAATGCTTGCGCAAAGCTTTGAGAAAAAAATGAAGACATGCCACTGTATCTGTACTCTTCATGTTGCTCACAGTATGCTGCACAGTCCCAAGTAGCCCACCATGGCCTCGATGTTGCTTCTAATCTTCTCATCTTACGCCCACGACAGGTATGAATATGTTTACACATCCAGTGCTCTTTAAAGATGAAACTTAATCAAGATAAATAAACAGGGAGTGTTGGCTTTTTTGTCTTCTATATGGAGTAGCCAGATTTTTTTTTACTTTAATGTCCTATTAATACCATTAAGCTCTGGCATAATGCACAAATTGTATTCAATGGGGAATTCAACAAACTGCATCTGTGCACCAAGGAACTCTTATGATCGGACAAGATGGTGCCATAGAACGTCCTAGAGTGCACCGGCGCAATTTGTCGAAGTTGGTCATTCTTCAATGCGCATGAAATTTTTCTTCATAGAGCCAGTCAAATGTTCGCAAAACTTTGAAAAGGAAACTAAAATGTTCGGCACTATATAAAAATTGATGGTTTGTGGCAATTAAACTGCAGAGTTATGAGACTTGAAGCCTACTTTAAACTTTTTGATGTCTGATTTATGAAACTGCTGAACAAAATAAAATTGTTTTCATTTTCTGGCTGGAAATAGCAACCTTTAAATGATTCTGCAGTTACATTATCTAAAACATAACTCTAAAGCATACTTTGACGTATGTTGCGAGTTCTCCATATATGCCACAGAATTGTGAATATTTCAACAAAAAATGTATTTCAGAACTACGTAATATATGTCATGTACCTCCTCTTGGGTGTGTACACGGCAAATAAACAAAGTTATTGAAGATAAAGCTTATGTCAACCAGGCAACAAATAACGAAGGAGTGAGAGCTGTTGCACGCGCTTTGCGCTCTCTGCCATCAGCTACAAAACCATTGGTTATAGCATAAAATATCTTAGACAAGATGGTGCTGGATCTTTCATGCTGAAAGCTACGTTCCCCACAAGTACTTGACAGCTGGCATTTCAGGCAGCAGCCGTTTTGCGACTTGCTCGCTCGAAGTTTTTCGGTATGTTATGAATTCGCGACATTCGGGAGGAAACAGTTGAGGGCCCTGGAACACTTTTTCAAATAACCATGAAATGGATTCACTAAAAGAGCTTATTGCGTCATGAATCCAACATTGTAAAAGTTTTAAGAATCCGTCCAGTACGAGTTGAGTGAGAAAGATTCGTCGCATGCTGCAATCACATTCGCTGTTCGCTCGTCTCGACAAAAGTGCTATAATCTAAGCAGGGGTGATGGTATTGGCAAAGAAAATATGTCAGGTGCACCTTGTGACCTTGAGTTCTATGTTAAAATTGACCAATGGCTGATAGAAGGCTTTCTACAAGTGATTTTTGAGCTTCCTCTGACGCTTGTTGAGAGAATAGAAAGCAATCTTTAGCTCACTGTGATAATTTATTGTGAATTGCAGGCCGCGTGGTGCACTATAATATTTGGCTCGCGTGTTCTCGAGAACCTCTATTACCGATTAGCAGCATTTTCTGACCATGCTCAAAAAGTGTTGCAGGCCCCCGCAAGTATAGATTAACTTCATTCTACATATAAGTGCCATAATTTGAAAACTATAACTTGTAGCACGTGTCGGTCTGATGAAATCTTTTTAAACTGCGGATAAATGATGTAAAAGAAGACAGTGACCAAGGTAAAAATCGCAATTTGGAAGACTTTCGTGATAGGTTATTGCGAACAAAGCTGTTGCACAAAATCCAAAACGGCCCTAAGATTGGGTTTTTTGTCTTGGTCAGCATCTTTTTTTTTTTCTATTCACAGTAGCTAGTGCCATGTGCTATGATGCTTAACACGCACATTATTTTTGCATTTTTCACGAAGGGTGAACAACTACTTAGAGAGGAGGACATTTATGAGCTTATTGAAAAGGATGGTGACAGTATTGCTCTATTGCTCCTACCTGGAGTCCAGTACTACACTGGGCAGGTATTTGATGTGCCTGGAATAACAACAGCAGCACGTAAAAAGGTATGTTAAAAAAGTGTGCTGTAACATGTACCGACAGCATGTCATGGGTTATATGCTTAACCAACACTTGCTCATGTTCAGTCATGCCCACTTAATCAAACTCTCTTGCATATTTGTGAAACTGTCATTTAAATTAGAGTAGCACACCGATCTATGCCTTTTACTAATTTTCCTCTCCTGTATGTTTTTAATAACTATAGTAAGGTTCACTTGTCCACAGATGTTGTATTCTCTCCTCCTCCCTTTTTTTCCTCCCAGTAAATGCATTAGACAACACAGAAAATGGGACTTTCCATAAAATCTTATCTTTCTACAATTTACATTTTGTTTATTTTAGGGTTGCATCATCCTCTGGGATATGGCACATGCAGTTTGTAACATTCAACTGAAACTGAATGAATGGGATGTGGATATAGCAGCCTGGTGCACATACAAGGTGAGCTATTTACTATAATTTGCAAAACATTCATCGGAAGGTGCAAGAACATAATGCTGTCTGCAGCTCGGTGCTAAGTGGGAACTAAGGGTTAATAATGACTGTTTATAATTGAAGCTGAAATTCAAGATTGTCCATTGCCTCACAGTGCTTTTAATGTCTGGTACACTGAAGTGTAATATGAAGGAGTTCACACTTGCAAAAAAGTGCATTGCATTTATAATTTGGACAACTGTTTTCCTTTGCCAAAATACATCTCATGAGTAACACGGCATCAAAAGGTAAATATACTTACACTCTTGCTTTCTTGAAATGTGCACATTTCTACGATGTTGATGAACTGTAGTGTGTTGGTATGTCTGTTGACTATGGCTGTCACAAAAAAGCTGTGCGACTCTAGTGCTGAACACCGATACTGTAGGTTCAGCTTAAGCAAAAAATGTGTGTTTCAAAGATCAAGGTAGCAGTCTGCTAATAACAGCTTTCGTAAGAGTGCTAAAAAATTGTACATGGGGCAGGATCAGTGTACTTTCTGTGGTGATGCAAACAAACTCAATGTAATGTCAGCTTCGTTTATGAACGGTATGCGAGTGACCACTAAAAAATGAGCTGCAGAGCAATGCATATCATTTTGCTGCATAATCATGATTGGCAGAAATGGTAAATTATTGATTTCGCCAAATTTTTTTAGAGAACTCCCATATGCTGTCTTTTCATGCACATTGCAATATTTATAAAATGAGACACACTCCCTGAGCCTAAGCTTGAGTGAAGGCAGTGCTGCTCAAATGAGCACACACACCTTAAGATGACTGTCACTGATAAATTTATATTTTGTTCCATTTAGTTTGCTGTAGCAAACTGTTATTGGAGGAGAATTGTGCTTCCTGTTATCCTAGTTTAATTTGCTAGAAGGTATGGTAGCACAATTATTCCAAGAATTTTAGAGCAATAGTTTAAAAAAATATACTACTTCAGACTGCTTGTACTGAGTGAGCCATTCAAGTGAACTGGTTAAACGAATGGAAGTTTCTATTGCAAGAAATCTTGTAACTTTACTTTCCATGTTATCTGCTTCCACTGCACTCTTTGCCACTTTTACGCCTTTCTTATTTTGACTGATATTTTGGATTTCAAGACTTTCTGTGCTGTAGCAGCTCCTTAGTGATGCTGATGCTGTTAAAGTTCATATTCAATACACTGCTTTCACATTCACAAGTAAAAGCAACAAATGCTAACTGACATGTTGAATTCCTGATGAAGAAGATTAAGTATTCATTACCAGAGCTGAACTAATCCTGTTCATTTCCTATCCTCTGTGTTATGTGGCTAGCATAGATTTTTATAATTAAGATGTCAAGATGTAAACCAACCAAGTTTTCACTTCTACTGCATGTAGAATTGCAGTTCATGAAATGTTTGTTACCGTGCATGTTTTATTTAGTATATAGAGGAGAGGTTTATTTACAGAAAGCAGTGAAGTCGACCTGACCAATAGTATGCTCTAGCCTGCTACTCAAGACCAAAAGAGACTAATTTGCAAGTAGTTGCAATTCGCAAATCGTTCGACATATAACCTACTAATCTAATGCATAGTGACCTGAGCTTGCTGAAAGCTTTACCAGTAAGTTGCCACAAGGTACTTGCATGGTTCTAGACATACCTCTTTTTTTCTTTTCCTGTGCATAAAAAGTTGCTCTTGCTCCCATTGAATGGTATCTGCTTGAGCATCAGCACATGTTAACAACATCATATTTCTTGAGTGCAGTACATGAACTCTGGTCCCGGCAGTATCGGCGTTGCTTATATAAGCCACAAATTTCGAAAAGCCTGTGAACGGCTTCCAGAGTTGAGAGGATGGTGGGGCAACAACATTGAGACCAAGTTCCTCATGAGACCTGGTAAGTTCTTTTTGCGGTAATTTATTTCATGCTTTGTGCAAGCTTGTTTGCTTCAGTGAGTGTCTGTGCAGAGTGGTACATCACTAAACTTGTACAGAAATCTCAAACACTTAATGATACTATCCGAAATGACCGACTTTGGCTGTTATCAATTAGAGAACAGTAAAAATGAGATGCTATGCTCTATCTCCAGTGATGCTGTTGGCGTGGCCTTGGTAGATAACTGCATCATACAATGAAGCTGTGGAGATGGATCTGTGAAGGGACAAGGTTGCATAGGACCCAATATCCTACAGACACGGAATGGTCAAGGTCATAGATATTGCACCAGTAGACCAGGAAAAAGATCTCCTTTATCGAAAACTCGCATTTCCAAGATACTGCCCAATATTACTAGGAACTCATTAGCCTTGAGATCACTGGGTCTTATCTCCACTGGTTTTAATACTGAGTAAATTGACACGTGAATAAGTTCACAGACCTACGATGACCAATTCACTTGAATTGTGATTGCATTATGTCAAAACATTGATTTTACTGCAGTATAAATGTAAAAATTACTGTGGACATGACATTGAATACACACTCTGCAAATAAATTTTAAGGTAGGGAAGAGAGTAATTTGAGCTTATTCTGGCAACATGGTCTCTAATTAATTATTTCGGCTTGTAATAGTTTTTGTGACCTGCACTGTTGTCACTTGAATGGGAAGTGCCATGCAGTAACACAGTGTGAATTTCGCTATGGAGTTCATGTCCTGTAAGTATTTCCCACCAGTTGTAATGAAGTCATTTAAACATTTTTTTACTTGCATATACATGTTGTGTTGCATATGTGGTCTCGTAATAATTAAGCACCGGAGAAACTAGTAATATTGTTCTCTCTTAGCTGGTGAAGGTTCACTTTAATTAAGTATTTATGCCTGTAATGCATGGTCATCGTGAATCTTGTCCTTGTTTTTTGTTTACAGAATTTGACCCCTGTCTATCAGCAGATGTGTTCAAACTCTCCAATGGACCACCTCTTCTAGTTGCAACAGTAATGGCAAGCCTAGAGGTAACCTTAAACCTAATGAAGCTGTATATGGGCATTGGCAGGGGATTGAAAAGGGGGCATATGCTACCCTCAAGTCTCACCAGCATTTGCTCCCACCCAAGATATGCCAGTACTGTTCTCCTCCCCTAACAATGGTTGCATCTCCTCAAGATAAAAACCTGCCGATTGCCGTGCATATGTGTTATGTTGATTTCGGCAGAAAAGAGAACCTTTGTGTACCTCAATGCAAAAATTATTTTTATACACTTAGCCTATCTGTGAAATGCGTGAAGGCTGCTTAGAATGTTATCAAATCCAAGAATTTATTCTAGTTGACTTTTATAAAAAATTTTGTGATTAGCTTTCTTATTCTATTTTATAAAAATGCATAAAATGTGTTAGTTTATGCCATTTACATATACTTGAATATACATATACTTGATTTTTCTATGAGATACATTAGGGTGCAGTATGTTTCAAATGAAGAAATTCGCTTAATTAAAATCTGCCTCTCCCTTTATTGATATAGATAAGCTATGGCCTCTATTCTATATATGAAAGCATATGTGCTTTGCTCTCAACTGTAGTAAAAATTTTGACATAATGACTATAGCTCACCGCATCTCTGTCTCAACATAATTCTGAACACAGTAGACTCCCTTTAAGATGAACTTGAAGGGACCACAATCATGTGTTCGTCATATCAGTGCTCCCAAAAACCTCATCAGTGCTCCAAAACAAAAAATAAAAAAATAATAAAAGTACACCCAAATATGTTGCTTGAAAACACTGAATGAAGTGCACTTATGGGGAGAAAAGTAGCTAGAAAAAAATTTATTTAGCTGAGCTTGATAAAAACTACGCTTTCAAGTAGAGTATTTAGACTAAGCTAACGAATACTCGTTTCGCAAGTTCATAATAAACATGTTCATGAATAAATTGCAACCACATTTCAATAATAAAACTGTAGCACATCCCCCTTTCCACGATTAGAAAAAGACAGAAAGGAAGAGACAAGCACAATTTTCCCTCAAGGAAAGGAAAATTTTACTGGCTTTGCTATCACTTTTGGATACGACTTCATTGCATAGGACTACCTTGACAAAGCCAATATACGCCAAGTTGCCTATGAAAGTCTGCGATATTTTCTTTGAGGTTCCGATATTTTCTTATTTTGAGCCCGCAGTAACTTCTGAACGACATGCAGCTGAAGATCTCCGTTTACGCTACTCACAATCAAAAGCCTCAAGCACATACAAAAAAAAAAATACACGACACAGCTATATTTAGTGTGGAAAAATGCCTTCCTTTGTCATGCAATTTCATAATGAAATTAGTTCATCACAATTTGCTGCATTTCACTGGGAACAGATATGACGTGCACAGGCCCTATGCAAAGCAACGCAAACTGACCACAATATGAGCTCAGGCGCCGTTGTGAAATTGCGATGACAACTTCATTGTGAAATCACGATGACAACTAACATGGAAGTACTAGTGTAGCATAAGTGGTTTTCGTTTCATGTGATAATGATGTACAGACCATCTTTGTTCCTATTTTCACTTTTATTTGGCTTTTTATTGCCCCCCCCCTTTCTTTGCATTTTCCCATCTGGCCAAGCTCTTATGTTCTTCTGTTCACTACTGTACTCTTGTTGGGGAACTGACAAATGTGAGGACAGTACAAAAAAAATTAACACGTTTGTAGCTTTCATTGCTGATAAAGCCAGCCCTTCTCCACCAACAGGCTAGGGGAGGGATATACTAGCTCCCTCCACGTTGCAATTTGCTTTCTATTTGCTTTGAGTGTTTGTGCCATGAAGTTTTTTTTGTTTTGTTTTTATTTTGCTTTATCTTGTTCGCTTGAATGCCCGCATCAAAACAATCATCTTTGTTGTACAGAATCCTCGTCGTTGTTGGTCACTGCAAGAGTTTCTCTTAACAAATAAAGCCTGTTACACGGTTGGTCTTAAGGAGATATTTTTCGCAGTGAATCTATGGGAAACGAAACAAACACTGCCGTGTTGTTAGTCTTAACAAAGTTTGTCTTAACAGTGTTCGCTTTAATAGTAGTTTATTGTACATCAAGGGCAGCTTATGCTGGCTGAGGCAAGCCACAACGATGAACAATTAGCTTTTAGCTGCACCGACAGCTGCTTAGAGTGCTGACATTATAAAAGGTTACATCATCAAGAGTTCAAGTCTGCACTGTCACTATCTCTAGTTTTAGATGTGCAGTTACCCACTGCAGGGTGAACCAGCAGATCCCAGCAATGTAGACACATGCAAGAAGCCACTACCTATTTGTAGGTAGCATATTGATAAACATTACTGAGTCTCACATTTAAAAATATGTCCCCTGTAGTACCATCACTGGAGGGCCGAAGCACAAGGAATGGGCATTTTAGCATAACTTGACCAACTGCCAGGAATAATCATGTGGCTCAAAATCAAAACATGTTCGTCTCCTTGTCACACTGTTCATTTATTTATTTTTGTTCAACAGATGTTTGCAGAACTGAAGGAATCTGACCGCCTACACAAGCAACATTTGCTCACTGGTTACTTTGAGCTCCTTATGATTGATGAGCTGGGTGCCAGCCATGACATTACAGACAGCACACGTCCGTTTCATATTCTCACGCCGTCTGACACAACGAAAAGAGGCTCCCAGCTTAGCATACACCTCGCCGAAGAGCCCAAGTTCACGCACCAAGAGCTACAGCGCAGAGGAATTCTCGTGAGTGCCTGTGTCCCGCATCTTGTTTACATTTCCTTTTTTTTTTTTTTCGTAGTGAAGCTTCTAGCACCACTTTCAAACACGCGCTCATGTAACAAGTTGTTTGCGCACCATGCCAAGGAGAGAGTGGTAAGCCAGCAGTTTCAGTGAAAGTTTGGTTGTTCCCACCACTGATATGTTAATGAGCTGAACATAAAGCTTATTTCTTAAGAAGCCCTGCAACACTGTATAACTGAAGTTTAAGCGCACAAAGAAACAGAAAGGAACACAGGACAAGCTTTTTCTCGCAACTAAAATATTTATTGGAAAGAGAAGAATATATAAGCAGGCAATCAACATCAGCACATGCGTGTGAAGGCAAGAAAGTACAACCATGACAAATCAAGAGCACTCAAGTTCTCACAGTTGTACTTTTTTAGCATAATTCGCACACATGTGTTGATATTGATTGCCTGCTTATATATTCTTCTCTTTCCAATAAATATTTTAGTTGCCAGAAAGCGCTTGTGCTGTGTTTCTTTGTGTTTCTTCGTGCGCTTAAACTTCAGTTAATCATGCATATCCAGCTAGCCCAACTTTCGATTCTGCTTCAACATAAAGCATGGTCAGAAAATGCTGCTGATTGGTAGTCAGCAATCCTGCGAGCATGTGAGCCAGACAATATAGTGCAGCACTTGGCATGCAATCAACTATTAAATTTTAAAATCAGCTTTAAATCATTCTGTGCGACATACCCCGTGTCCCATACTCAAATGCACAACAAGCACATGGCCATCGGCTGATTCGATTATTGTGAGCTGCATAGTTATCATGGCCAAGGCAGTGCGGCCGCACTGTGCTGGAATTTGACGACTGTAAAATCCCAAGCAAACGTCCCTACCTGACCAAACAACCCCTCCCCACCCCCCTTTCCTGCCATTTTTGTTTGTTCAATCTGTTCTCTGCCAAAGAATCCTGCAGCAGTAATTCTCAGGAACTTAAGTATGGAGAGTCTTAACGTAAAGTGTGCTAGAATGAGGGAGTGGATGTACTTAAGGCTCCGCGCTAAGGCACTTATTTCTGAAAATCCAGGTGGCACCAATGTTGCACTCACCTGAAGGCTACCATGGTTCAAATTGATATTGCCATGGTTACTGCCACGCATGGTGGCCGCCAGCGGCAGCTTTGCCGTCACCCGTCGGTCGCGTGTCAAGCGTACTCTGCAGCGTTGCTACTGTGTTCATGCAAACCCGTGGGCGGCGTCGCAGCAAGTCTCACGAATAATTCAACTAACGGGAGGTACTAAGTTGATTTTCTGCTCATGGCTAATAGCAGCAAGGCTGAGTTTATTGCGTTGAATTTTTTTGCACTAACAAGGTTGAATGTAGCTAGCAAAAAAAGGATAAAAACAACACACAAGCAGCGGTGTATCGAGCAGACAATGCCATGCCAAGCAGACGACAGCTCAGTGCTCTCTAAGTCACCACGGGTGCTGCCGACCGCTGCTCCACCGGCCCAATCACACGGATAAGCCGGAGCTTCATGTAAAGGTGACTGCAGCGCAGTACCAAATTTTCAGCACTTTTTGCTTCACCCACGTCACTTGCCACAATTTCTGAATATGGTGCGTCAAGGTCACATTCTCAATTGTGACAAATTGTTGAACATTTAAAGACTGTCTTTCCCCCTTGCCATAAAATATCAAATTTCATGCGATGATTCCCTCCGATTCACCCCTCCAAATATTGTCCGATTATCCTTTACTGGAGGAGGGGTGCTTGCTCAGGTTTTACGGTAGAGGATTGCACCAGCACTCTCATCACCGCACCGAAAGCAAGCCACCCATTCCAAGAAAAACAAGAAAAAGAAGTGCACACGACAATTATGTGCGTGCATGCATGGAGGTAGACCGCTTCCATCCCCTTCTGTATAGCTTTCAGTGCCCTTGCTAGGACGAAAAGTAGCGAAAGTGCTCTGACCATACGACAAATCAACTCGTGGCAATCGATGCGTTGCTTTCAATATTTATGCCCTACAAATAGTAATACAAAGATAAGGGCTGGTGTATCTCTGCTGACAGTGCGATAGGGTAGTGCTTGGTCCTATTAAACAAGGGAAGTACTACATACCTGCTTTCTTTATTTCAGTGTGACCTGAGAATGCCTTCGGTCGTCCGACTCGCTCCCATGCCCCTGTACAACACTTACGAAGATGTCTACAACTGCATCCAAGCACTGAAAGAGATTTGTGCCAGCTTTCCTGTGAAGAAAGCCTCTTGATCATGACTCTCGTTGTAAACCATAGTTTTATGTGAATGTTCTTGCAAGTATGAGAAAGGCTGTTCTACTTAAATTTTCTAAATCTAAAAGTTAACATGTTTTTTTATGTGTGTGTCAACAAAAGGTTGAGGCTGGTCTGCACAGATCTGTACGAGGAATTCAGTACCTGACTAAATATTTTGAAGTAATCGGCATCAACATTTCGATTAAACGAAGTGCACATGAAGTTACAACAGCATTTGAATAAAGACGGCTGAAGTGAAAATTGCTTTTTATTTTTGTGTCTTTCAACAGAGCTTATACTATTTATATACTACACTTGAAGAAAGTACAATGCATTGCATTTCTTCCCAGCTATTTTCCTGACGAAATTTAGTATATATTTAAAACAAAGGTCTGTGTGCAGTGGGAACTTGCGGGCGATTGAGATAATGTATTCACAGCAGAAATCTTAATGCTTAAATTCAGGGGAAGTGATACCTGAGCAGATGTGCAGACAGGTTCGTATCACTGCCTGACTTCATTGCATAAAATTTATCCCGAAATTTATTGTAATTGCTCTTGCAGGCACTACAACAAACCCGCTAGCCTAGACAACGTGCTCTGGCCTTGCCCCTCATTATGGGAAACGGACCAATCCAATGAAGAAAGGTGACTATCCACCAGGGGTGGATCCAGCCACTCATTTTAGGGGTGCGGTCACCTAATGTAACACCAGAGGGGGGAGGGGGGTGATGACGTTTTTGTATACTAGCATTTCAAAAACCCCTATAAATTCTGTTAATGTGTGCTCACACTGGTTTCACTCATTTGTCCTGATTGGTGATAGGAGGTGAACTACTAGCACTGAATTTAGGGGAAGGTGCGCTGACAGAAATTTGTGGGTGACTGAGAGAAATGGGGGAGGAGCGTTGGGCTAGGAAGGTTTTCAGCTAATTGTACATAAAGAATGTCGATAAAAAACGGAGGAAGCGAACCAGAAAATTGACGGGTAAATACTTAAAAAACAGCAGGGAGCCAAATCAAAAAGAACTATCGTTTAAGAAGAAGGTGAAGGAAACGGAGACTGACATGTGGAGAATTGGCATGATTAAGAAGCCTACACTAGAGATCTATCGAAATTTTAAGCAGGACATTGCCATGGAAAGTATCTATTATAATCCTCGGGGTAGTTCTCTGCTGTTTGAGGCGAGGACGGGAGTATTGCGAACCAAGACATGTCGGGCCAAATACGAAGGGGTAGACACGGTATGCAGTGCGTGTGGAGAAGAGGAGGAAACTGCCAAACACTTGATAATGTTCTGTAAAGGGCTTCACCCTGTAGTTCAGGATGATGGCGCAGAGTTTTTCAAAGCACTAGGGTTTAGGGACAGGGAGGGCAAAATAGACTTTAAGTGGGTAGAATTAACTAGAAGAGAAGGAGGTTATCTGATTGGTGGATAAAGTCAAGGCACGAGTCAAAATGAAACCATTCACTGCAAAGTACCAGTCCTCAACTTCACCATTTAAAGGGAAAAAAAAGATAAATCTAGTTGTTGGTTCACTAAGTATTATGGCTAAATGGCTTTAGCCGCCGCCCGATCGCTTTTTTTTCTAGATATGTATAACTAAGCATTCTATTTAGTATGACTTGTTTTTCAGTAGCCTTGTGTATTCTAACTTGCTGTATAACTTGTTCGTTTTTTTTCGCTATGCTCCCTGTTTGTGCCCCTCCTGCTTGGTCTACGGACTGCAGTATGTAATAAATAAATAAAAAATAAAGGGTACAGCCACATCAATCCATCCATCCATCCGGGGGAGGATGCAATCGTCCTACTGCCTTCCCTCTGGATCCGCCAATGCTATCCGCTATCAAAAGCCTCGATGTCGGGGACCAACTGTGGGCTGTCCAGAAGGCCCCCAATGCGGCGGTCGGGCCCATGGCTTGACTGTCCCAACGTGGGAGCGGCCCGCTGCACGTTGAGTCGTGCATTTCAGGACTTCAAATTAAGTTTCGCATCCATCCATCTGGGCTGGTCATGTCATGAGAGCAAACAGATGGTAGGGTAAAATGTTAGAGATTGGAAGCGTGGCCAAGGACATCACAGGGTTAGGCTGAGTGACGAAATTAGGAAATTTCGTGGTTCAAAGTGGAATCGGCTCGCCAAACAGAAGATGCATTGGAAATGATTGGAAAAAGCCTTCATCATGCAGTGAACGTACAATAGGCCGATGATGATGGTGTAGACTATGTTAAACTCAGAGGTGGATACAGCTATTCATTTGTTTTTTTGGGGGAGGGGGGGGCAGTCACTGGAAGTAAAACCAGAGAGGGGGCGTGGCCATGACTTTTGTTTATCTAGCAGAGGAAAACCCTTCATAGCATACATACTGTTAATGTGTACTCGCAGTCCTTTCACTCATTTGTCCTGATTGGTCATAAAAGGTCGACTACATGCACTGAAGTGAGGGAGGTGGGTTAAACAGACTTTAGGGAAGGGGCGATCCATTGGCTTGGGGGGGGGGGGGGGGGCATTTCATGAATAGGTTATGTGCAAGATGACAAAAGAGAGGGAAAAAATCACTGTAGATTTTTACACTGGCTCTTTAGAGTGCATGGCACAGGTGTGCTTAATGCACAGATTGAAAAGTGCCGTAGAAAAATTATGTGTAATGAGTATTATGTGCCATATGAGATAACAACATGATGCCTTTGGAACCACACGGTACCCCATTGTTGCTATCAGTTTGGCTGCTAGAGGTATTGATATAGCTCTGACATAAGCATTGGAGTCATTCTGCTGATATGAATGAAGCAGGGGACAGTGAAAACAAAAGTACATGCACTATATACTTTGTTCTAAATTGCTGATTTCGTGAGCACAGTACATGCTGCGCCCTAAACTGACAACAATCGTATGGATGACTTGCAACAGCTACTCAATAAATTTCTGCCTCCCACTGTGAAACATTTTTGAAACATGAAATGACAAAGGAAACGGGCCTAGGCGTGATGAGTAGTGTTAATGCAGTGTGCAGAAGAGGCATTTGGTTCGAGCAAACCATGCAAATTAACCGTGTAGTGAGCAAAGAAAAGAAAAAGGCACGAAAATTAATAGCTTAGTTCAGTGCTTCACATCGTGTGGAACAACGACGAACAGAAGAGACACACACAGTGCTTCGAGTGTGTCTCTTCATTGTTTGCACTCGTTCTGTGCACTTTTAAGCATTGGATTATGCTACTTCAACTATCCCAACGCCCTATCTTAGTGAATGAAGAACTGACAAGTTATTCAGCTGTGCACCGCAGGACCTGGCCATTAAGTGTACCCTGAACAGTTGGTTACAACTTGACGAAATCATTCAGCATATAGGCATCGGTAGGAGGGAGGAAAAAGGAGCATTGGAACCCCCGCCCTAGACGGACCAGCACTTGCTTACCACCCCCTCACGCAGCACAATGCAACGCGAGTTTTCATCCTCTAAGACATATCCTGCACTTGTGTACAGGGTGTGGAAACCGAAAAAAGGCGGGAAGAGTCAAGTGAACTTCAAGTTGTCTGCAATGGCCGGCCGGAGGCGTTAAACCCTAGCTGCCTTTCAATCTTTTAAAGTCTTGATCATAGCAAGAGTTTCTGCAGAGGTCTTTATCGAGCGCTTCATTTTCACTTGTTCAATAATAATAATAATAATAATAATAATAATAATAATAATAATAATAATAATAATAATAATAATAATAAAAGAACCTCTCACGGACAGGGCCGTACGTGCTACGCAGAGCACACTGAGCGACGATTGCACTGATTAGCTGGGTTCCCTCACTACCACGACTTTTAAGCGGTTAGAACGCGCTCCAACGTAAATTCACTGACGTTACTTTTTGGACAGACCGTGCATGTTAGCTCTGCGCTCTGACATTAGTGTCCCTCCCTCAGAGGATGTGCATAAGTACTTCACATCGTGACTTCGAAGCACTTTTCGGCCGGCTGTTTCAGATTGTTGACTTTCCCATACAAACGCACGTTTGAGTCGCTGTTCTTAAGGTCCCAAACTCGAACGACCCGGTAGTTTCGCCAAAAATTTTGCCATCACCATCCTTGCTACAACTAGATGCGTAAAGAAACCACGATCCTGGTACTTACAACTGACCGAGCAAAAGCGCTTACGGTTCAAACGTAAAAGCAACTGACGGGACTGCCTTTACGACCAACGTTGTTGTTTACGACGATGTAAATCTTGAATCTGGCGCCTTGTTTGCTACCCTTGTGTGCTACCCACTAACTAATAACAACTTATTGCCGTGTTAATAATATTCAAAAACAATTACCAATTGTAATATTATTTTTTGTGTTAAGTTTTATTTATTATACATAAATAATTACCTATATTTGTTTAGCTTTTATTAATAAACTGACTGAACAAGGGCAAAAAGTCACCGCGACGCGGCTACAGTATCATACAATACATTTTTTTGTGACGTAAGCCTCTTCTATTTTTCAATTGGTTATTTTTTTGGACTTTGACCAATCAGGTGGCGCTTGAAGCTGCGAAAGACACGATTGTGAATGTCGCTCGCCATCTTTGATGTTGGCGAGGTGGTTTAAAGCGAGTGAATGTGAAAAATACTAATCAAGATAGACTATTTCACACGATTTCCAACATGGAGGTCGTTAAGGCCTTCAACAGCGAGGTAAGCCACTGGATTTCAATTTTTTAGCTCTGCTCGAGCGCTCGTTTTGAGGTACTCGGGATGTATTGCGAATGAGGCCTAACCGGCGTGTTTCCACCACTTTATGAGGATTTGGGGGGAAGTTAACGTTATCCCTGTGCAAATGCATGTCTCTGAAGGCCCTAACCGTTACGGTGCTGCCTTTGATTAATGTGCAGGCCCTGCGTATGACGACGCATCGATCGCACGAATGGTGATTGCAGTAGTCGTTGTGTTTAGTGGTGCTTACGAGTGCGTGTGCGCGTGCATGGGCTTGCCGAAGGATGTTGATGGTCTCTTTAGCTCATCCGCGACATCTTTTTAACAAGGACCGCGCTGAACACGCGTCGCTTGCTGAGATCTAGCGTGAATTGCTTTGCGATCGGCCGGTTCGTTCAACTGCGTATCGCGCTGCCGCGGTTACAGCGTCGTGCGGAGCAGGGCGCGCTTTTCTTTCTGCTCAAATTTCACGAGGCATTCGGTGCATTCGAAGTCCCTAAGGGTGTTCGATTGAACTCGATCCAACTCCGAGATCGCGCATTTCCTCCGCGTGCACTGCTGTTTGGTTATATAACTTTCATTCGGACGAGTGCAGCTTTTTAAAATTTTTTGGTGACGTGCGTGTTCACTTGGCGAATCAAGTAACGCGGTGCTGCTATGGAAAATTTCATGCCTGGTCGTGACGGCCGACTTGGTGTGCCCTTAAATATGCCATTCACTTTCCAGCTCTCGTTTTCTACAACAACCATTGTTATCTCCGAAACTGATTGGCTGGATATTTATTGTGCGGCCTGTAGTGATCTGTACAACCCTTCTTACGATGTATTGGTATTGGTACTAAGCGTACCGAGTTATTATGACTGAAATATAAAAAAAACGAAAATCCGTGCATCGCATGTTAACAAGTGTTGTGTACACTGTCACATCTGTGATAACTTCACTTTTTTCTTTCATGTGTTTTTCATGACCAGCTTACCTCGCTGTATGAAGGCAAGCCTCCCATCTCAAAAGCCAAGATGACAGCGATCACGAAATCAGCAATCAAAGGAATCAAATTCTACAAGCACATTGTTCAGAGCGTCGAGAAGTTTGTTCAGAAGGTCTGTCCTGGTTCTCTTCTGGCCTACGCTGCATGCTCATTGGTTCTGTAACTGAGAACAATAATGTAGTCAAGATTCTCGCATTGATGTGAGCAATAAGCCCACACTATATCAGGCGTTTGCTCAACGGCCAGAGTTGTATAGCTGTTACAGTGCTCGGCTCAGGGCCGAGGGTTTCATTCCTGCCAGAGTGGTCGCAAAATGCTAGATAGCCATGGACTAGATTTATTTGCGCATTATTTAAATCCTGGTGGTTGAAATTTTCTGAGCTTTCTAAGGCACGCCTTTGTAATCGTTTCATGCTATTGGCAATTTAGCCTTCAAATTATTATGCTTATTAAGTATTGTGTTAATGAGGTCAACTCATTAGACATCCAGTCTGAGGTACCTTACATTGACTTTTTTTCCGTGTATGTTGGCCCTGCTTATGGAGTTGCATTGTCACATCTTATTATTTAATGGGACAAAGACCCAGTCATTCTCAGTAATTTAAAGGGACACTAAAGTCAGCTATTAAGTCGACGTTTATTGTTGAAGTGGCGGTCCAGAAATCTCGTAGTGTTACTTTTGTGCTAAAGAAGGGCATTTTAAAATAAAATCGCATTTTAGTGGTTCGCATCGGGTTAGCGAGCTTACCCACCTCAAGAAGCAGATCGACCGGTTTGTCTCTAGTCACTGTTGCTGTGCACAACGTTGCCTGGCTTTACTGTACTAGTAGCAGCATACCGAAAGCAGTGGGAGCCACAGCAGCAAAAACGGCCATTGATCAATTTTCCTCCATTGGCTCCGAAATTGCAGACACTTTTGTTTCAACTGCACCCTGCTAGATGGCACCACCTGTCTCGTGTAACCACGCCAAAATTGAATTTTCGAACCACTCGCACCATTCCCCACAGTAACGCCCGGTGTTTTTTTTTCCATGAATCAGACAGAAACGAACACTCAGCATATTATTGCGTCTCTTGATGCACGGAAAGTTCTTTATTTAGTGCAGCTAGATCGATTACTAGTGATTAATTGTAGGCACCGTCCGTCTGATGTCATCGGAATCATTTTGAAAATGTCCTACTGTGGCGCTTGTGTTCTTGTGCGCTTACCTTAATTTCTCGGTACGTAGGGCACTGTTGTTAATAATATTGTCGTTTTGGGTGTTGTCATACATTGAGCTTTCACTCTGGCGTAAATTGTTATTTGACTTTAGTGTCCCTTTAAGCTTTCGAACAGGCACCATGGTCATCTCGGCAAAAGTATAGGATGTTTCACAGTGATGAAGGTGCATATGTGTGACCAAAAAAAAAAGCCAAGTGATTCTGCCTACATATATATATATATAGTTATAAACTTCGAAAATAGTGCAGTATAGGAAACAAAACAATAAAATATTAATTTAATCCTAACAGTTTCGGCTGGTGGACCAGCCTTCTTCGGAGGATGTAAAACCATTTCACTTACATCCTCCGAAGAAGGCTGGTCCACCAGCCGAAACTGTTAGGAATAAATAAATATTTTATTGTTTTGTTTCCTATACTGCACTATTTTCGAAGTTTATAACTTTTATTTCGGTAGCCGGAAGAAACTCTGATCATCTATTTCATCCATATATATATATATATATATATATATATATATATATATATATATTTTTAATAATACCTTCTCGGAGAGGTAGAAACTGCAGTGTAGCAAATGCATTGTTCCCAGATTTACTTTTGCTAGCTCTTTGTTTCGTGTGCCTTTACTTTATGCCTTTCGCAGATGTTAATGCAACATTTTATGGAGTGAGGTAGCCTTTATTACGTGTGCTCATTCACTTTCATCTCATTGTAGTGTCGGCCAGAGTACAAGGTGCCTGGACTGTATGTTGTGGATTCAATTGTGCGCCAATCACGACATCAGTTTGGGCAGGACAAGGATGTTTTCGCACCACGGTTCACGAAAAACATCCACAACACATTTCAACACCTTTTCAAGTGTCCAGTGGAGGACAGGGTACGTGTCCCTTTTGAGCATATGCACTTTAAGGACCATATTCTGGAACAGTAGTTTTATTTTCTGTTATATATTGTCAAGTCTCAAATCCAGCTGCAACTTCAGAATGTGCGTCAGTATGTGGGTAAGGTATAAAAGGTTAAAATAGTTGATTTATTAGACACTAGAAAAAATTATTTGGTTTAAGGGGGGACGCGCCCTTTGAAAACCGAAAAATCGCGAAAAAGTCGATTTTTTGAAAACCACATACTCGGGCAGTATGACTCATAAACTGCCTCTACTGTAAATATCAATGTCTAATTCATCGCGAAAGTACGTCAAATAAATTTTATAACATGCCGCGGCAGCCGGCAAGTGGCGAGCGAGCGCCAAAAATACCCAAACTTCGCGCGCTCGCCATTTCCCAACCGCTCGGCCGATCGCCGCCATCTTGATGTTGTTTTGCTCGTGAATTCTTGCGCTTTTTTTTTTCGCCACCCGCGGCAGTGGCAGTGGCGCTCCGAGGCGGGAGTCGCTCACGATTGGGGGGCTCGCGGAAGCTTTCGAATGTCCCGCTGTCTGGATGCGAAGCCGCGATTGGACAAAGCGCGCGCCTCTCGAGGGAATGGGGAAACGCGCGGCTCCTATTGGCTGCTGCGCGCGATGACGTAGCTGCTTCTCCGGCATGCGCCGGCTCGTCGTCTGCACCGGCGCTTGCAATGCCGGCGTTCTTTGTGTGCCCCGTTTGCCATCATTCCGATCGGTCGTCACACGTGCTCCTCTATCTTTCACCGTCTTCACGAGACGATCTTCTACCGTCTTCACGAGACGATCTTCTACCGTCTTTACGAGACGATCACTACCGTCCTCACGAGACGATCTTCCGCCGTGTTCACGGGACGCGGATTGTTGCGCTGACGGTCACGATGGGCATTTCGAAGTTCAAGACTCGGCACGCGTTCGGTTCAAGAAAGCGTCAGCTGAAGCTCGTACGCATGGCGAAGCTCACCTGCACGCCCACGCGCGGCGACAGTTGCACCGATGCTTCCGCTTCATCTTTTCAAGACGATTGCGTCGACGCTTCTAGCGACGAGACTTCTACACCATCGGCACAAGGATCCGTCGTGACGAGTGAGGCTGGTGTTTCGTGCTCAAGTGCGCCTGGTGTGTCGCGCTCGCCAACCGCATTGATTCCGGCCCCGAACAGTGAGACCGCGTCGTCAACTGTGCACTTCCAAACACGTTTTCGGACGTGCGAGGAGTTGGCGACGGCGGAGAGAGAACGTGCTGCTGTGCAACGAAAGCTTGGCGCTATGCCAGCGACCGAGAAGAAGTTTCAAGCGATGATGCCTGAACCCGAAGCTGCCACCGCTACGACCGAAGGCGAGAGATATTTCCTCGTGCAAGGGGATGCCCTTAGCGACATGCTGTCCAAGACCCCGTGCCCGCGCTGCCTCGCGACCGGGATGAAAGTTCAAGGAGGCACCCAGCTTGGACTTGCCACGAAGCTTGAGCTGGTATGTCCACATTGTGGAATAGTTTCAAGTTCGTGGAGCTCTGCTCGTCAGAACGAGTCAAGGGCCTTCGACGTGAATATAAGAGCCATTACGGCCATGAAACAAATAGGGAAGGGACAGACAGCCCTCAACGACTTTTGGGCAACTATGAATGTTTCCCACCGTGGCCTGCACCACAGAACTTTCCAGAGGCACCTGAAGCAATTCAGAGAACCACAGCAACAGACCCTGGATAAATTCTATGAATAATCGGCTTCTGCTGTGAAAAAGGTGTACAAGGAGATGGACCCATCTTTCTGCAAGGACATTACAGTGAACTATGATGGCACGTGGCATAAGCGCGGACATACATCTCACATTGGAGTTGGTGCAATCATCGAGTATCACACAGGCCTCATCTTGGATGCTGTAGTTTTATCGAATCAGTGTCTCGGCTGCCAGGTAGGACCGAAGCCTGAAGACGAGGGCTATGCAAGCTGGTTGAAGCACCATGTGTGCCAAAAAAAACACTGATGCCAAGTCTGGGAGGATGGAGGTTGAAGCAGCTGTAACTCTGTTCTCACGTTCACTGTCCAAGCATAACCTCCGGTATACAACCATTGTATCTGATGGGGACAGCGCCACATTCTCTGCCCTTCAACAAGACAATGTTTATGGGCTAGTCCCTATTGTGAAAGAAGAATGCTTGAACCATGTCCGGAAGAGGATGGGCACAGTCCTACGTAATCTTGTGCAGAAAAGCGAACAGGCTCTGGGAGGGAAGGGCAGATTGACAAAAGCCCTTATTGATAAACTCACAGACTATTATGGCTGGGCACTGCGGAACAATTCAAACAATGTGGCTGCAATGCAGCGTGCAGTGATGGCGTCATATTATCACGTCACCTCAACTGACGAGGATCCTCACCATGACTTGTGCCCGGAAGGTGCAGACTCGTGGTGCCGTCATAATACCTGCAAGGGGAATGGCGTGCCACCTCCAAAGCACAAATACAATCTTCCGGGCTACGTTGCAGAAGCGCTGCTGCCAGTCTACCAGCGCCTTTCGCAGGCTTCTCTACTGCAACGCTGCCTGGGAGCAAAGACGCAAAATGCATCGGAGTCATTCCATTCTGTCCTATGGTCCTTGATGCCCAAGGAGCAACATGCATCATTGATTGCTGTCGAGACAGCACTGCATGACGCAGTTTTGCGGTATAATGCCGGCTGCTACAGGGCCACCCAAGAGTTGTCGTCATCAGTGGGACTCACACCTGGCCACCTAACCATTCAACGAGCTGCGGAGAAAGACTCTCTGCGTCTGAGAAAGGCTCAGAAACGGATGAATGAGAAGCAGGAAAAGCGGCAAAGAAAAAGAGAGCCTAAGGACACATCTAGCTACTCTGCAGGGTCATTTTAGACCATAATAAATGTTTGAAACTTTCGAAGTCAATTTTCTCAGAATGACTTTTTTGGCCAGTGAGGCTGCTTAGTCAGGTGATCTCCCTGGAACTGCTGGTCTGATTTCTATCAGGTTTTTTTTATTATGCACCTTAATAAATTGCCCAGGGCAAGACAAGCCCGCTTTTTCAATTTATTGTGTCTGTAATTTGTAATAATTAACTAGAACTTCATTGATGAGAGCCAAATTGTGAACACTAAATTCAGTGCTCTGCTAACATTTTTTGGCAAGGAAATTTAAAAAAAGGGCTCTGTCTTGCCCTAAAGCACCTATCCAGGAATCATCATAGTGAATTTCACTGTGCTAGCACATTTTTCAAATTCTCCAGACCCTGACTAAGGGACCCATGTGGACTACCCTGATAAATGGCTGTAACTTGGGAACCAGTGAACATAACTGCATGAAACTTTGTGGTTATTCAAATGGCTTTGCTATTAGTGTACCCTGAAAATTTCATTAAGATATCTCAACAAACAAAAAAGTTGCCCTTCGAAGGTAGCCTCCCCCCTTAAGGTGACAAATCACACTCTTAGCACTCACTCTAATGCGACAACTTTCATTCTCATAAGTTCATTATTAGTGGAGAGAATCAAACTAGAAGTTTTATCTTTAAATTTCGCACCAAAATCTCCGCGCGTGACGTCGAACACTTTGAAATGGTTTTTATACTGTCTATAATTTTGCAAACGACAAAATTTTAGGTGCAAAAGAATTCGATATTCATGTATGACTATGAATCAATGAGAATATGTCTACAATATTTTTTGAACAATTCCAAGAAAAATTGTAAAAAAAATTCTAAAAGTATTTCTAAGCATATTTTATGACATAGCAACTTAAAAGTGTTTATTTTCGCTATGTTTGTGAAGCGGTGTGGTGGGGCTTCATAGTTGTCTTATCAAGAATGAGGCAGTGGAGGGGTTGAGTGGTATTTATGTGCAAGATTTGGTGCAACCAAGTTGTAGAAACCAAACTGCTTTGACAGACAAAAGTGTGTACCTTTCGAGCATTCAGCTCCAACTCTGCCATACATTTGCAATAAAGAAGAACGTCTCAAATTTCGGATGCTAAAAATTTTGAGCATCGGATTGCATACCTGCCAAGTCCAGTCTTGGACTTCAACCACTTGTTACTATTGTGCGGTTCTCAGGGAAATATTTCGAAAATTTGTGTGTGATCTGGCCGCACTGGCAGTCCAATCCCATCAGGTTATTGCGAACCCATCGCACTTCATTGTATTGATTGATTTGTGGGGTTTAACGTTCCAAAACCACCATTTGATTATGAGAGACGCCGTAGTGGAGGGCTCCGGAAATTTTGACCACCTGGGGTTCTTTAACGTGCACCCAAATCTGAGTACACGGGCCTACAACATTTCCGCCTCCATCGGAAATGCAGCCGCCACAGCCGGGATTTGATCCCACGACCTGCGGGTCAGCAGCCGAATACCTTAGCCACTAGACCACCGTGGCGGGGCGCAGCACTTCATTGTAAACAAATGTAGGAGGCATTCATTTAAACAAAAAGTAGAACCTTATTGATGCAAAGCTGGCCAACATGAATTTGTGAGATCCCCAGCAAAATTCTACTATGTCCATTCGGTCGACATTCGGACATCCAGAAAACTTTTCCTCATTGCGCATGTCGTGTGAAATTTAGTACCAAAATCAGCGAAGGAAGGCTGAGAGCAGCGGACTTAAAACTTCAAGTGGGTGCACACAGCCAGCACACGCACTGTCACAACTGTGGTTATCGTTCGGCACAACCACTGTGAATGGAACTGAGGTCTCTCTTGACACGAACTTGTATGGTGACCACGCAACCGACAGAACTCCGAAAGTGCATGTTTCTCCATTGCTCAACCAGTCAAGACGACATAGCTTTCCACAAACGCTGTGGACAAAACCGTGGCAGATGTGATTATAGGTAAACAACTTGGTTTTAGAGGCGCATTCGCAGCCAGCACACGTGGATTGAAGGCGGAAGCACTGTTTTCTGCGGTCGCGGTTGACGTGATCATTTACAGTGACTACTAGCCGGGGCACTCGGCTAACGCAGCGTAAATTAAAGGATGTAAAGAAGGCTGAAAGCATTCTGGCATTCCTGTCCAAAGAATCTACTTACATTGCTCCTGTGTGTCTGCAAACTTAGGCTGTACTTTTTGGCCTCAAGCGAAGCTTCGGCCCGGACTTTTTCGGCAGCCCGCTGCACCGGCCTGTCCATTCATGCGTGTCCCAACAAGACAGGCGAGTTTTCTGACAGAAATAAATATTGCTAGTTTTGATGACACGAAATTTCGAGAGATACAAGTATTCTAGCCCCCCCCCCCCCCCACCTTTGAGACTCTCACCTTCTACTGTAGTTGGGCCATTATAAGACCAGTACGCTGTTTATGGACCCCCCCCCCCCCCCGTCACCTTGCTGTTCTGTCCATCTCTTTCTCCCTCCTCGTTCTTGCTTTTATTTTTAAGAGTTCCTCTGAAGTTGAAAAGACAAAGGCTGTAAGGGTGCTGCGGAGTATTTTGTGTAGTTGTCACTCTGTTTCCCATCTCGGTGTTTTCTTTTTTCTATAGCCATATTGCCATCGCCATGGCGATGGTGCTGGCCAGGCAATTGTAGTGAATACAATTTCTATTTTGTATTAGATTGTTTCAGTCAACGAATTACGGGCCAGCTTTCTCAGAAAAAGAGCAACACGAATTATAGTTTGGTAAACACTGTAATAATACGTTATGAGCTACTGTTTTTCCATAAAAATCTGCCTGAAGCTGGTCCGAACTAGGGTATTTCGATAGAAAATAGTGTGTGTTGCATGTGTTGATTGTTCTTAACGAGCAATGAACGTCAATGTTTTTGCTGTATGGATTGAGGTCGGGCGTGTGCGTGGTGATCGGGCAAGTGTGAATTATCCAGCATAACTTGGAGCATGCACTGGTCCTAGGAGTAAAATGGCAGTGTGGAAATGTTTGATGTGCTAGTTGGCACCTGCAGAGGGATTGAATTACCCATGGTCAGAATTAACGGAATCCTACATCATATATGCATGTGCATTTGTTCTCGCCTCTGCGATTGTCATGAATAAGCATGTAATGCTCACAGGTTCAAGTAAATAATAGCAGTTGGAATGCTGCAGGAATCAGTGAACTTATAGCTTAACTACATTTAATATTCCCTTACTTCCCTGCAGCCAAAGATTGTTCGGGTACTTAACTTGTGGCAGAAGAACCAAGTGTTCCCGCCTCATGTCATCCAGCCACTCCTGGATATGGCGAATCCAGCAGCGGTCCCTGGAGGTAAGTTCTCTCGTTTTATACGGTGCATTTCGGTAGGTGTACATTACAGTTCCCCAGCATTCAGTTCAATCTTTTTGCCAGTGTTGACAGCAGGTGCGTGGCTTTTACCTCAGCCATCTAGTATTAGCCCATTTGATGGCATGATGTTACATAGATTACCGTAATTACTCGAATCTAACGCGCACCTTTTTTCCGGTTAAGCGAGTTTATAAATTGCATGCGCGTTAGAATCGAGTACGAACAAAAAAAATACGGTCAATCTATTGCCATCGGCAAATCCAAAATGGCCGCCCCCTACGTGCGTCGGCATGGCGCGTCGGCCATTTCTGCCTATGTGTTTCCCATGTGCGGCACTTCGTACGTGTGCTGAGGAGTTCGTCATCTAGTAGTGCATTAGCATTGACGGCGTGGAAGGGCCGACTCCAAAAACTCGATAGCACCACGATGCCGCTTTTAAAAGAAAAGTTATGGCGTGTGCAGAAACGGAGGGAAATCGGGCCGCATCGCGGTCGTTCGGAGTTCCCGAAACGTGCGTGCGAGACTGGCGGAAACAAAAGCAGAAGATTCTCGGCAGCAAAGCTTCACGCAAAGGCTTCAGTGGACCACAGCAGGGTCGGTTTCCGCAAATTAAAGAGCTGCTCGGCAAGTATGTGCTTGAGCAGCGAGCGGCACAGCGGCCCGTGACGACAGAACTGCTCCAAGTACGGGCTATGCAATTAGTCTTGGAAAAAGGTCTAATGCAGAGCCAGTTTAAAGCGAGCAGGTGCTGGCTAACTACCTTTATTCAGAGGAAAGGCTTTTCCCTCCGAAGGGGAACATGCATATGCGAAAAGTTTTGCGGAGGAGTACGATGAAAAGCTTCACAGTTTTCAGAGGTTCGTCCTAAACTTGCGGCGCAACAACGGCTACCTGCTTGGGCAAATCGGGAATGCCCATCAGACGCCTCTTTACTTCGACATGCCTGGCACCACAACCGTCGAGAAGAAGGGCGCGAAGCAAGTTCGCGTGCTGACATCGGTCCACGGTAAAACTACCGTGACGGAAAGCTCTGTTACACGTCAGATGGGCACAAGCTTCGCCCGTACCTCATATTTAAATAGAATACGCTCCCGAAAGGAGTAGTTTTTTCGAGTGGTGTGATCGTGCGGGCCGGCGAGAAAAATGGGTGCGCGTTGCAATTGATGTCTTATGTTTTTTTTTTTTTTTTCGCGGTGGAAATCGGGTGCGCGTTACAATCGAGGGCGCGGTAGAATCGAGTAAATACGGTATTAGGTGGGTAATTGTTCTTAGAGGGTTTAACTGTCTGAAAAAGCTAGACGTCAGAAAACCACATTTTTTGGCTTTACTTGGGGTGTAATTATCTCATGTAATTATCAGTGCCCACTGCATTGTAAATGAACATCATACCAAATACAAGGTCCGCCTCAAAAGTTTCTGAAAGTGTTTTGGTATGCTCGGCAACAACTTATCTTGACACTGGAGCGAAGGCCATGGAAGCGGGGCTTCCGCACATTCGTGTTGTTCTGCAAGTGCTACGACACCTTGCGGCTGATTTCAGTATTGCTCTCTTGAAAATTATCTACACAAAAGTGTGAATGGGAGAAACATTTCGATGGTCCAGCGCACAATTTTTTGTCATATTACGAGTATGTGTTTCTAGCAGAAATAAATGGCATGTTTGCGGCCACACACTGACCCACTACGTCGTGGTCATCATATTGACATTGAAAAAAGTCTGCAGAGAAGGTGGTGAAGGCAGGGCAACTGAAACAGGGTGGAGACACTCAAAACACTTAAAGTTTACGGTGACGACGGGATGAAACCAATCCGTACTTCGATGTGGCACAAGAGGTTCTGGGAAGATCTGGGATTCTGGGAAAAGGTTCTGGGAAGATTCGTCGAAAGCACAAACGGGCAACACAGTGCGGAAAGTGCATCAAGTATTAGATAAGGAGTGCTGATTAAGTGTTCATAAGATTCCCGTATTTAAATCCGGCAACCGATCAGAACTTTCAAATTATAGATTGATCTCCTTAACAAGCATACCATGCAAAATTCTAGAACATATCATATCATCAGCCATTATGACGTATCTTACAAAGCACAACTTTTTTTATATTCATCAGCATGGATTTCTTCGAGGGCGTTCGTGTGAAACCCAATTATTTGAGCTTGTAACCGACCTACATCAGGCCGTTCATGACTCATCCCAAATTGATGCCATATTTATCGACTTTGCAAAAGCATTTGATAAAGTACCCCATAAACGCCTAATGATGAAACTTGCCCGGCTTAACATAAACAGCAGCATACTCAATTGGATTGCAGCATTTTTAACCAAGCGCTATCAATACGTTTCCGTAAATGACCACAATTCCCCCTTAACCGAAGTCAAATCAACAGTGCCTCAGGGCTCTGTACTGGGACCAATTTTATTCTTGGTTTACATTAATGACATAGGCAATAACTTAAGTTCTAATGTACGGTTATTCGCCGACGATTGCGTACTATACATAAAAATTAACAGCCCTGAAGATTCTAATACTTTACCGACCGACCTGGATAATATTGTTAACAGGTGCGAGGCTTGGCAAATGCAAATAAATGCTTTCAAAACAAAAGCTATGACATTTACTAGGTCTACTAACATGCACCTAAATTCGTATTCTATTAATAACACAGCTATCGAAAACATTTCTACGCTAAAATATCTGGGTGTCTTTTTGTCGTCCAGCCTTACGTGGAATGAACACATTGATGCTATAATTTCCGAGGCAAGTAAAGCACTCGGTTTCATCTGACGAAATTTGTATTTAGCTAGTCAGTCAACTAAGCTTTTAGCTTATACTTCATTAGTTCGATTCAAACTCGACTACGCGTCTATTATTTGGAACCCAAACCAGGCATACTTAACAAACAGACTGGAGGCCTTGCAAAATAAAGCAGCACGTCTTATTACTAAGAACTATTCCCGTACATCTAGCATAACTGCCATTAAAGAATCTCTACAGCTGCCTTCCCTGGAAAAACGAAGAATACTAGCATTACTATGTCACTTCCACCGGCTCTATCATAGTGCGTCGTCATTTGCTGCATCGCATATCAAACCTGCCCATCGCATTTTTCCGCGTCTAGATCACCCTTTCAAAGTCCTCCCCTTGTTTGCCCGTACTAATCTTCTTCGTCAATCCCCGTTGTTCTTGGCCATCTTTCATTGGAATCGATTACCAGAAGATATTGCCACAATTCATAATCACGATTTGTTTGTAAGCCACTTGAAGCGATTTTTATTATCAGAGCCATGAACCATGTACTATGTGCGCTTGCTTTGTATATGCTTTGTATTTCTTTTCCATTTATTTTTGTTTGTTTGCTTTTCTACCGTTTTCTGTTACATGCCCGCTCTTGACTGTGTTTGCTCTTGAATTGAAATGTACTCAACACATTGTTCTCCCCCCCCCCCCTATGTAATGCCTTTCGGGGCCTTTAGGGTATCTGAATAAAAAAAAAAAAAGATTGCAGAGGAGTGTGGAATTACCCATAATAATTGTTCATGTTTTGACGAATGCTCTTTTAATGAGGAGAGTCTGAGTACATATGGTGCTAAACGTTCTGAAGAGTGAGATGGAGTGACTCCGTGTTGATTATCTTAAGTTGCAGGCTGAAATGAGTAGCAGCACTGATTCAGCCTCTCGACAGCCTTTATCTGGCACCACTGGTATTTTTTTCCCTCCACTGATCAAAGGAGAACCCTGGAAGGAATTCGGCATGATGCATTGGAGACTGTAAAAGCATATTCAAAAACAAAAATCAAATTCTGGCAACTTTTGGGACAGTACCTATATAGAATAAGTAGTTGCAGCTCTTGGGCCTAAAAAGCAGCCATCTTGGTGGGTCTTCTTCTCTAGTCGTTTGCCATAGCAGATAGGCATAGGCTCTGAGCTTTCAGGGCAACGATGTGCTGACAGCGAGTACTGTTGATGCACCTCAAGATGAAATCTATAAAACTTCTGTAAGTGTTTCGATGAAGCACATGCACCGCTGCAACTTTGTGTGGCTTGTCGAAGAAGACCATTGGCGTCATTGGATGACAGAGTGTATTGCTCAAGAAAGTAGCCAAGGAGGGAGGTACTTAAAATGTTGGCGGCACTTTACCGTTTGTTGCCCTGCCATGGGCCATCTGGCTTTATTTTTCTTTGTGCTGTGCTCTGGTTAGTGGCAGCACACATTGTTGAGCAGTGATAGCGGGAAAAAAAAATTGGGGGAACTTAAAGCTTCGCCTTTAGCAGTTGAACGCAATAGCGATATCCTGTTGCTGATGCGCACTTCAAAAGCTTAGTGCATGAAACCTTTTTGAGCTTACTATGCACCCACTACTTGGTGTTAGATATATAGGCGCAGTAGCATGTGTGCCTTTTGTAGTGGGTGACCAGCTTTAAACCACGAAGCCATTATGATAATGGCGATGGGTGCTTGTATGACGCATCATTACTGCAACGTTTCATGTTGCATTGTGAAGCATGTATACAAGATGCGTGTGTTTCTAAAGCATGAAAGCAACTTTCACTGCATTTCCAAGCAAAAGAAGTTCTTTTCACTGTATCCGCAAGCAGAAGCGCTGCCGTGTGGTAGAACATGCACTTTCCACGCAAACGACCAGAGTTTGATCCCTACTCGGTTCCAAACGGCCCTGGTTCAGTCCTCTCTCTGACTCAGGATTTTTGTTAATCTGTCTTATTTGCATCATTCTCGATTTTTTGGTCATGCATAAGAGGATGATTTTTGGCTCACAACCAATGACACCAACACTGCAATTTCTGCGACACGAGCTTTTTAATGCTATTGCATTAAAAAAAAAAAAGACAGAAAGGCCATTTACGCTAAGCTCAAGCATGCTCAAGTGATGAACCTGATAGGTACAGAAGAGAGCTACAAATAAACTGCAAGAGGGGCAGTGGCATCATTACTCTGGGTAATATGCTTTGGCGGCATCCTGTGGCTTGTACAGACTGTGACAAAGAAAAAGACTTGTGCCGGCAAGTCCTTTACAGTGGAGGTCTTTTAGATCAAGTATAGGCCATCCAGAAGGCCCAATGGTACAGCAGTAAGGTTTTAACTTTACCGTCCAGATGCGGGAGCTACCTGTGTCTATGCAAGGGTTTATTTTCAGGACCAGAATAAAGTTCATCATACCATTTGTGGACTGAAATTAAGGTAACAGTATAATACTTGTGCCACACGGGCATAGAAAATGACATTCGGTGGCGAAGGCCTTCAGTTCCCGAATAAAATTTTTTTCGGCGGCGCTGCTACACGTCCAAAGCGAATGACATTTGACTTGATGATGTCGATCGCAGCACCTTCCAAGTGAGCATTGGGTGAATAGCAATAAAAAAAAAAATAAACAAGCGTTTACAAGGCTCATACACATCAGATAATCATTAAATGTAGAAATAAGCATATTACGCTGCCCTGAGATTTAGTTTCTTGCTTTGTTTTACAACGTTGCAGCCGACCGTAGCAACCTAAGCCAACAATAGTCAGATCCACAGCGTAAATAGAAAATGGCGCCTGTCGCATCGTACCTCTCGCATCTCTCGGAAGATGTTTGCAGAGTTCATTTTTTCACGGCAGCACTCGTGTATTTCCGTGCAAAGCATCGTGCTCAAGAGCGAATAATTCTGGAGCAGAGACGTGTTATTATGCACCAGCTTCAGGACATTAAACTTCAATTAATTTCAAACCATTTCAAACTGATCTTCGTATAACGTTCAAAGCACATTTTTAAGAGTTTAGTGCAGATAAAAGACTGGAATTTTTATTTTTAGCTGAATATGATTTCTTTTATTTACTTTAAGGTAAATCGCACTTCGCGAGTTGTGTCGTCGAGAGTAGGCATTTCTCAGTCAACTGAGTTCTGGCGAAGGCATTTGGTGGCGAATGGCATTCGGACGAATGCCATCGTGTGGCACCGTGCGAATGGCAATAAATCTGAAGGCATTCGGGGGTAAATGCCATTTTCTCTGCCCGTGTGGCACGGGTATAAAGCAGTTGGGGCTGAAGCTAGTTTTCCTCACTGTGGGACCATAGGCCATAGATACACGTGTTCTAGCTTGCATTATTACGACACCAGCTCGTGTATTGCCCTTTGTTGTTTCCAGGGGAGTCTGCTCACAGCACAGAAGTGGTAGCCGATACCAAGGCAAACAAGAATTCCATGGAAAATTGGAAGAGCTGGAGTCATGGCAACAGCATCCCAGACTCAGTGCATGGAAGTGGCCAGGAGACCAAAACTTACGCCCTCACTCAGGTGTGTTTTGCCTGCGATAATTTTCAATATGTGGAATTGCTAGATTTGCTGGATTGACTGCCTGCCAAAGTGCTGCTCTCTCTCTTTCTTTTTTTCTTGCATGCTTTTCAGTGGCTCAACCAGAGTGAAATGCCTGTGCCCAGCAAGGCATCAGAAGTGAGCGCGCTGCCTTTTGTTTCTACATTTAGCCAGAAATCAAAGATTAAAAAGGGACTTTGCAATTGTACTTTTTATTTAAAACTTGAGAGTGTTTTATGCCAACACCACCAAATGATGACACACAATATTTCCACTGTGAAAGTAATACAGTCAAACTTCGCTACAACGAAATTTATGGGGTCGGGAAAAATTTCGCTGTAGTTGGAGTTACGTTATCGCGGAAGAAGTGGTAAATAAAGAGAGATATGCACAACACTTAAGGGGGAAGCCTACACTTGATGGGCAACTTCTTTATTTATGTATAGATCTGAACGAAATTTTCACAGTTTGTGTATTTAGATTTGCAGATTGTAAAAATGTAGTTACTTTTTTATAGGTCTAGTAGTTTCCAAGATATGCCACAATCAATGTAAAACCTGGATCCTTTGTTTGCAGCCTAATTAGCATCTAAGCAGTTACTTTTTTATAGGTCTAGTAGTTTCCAAGATATGCCACAATCAATGTAAAACCTGGATCCTTTGTTTGCAGCCTAATTAGCATCTAAGCAGTAAGCACCAAAACATTGGCACAGTGTAGAAACAATGTAGGATGTTTAATGAGTGCAGTATGCTATAAATGAATTTGCTGGGCCAATTCCAACAACAGTTAGAAGACATCAATGTTTACAGAAAAAAAGTCACCTTCACCTGTCACGCATAGGACCCAATTAAAAAAATTTTTGATCTGTATATTGTCTTCAAAGTAGGCATATAGCATACCACATGCATTTATATTACTGACAAAAAAAGAATTATGCTGATAGTTTGAATGGAACAGAAGTTATTTTCCCTTTATTTTGGCAAATGGGCCAAAATTGCTGTTTTGAGAAAACGAGGAAAATTTTTCAAAACACCTTTATTAAAAAAATACTAACAAAATCTTATGGAAATGCACCAGGGGCATAATCTGGATGCATCCCATCGTTATGCTTCTTTTCGACCAGCTTTCTCAGACCTTGGGACGCCTCTTTTTATTTATTTGAGGTTGCACTCTAACAGCAGTCCTTCTCCCTAGCCCTCAGGGATGTGCTGGTAAATATCTTCATGTCCAGCTGCTCTAGAATCACAGCAAATGCATTGACATTGCCCATGTTGAAGCACAGCACAGCTTCTGCAATAGCAGCTTGCACAGCAAAAAGAGAAGCGTGCTCATACCTGCCAAGTCTTCCGGATTAGCCGGGAGACTCCCGGATTTCCGTTTTTCCGGTTGTACAGTTGTCATGAAAATCTCCCGGAAATCGAAATTTCTGTGCGTGATTTGGCCGCATTGACAAAAAAGCAGCTCAATCTGCTCTAGGCTTTTTGAACATACCCCATTTTATTATAAATGAGAGAAGAGGCATTCATGTAAACGTACAGTATAATCTCAATGATGCAAAACCGCAGCACTTATGAATTTTTTAAATTACTCAGCCAAATTTTACTCTGTTCATTTGGGCCTCAATTCGAATGTTCCAAACACATTTCCTATTCGCGGCGGGTGATACGAACTTTAGTACGAAAACCGTCGAACGAAGGACGCAAGCAGCGTACATGAAGCTTCGGAAGTAGGAGTGCGACTGGCGCACGCACTGTCTTATGCAGTGCGTGTGATTGTCGTTGCCACAATTGCTGTGGACTAAACCATGGTCGCTCTTGACACGGTCGTGTATGGTGACGACGTGACTGACAGAACCCCGAAAGTGTGCGCCCAACCAGTCAAAGCAACGCTGCTTTCCGCAAACTATGCGGACAAAACTGCGGCAGATGCTATCGTAGATGGCATAAAACGACTTAGTTTTGAAGGTGCGTGCGCAGCCAAGATCATGGGGATTGTAAAACGAACTACCGCTTGCCGCAGCCGCCGCGCACAAAACTGCAGTCGCCGAGAGCAATCTACGAGCTTTGCGGGCACGCAGCTGTATTTTAAAAGCAGTAAATACGTAAAAAGTAAAAAGAAAGTTGCAGTTTCGTCGCAAGGGCGAAGCAATAAGTGCGTCAGCAACAACTTAGAATGTAACCCTGAGAACGCCAAGCAGATCGAAATGTGCAGTGCGCTGCTCACACAAATGACGCACGAAAACGATACTCGCAGGACGAGAGCGAACTAATAACGTTTACCGCTCGACAAGTAATGCGCTGTTAAAAACAAAAACGATGCACGATACGTAATCACAGGTACAGATGAGTACAAACTAACAAGTGTCTCAGTTCTTATACCTCGCTGTGTATGAAAAGCGCGCTGTATTTGCAAAAGGGGCCTGTGTAGAGACCAAAGTGGCCTTTGTGGGCCCGGAAACTAACGCTTTTGTTTCAGTGAAAGCAGAAGGCACACGATTCCCCCACCAAAAGATAAGCGTGCGCACAGGCATCCATCCATGGGGCAAAGTATGCGTGAGGGATAAGCACGCGTCAACGAGCTCAGTGTCTAGCGTGGGCCGTTTTTTTTTTTTTTTTTGAGTGTTCATATATATAGATATACATACATATACAGTGAAGGACGGCAGCGGTGGCGATGGCAAAAAAAACCAGCTTGGACTGTCCATATAATTGCTATCGCAATAAAAATAGCCAGGCGCGTTTTGGCATCCTTGTCAAAAGAATCTAGTAGTGAGCAAAGCTTTGACCTGCGTTTTTGCGGCAGCCAGCTGCGCCGTCTCGTTCGTTCACGTCGTTCACCCAGGAAGACACAAGCGAGTTGTTTTGACTGAAATATACTCTGCTAGTTGTGTTGATCCTTTGAGACTCTCACCTTAGTGAAAAACTACCCTCTGTGTTCAGCCACTCCTAGCCACTATAAGACCGCAACGCTGATAATGGTGCTTGCGATTTAGATTCCCCCTCCCAGTCCCCTTTGTTTTTCACGATGTTTTTGTTTGTTTGTCCTTTTTTTTTGTCCGTGCACACCCCCTCCTTTGCAGAAATTTCCCGGATTCAGAATCCTTGAACTTGGCAGGTATGCGTGCTGCTCCTTTGATACCAAACTCGAAATCGCGGATTGGAGGCTTTTGTGTGAATTCTGGGTCTTGCCTTGCTGGTATCTTGACGCGCTGCCGCACCACTTGACTTCGAAAAGCGCCAGTTTTATGTGCTTTTCCCGACACCAACGAAAGATCCTCAAGCGTTGTGGTTGTCTCGCTGGCGCGGGAGTCGCGAATTTCACTGGCACCAATCCCATCACAGTCTACCTGCACATGACCAGAGTCGAAATCGCGCGCGCTGTCAGAAAGGGCCGTGTCTACGCGCACGTCACCGTTGCTGATAGCATCGGCGTGGTCATAATCCAGAGAGCGTTCACCATCCGGCGAAGCCGTGTCGCACACTCCTCCATTGATAACATCTTATACAGGGGCGGCCAGCGTCCACGCTGCGCACACATAAGGAGCTGTCTTCGGTTCCGACAACGTTATGAAACGTCAGCGCTTGCTCCCGTGACACAGTAGCAGCAACATTGGGTTTTCCGCCTCTGCCTTTCTTCCGTGAATGGCCAAAATGATGCTGCAATCGGAGCTTTTTCGCACCGCCGGGCATAGCGAGACGCACAAGCACATTAGGCATACAAGTCGCAACACCTTCGCAAGGGCGATACCCTTTCGAAATGGCGGCAGAAAATGCCAGTAAATTTTCCTGGCCATAAGGGAAGCGTCATTTTGGTCACGTGCATCAAGCAACCAATCGAATCACGGACCGCAGGAACACCATGCACGGCTTTGTCGTCGCCCGATGAATCGGCAGTGGCGATAGAAGTGCGAGCCCTCCTGAGGATCTCTGCATCACTCAGGGCAATGCTCTTGAGTACAATGCCGACATCCTCGATAGTTGCCCATGGTGCGGTGCAGCAGATTCCGCATCTTGCCTCTGTCCAACGTCGGTGATGGCTTGTACGTCATCACTTGTGCAGGCCAAGTTCATATCTTCGGGCCGAAACTCTGCATGCGCAAAATAGTTCTTAACGTCACACTGTGTCAGCATTTATGTGGCCGCCAACATTTGCAAAGCCATGAACAAGTCGACTTTGGTGTCCCGGCCAGGCTCAGGGTTCAACAGAATTCGCTGAAGAAGCCTTGATCGGTATGCATGCTTTACGCTGTTGACGCCTTGATCTTTTTTAAAAACTGAATCAGCTATGTGCAGTTTGGCGGGGAGAAAAAAAACCGCCAAGCTTGCGCAGAAGGAACAGCAACGTCGCAGGGAAAGCTGGAAGAGTGGCCTTTCAGAGTCTCTTCTAATCACTCTTCGGGTAACTGCTACAAGTGCACTTGCTGGGTATCCACTGTGCCATATACAGTCAAGCACACATATAACGGCCCCACCTAAAACGAACTTTCGCTTAAAACGAACAATATTTCACGACCGTGAAAGTATACATTGGTTCAATGGCACAAAATCGCACTTACAACGAACGTCTTCGAGCGCCGTTGATTGGTTCAAGCGAACGGAGTCAGCGGTCTGCCGATTTCCAGGGAAACCGATTTCGACCACCGATCAGGCATCGGCGAGGTGCCCATACATTCTTATTGTTAAAAGCCGACGCTGCCTCCGCATCCCTCTAGTTGCCGCTTTCCCCGATCGCTTTTTGTTACGCATCCCTCCGTTCTTTGTCCCCCTGCTACTCTAAGCACCCCGCATCGACAGACGAGGCCCGTGTTTTCACATTGCTACCGATCTTTCGAAGACCGGTCGGCTTTCTACCCTGTTTTTGATAGCTGGTACTATCGTTGGCGTCGCCGGCCTGGAGTGACCAGACCATTTGCCAACATCGTCGGCCACCGCCTATCCGATAGTCTGCGTCTAGTGCACGCGCGTACGCTACCCCACCGACTCTGATGATTTGTGATTCCTTTCGTGTTTAGGTCTCTTTCTCGCCCACTTCACACTCAACTCAGCGTGCCTTTCGCGCGCGTGCGGAAGTGCGAAAACGGCTGTTAATGTGCGTGGAATTAATTGCGAAATATCGAAGTTTGTGACGCAATGAAACGATTTTTTGACAAGGGCCGCTGATTCTTCGAACACCGCCGTGCACCGATTCAGACGGCCGTGCACTCTTTCCATGTCTTTCTACGTGCGAGTTTCGCGAACCTTTCAAGCAAGCTACTCAACCTGCCTCCTTCCCGTGTGTTTTGGTTTTCAAGGTCGCCCTCCCGCCGCATCCTCTGCTCTCCTCTCTTGATCACAACCCCTTCGCCCGTCTCCACCGCTTCGCGACGCCCGCCACGCTGGCTCGAATTAATTTCGTTTTCCGACTGGAAACGCGCCCAGAGCTGTTTCACGCGTGTGCGCGTCTTGCTCGCTCTTGGTGTGTGTGTGTGGTCATGATGGCCGACGAGGGGACTAGCACGCTTTCTCGTGCTGCTCAACAAAACGTCGAAAGTGAGACCGCTTGGCTTGAGCGTAGTCAGCGCGTTAGGTGCCACGTTGCGGAGCTTGCTCATAGCTGTTGACAACCTGGCAGCCAACTTGCCGCTTCGGGCGTCCCGGTATTCGGCTGCAGAGATGGTGAATATTTCGTGGGTGGCGGTGATGGCTACATGCGTGCGAAACTGTTTTTGCGAGGCCGACTTCGTCGACGTCGGCCCCGATGCCGAGCCTGAAGCTTCCGAACAGGACCACTGCGGCGGCGATTTGTGGCAGCGCGTCGTCGACTCCGACCTGGGAGATCGGGTGGGACATCTGTTGTGATGGTTTAATTATGGCCGATGACGATGCCGACACTGCGGAACTGTGCACGGATTAGGGCATAGTGAATGAAGTACGTGGCGAGAGCGATTTGGAGGAATCGGATTGCGAGAATGACTAAACTTTGGAGCCAGTGCCTCATGCAGCTTACGCCACGGGCCTCGGTGAACGAGCACCCTGCCGTTTTAAATGAACTCGAGACCACCCTTATCGCTTCTGTTCTTCGAAACACGTGCATCACGAACTTTTTCGGGCAAAAAAAGTTTGTGTTTTCACTCGCAACTTTTTCAAAAGCTGTGTTTCATTTACTATGAACTTCGGGATACAGCGAACGGATGCCGCGTCTCACTCGGGTTCATTATAAGCGGGCTCGACTGTATAAGAAAGAAAGGAACATAACTTTATTTTAGTTTTGCGGAACACAAATCATAATTTTTGTGTAGTTGTCAGCATTCACTATGCTTTCCTTCGTCATTCTTCATGTATAAGAAAGAAAGGAACATAACTTTATTTTAGTTTTGCGGAACACAAATCATAATTTTTGTGTAGTTGTCAGCATTCACTATGCTTTCCTTCATCATTCTTCAGAGAGGCGTGGTATCCGCTGCACACTTGTTCTGCTTGAAGTGGGTGTGCGCCACAATTAAGTAATCAAGAACAAGCTTTTGTATGGATTAGAGCATGCGATGACCCACTCGTTACGCTATTCCCATTGTGTGACGCTTGATTGTTCCTTTGATGTTCTAAAACGTTATACTCATATTAACGCAATTCCTTTACGTCAAGCGGCCTAAGGTCAGTTTGGAAACAAGTTCCAAGCACCGGTGTGGCTCAGTGGTAGAATACTGAGCTGGCATGCAGGGGCATACTGCGTGCCAGCTGCAGTATGCCCCTGCATGCCATACTGCAGCTGGCATGCAGGAATACTGAGCTGGCATACAGTAAAGAGCGCTTTTCTGACCTTGTTTTTGCGCTTCCGTAATTACGCGGTAACTACTCCTAGGCTGCACTGTTCCTACACTCATTTCTTAGTCGCGTGATGTCGTGCGTCAGCGGTGATGTCCACACCCCCATTGCATACTCGCGCCTTGTGTATCGTGTTGCATGCTTGCAGCTCGTTTCATACCGCTGATCGGTATCTTCTTAGCCCTCGTTTCGGAAAACCAGGCTTACATTGTCTTGTCACGTACTTCATGAGCTGGCTGAGTCTTCTTCCGTTGGGCAGATGTGCCTGCTCACTTGGACTTCAGCATTGTTGACAGTGAGCTCCGTTAGATACCGTATTCCTTGGCAATACATCCTGTTTCACGTCCTGCTGCTGCCGTGGCAATTATTTCCGCCTTGTGCTCTAGTGAAAGAAACTTCCATTTCTGACTCAGTGGTGCCGTAGCTAGTCCTCGCTGCCACAGCCACAGGGGGGAAAAAAAACGCAGGTCGGGGCTAACAAGGTGCTGAACTACTATGCTAATGGGGCAAGGCACGACGTGGGTACTAATCAGAACTAACACTGCCAACGCCACAGAACATGTGAAAAAAAAAAAAAAAGAAAACGGGACGAGCCAGCAGCCAATATACGTGTGGATTCATCTTTAGCTGGCCAAGCTCACAGGCTTTCACATCATAACTCTATGCTTCACAGAATGCTGTGGAGCATCGCCATCACCCACAAACGATGGCATCACCCATGGTGTCATGGTATTGCAGCATTTGGCGGGTTACGTGCATTTAGGCCAACTTTGGTGCCTCTACAATCGTTTTAGCTCTCAGATAACCAAGATGATGCCTAATGTAGACTCTGAATATGGGCCAGCTAATAAGAATTTTCTGTTGGAGACAGTGCGAGAAAAAAAAAATGAATGCAAGGACGGCCGTTGTCGTGTGTACTTTTTTTTTTTCGTTCCGTTTTTAAGGATAAAAAGTGTTGTCAGTTCAATTTACTAGTTAGTGTGGTTTGATTTGTGGCTGGTCGAGTAACTTGTGTCCCAGGAAAATTCATGTAACCGGGAGAACAATGAAAAAGTGGTTCGTTGTGAAGGAAGTTACAATACATTAGAGCCTATGCTACGCCAGTGGGAAATAAAAAAATCATTGAAGCATAAATTTTGTTGTAGCCAAGTTTGATTGTACCTTATATAAAAGGACACACAGGTAGCTTATAAAGAAATACGGAAATGAAATTGTCACCTCGAACCTTCAACTTTATTACTATTGAGTAAAAGAGTTAACATAATAATTATTACTTCTCAAAGGCAAGCATGCTCTGAGACTCTAGCACGAAATATTTGCTTTCCACTTCGACAGGAATGGCACCACCGTATAGGAGAAGGGCAGAGAAATACAGTAGACTCATTAAGGGGGGATGCAGCTTTCATATCGCGGAAAACCGCAAAAAGAAAAAAATCAATCTTTTGAAAATTCTATTTTCGATTTAAGGAGGGACACGGGTCTTAGAAGGCAGAAAAATCTCGAAAAAAATAGGCTTTTTGAAGCTAACATTTTCGGAATCTGTTTCTTATTTTCACACTTATCTGAAAAGCTTCTCGTATCATTATTTTTAGTGCAAAATTAACAGTGTAGACTCCTGCTACGCAGAGAGAGAAAGAAGCACAAAGGAAGTTTTCAGAATTCACTGTCGTGTGGACACATATATGATCCGCTTTTGTTTTCGAGCAACCGGTGTACTATTTTTAGGCTTCCCAAGCTTTTTAACGTAATGTTTGTGAGGAAAGATGTTTCCTATTCAAAGTCAAACAGGACACAGAGCGAGAAAAAGAATGTGCGTCAGGCATAAAGCGAGGGTAGAGAAACAAAGAATAAGAAAAATCATGTATGCGTCAACCAAAGAACATGGAGCTGCGCACACTCTGAAAGAAGAAAGTACGCATACGCCATTCCTAAGCTGCTTGCCGTGGCATCGTGCGGGCACTCGACTCTTGAGTGAGGAATTGGCCGCCGTCGCTGGTTGCATGCACCCAGCTTACGAGACTTCTGCACGGGCCATCTGATGCACTGAACAAGCAGGACTTTATACACTCAGACCTCATTACAAGAAAATGAGCTTTATGTCCAAAAATTTGTTATAAAGGTTTATTTCTAACACGATACCAACTGCAAAAGTTTTTTTTTTTTCATTTACTTCGCTGTAATCTATATTTCGTTATATCCGTGTTCGTTATATCGAGGCTTGAATTATACATTTTGAGTCTACTGTATTGCACCAAAACTCTCAAAGAGTTTCTCAGTGCAGCGCAGTGACGGCGGTGTTCTATTGGCAAAAAAAGCATACATGTGTAGCGCAAGCTTTCACTTAAGCCCTTCTGCGTAGAAGGTCTCTGGAGTTTGCACATTTAGGCGCTCATTACAAATTGCGGCGTTCGTCTAAGTGAACAATTATGCATTGCAACAGACTAGAGTGCCAAAAGCACATTGTACTCTGACCATCATCTATGCCAGCTCCAGCACTTGTCTACATGCTTAGCTTGTGCCTGCTTGTGTACTTGGCTGAACAAATTTCAACTCCCAGTGTGGGAAGAGAACTATGCAACAGAGCTTGTGGTTCTTTTATTTCACAATTGCCTAATGTTTTCGAATTTTGTGATACGCCTGACATCTTTCTTTCCTTTCCAACAGGTTGACGAGTTTGTAAGTAACTACAGGCGTCGTTTTCTGTATGTGTGTTGCTTTTGACCTTGCTGTCCTTCTTGCAGGAGAACTTGAACTTGGCCATGGCAGCCGAGGCAGAAAATGCAGCACCTCCTGACCCAGAACTTATAGTGAAACTCCAGAGCCTTGCTTCTCAGCTGCTGACAAACAGGCCGGGTGGTTCATCTGCCCTTGAAGACAAGCCACCAAGTCAACAGCCAGCAGCTCCTGCTGTCAAGTTCAACAAGGCAAGTTGGTGGCCAGAAGATGCATAAAGTCATGGAAGTCGTGAATATCCGCATTACAAGTGGTACCGCATTATGACTAAAGCAACCTTCTTCAAGGTCTTAAGTTTTGGAAAGCGTGTTGAACATGCAGCCTCATGTGTCCCAAAATTAAAACATGCGATGCGTTATGCTAACTGCCATTGAAATTCAAAGAAAAAAAATCGTGACCAAGGAACCACATAGTCAACAAAATGAACGCGAAAGTACAGTGAGGTGTGGTCTAACAAAATAAAGCAATACAGCGGAAGTTCGCCAACTATTTCTCAAACCATCTCAATTATGTGCATTACACAGAAACTATGTCGACTCATGTCAGAAATTTAACGCTCTGAAATACGCCAGTCGTTCGATTTCACGGGCTAAGTGGAAAAATGCCAGTGTTGAAAAGCACAGCCTGCACAAGGAACTACTAGATTTGCCCTGCTACAGCCTTTTAATATCCAGATACAGTCGCCGACCGATTTTTCAAACCTGGAGGGGACCGAAAAAAAGTCCGAAAAATTGAACAGTCCAAAAAATTCATTTTTGTCAAAAATATGAACTTTATTGCGTCAGGCAGGCCTAAAAAGGTCCATGATCCTGCCTTGCCTCATACTACACTTGGAAGCAACTTGGTTCGCCCATATTTGCGCCAAGGTGACATCGTCACCGTAAATGCTCGACAAAAGCGTCACCGCGGTGGCGATCTCCGCTGCCGACAGCTGCGGGCGATCGTCGTCGTCATCCGAACTGCTCTCCGGCTGCGGCACAATCTGGCGAAGAATTTCTTCGTCTGTGGGCTCCGCGCACAAAATTGTCATCGTCCACACGAGCGAAGTCTTTAAATAGGGAGTTTTATAATAACATTTCCAGGCGCTGCGCGCGTTGCAGGTATAGCAGACGCATTAAGAGTTATAGAATAGCATTTGCTCCCCCTAGAGAAAGGTCCAGGGACATTCGCCCTCAAATGCACGGAAGCTACACACAACACTTCGCTGGCCTCGATCACCACACGCTATTTCAGATTTTCTGCGGGCAGGCCGCGAATGGCGACGCGCGTTACGACGCATGTGCAGTGGCAGCGACCGCACCGCAAGGGCTTGTGGTGGGCTATTCTAAAACTTCCTAATGTCATTGTGGCAAGCACATTCACTCCATTGCTGCGCAGCTCCACCTCCTCCCTGTATGGTGCGATGACGACAGTGCTGACCACTACCGCTGACCGAAGACGAGAAAATGGTCCCGTGTCGCATTTCCTAAGGTAGACACGGCCTCCGAAACTTGAAATATGACGTTTGCTTTGCAATCTTGGAGGCAGGAAAGCCATTTTAAAATTGAGCCACTAAGATTAGTCAAGCCGGCAGAAAATCCAACATGGCAGCGTCCATACAGGTTCGTGGCGCGGCTCAAAACAAGTGATTTAGTCAGAAAAATCCAACTTTAGGGAGCGAATTTATCCGAAAAATTGGTTGAAAAAACGCATCAGCCCTATGGGAACCCTGACGGTGCACTTTTGAAGTCCGAAATACCCAACAAGTCCGAATTTTTGGAGTCCGTAAAATCGGTTGGCGACTGTAGTTATTCCCAACAGTGCAGAAGTGGGACACAGATAAGACCACACAAACAAGTGCTGACTTCTAACAAGGCATATCGCGCAAAAAATATATGCAGAACGGACAAGAGAATAGGTGATAAACATGATAAAAAAAATGATGTTGAAGGTGTTAATCTTGCAGATATGTGGTTTTCTTGTTAAATAAGTGGATGGACGGTTAACTGACCCGAGAAAAACCATGCTTGATTATCGTGACAACTACAATGATATCATCAGGTTGAAAAGCAAGAATATCCAGGAGTTGTCATGTGTACTGCATGGGTGCCACTTTGCTTCAAATGATTTTGTCCAAGATGTACTAGGAATCAATGGTAGAAGCTTTGGTTAAGGGAATTCGTTTATAAGGGTTGTCGTGTTCTCCCACTTACAGAAGCTGCTGGATTTTGACTATGGTGATGAAGAGGAGGAAGAGGAAGAGGACTCCTTTGAAGAAACCAAGGCTACTGATTTTGTTGAGCCACCTTTAGAGGACTCTGGTGGTCAATCGTCTGAGCCCAATGCTATTGCACTAAGGTTAGTGTCATGATCTACTCAGGAGTCACAGATGACGAGTGTCTAGGTACCTGCGCATAAGCGGGCGTTTCGCACTGACGCAATATTGTTATGACTTAATTATGCTAGCATTAATTATACAATGTTTAGAGTATTTATGATTCAATTTCGGCATTACCAGATGCAAGGCTACGAAATACAGTGAAAATATTGCAAACAAAACTCCTCAGGGGTCCTTTCAAATTAAATTTCAGCGCTTGTACAAGTCTGTTGCATGCTTGCAATGAGGCTCGGCTCGATCAACAACTGTGACAAGCAAGTAGCACCTTGTATATATGGAGCTTCATTGGCATGCCTGGCTAGGCAGGTAACACTGGTCATGGCCATTAACACTGCCAAGCAGAGCTCTCGATCAGTAGCTATCATCACCACCATACTGTTAGATAGTTTACCTTAACGAGGCCGACAACTGCCCAGAACATGAAACGAGACGACTTTATGGATAGAATGATTATCCCTCATAGTGATTCAACCCTACTCTGTTTTTACAATGGAAAGTGAAGTTAAATTTTTATTTCTTCACTGAAAATCTTGAGAAGAGCCTGTAGTGCCATTTGGTGGCAGAAACTTCAATTATTCTATGTGCCTTCTCATGTGACTGTAAACTAGTGCACGCGGTCAACAATTTTCTTGCTACTGTTGAAATATTGTTTGGTTTTTATGTACAGTGAAACCCCGTTAATACGTATCTGCCGGGGATGGCGGCATAACCACACACTATACGTACTACGCATTAACCACCAGCTACAAATTTGCATCCCCTGACATGCGCAATCGCCGCCTAAAAAAGTAGAAACGCAGTGCCACGGGAAATATTGCCTAAAGTGCCCACTGCAAAGCTATTTCTTTCTTTCTTCCAAGTTACAGAAAAGTTTCCGACTCGAAGAACTGCCCGATCGCACGCGATCGAGACGCCGATAAGCATTTCGAAACCACCGCGGGATCCGGGATATGCAGCATGGTACAGCGACAGAACCATGAAAGAAGGAAACAACTTTTCTTCCTGCGTGGACAGATCGGCAAAATCAGCTGTCCGTCACACAGTTGTTCCGCGGTCTGCTTCTAAGCAAAAACTGGCGCAGTTTTCTTTTTGAAATGCGGTACATTCACAGAGAGTCAAATTGTTTACTGCGTGGCTAGTTGCCTGCAGCGCTTCGCTCACTCTGCGCAAACTATAACTGCCGATACGCTTCCTGCACAGATTTGGCGAATAGCCTACTGGGTTAACACGGCGCCGAAGAGCTTTCCGCAAGCGATGTGTTCTCCGCGATGCTCTAGCACTCCTGGCAGCGGACGGAGGCGCATTTTGGTTGTCACTAAATAAATGTTTGCTGCATGGCAACGACAGCGCTATGCCTGTGTATGGTGCGCGTGTTGGCATAATACAGCAAGGTTTCTCGGTGCCCGCGATTCACAACGCCAAACTTCGCGACAGCAAGCTGGTTGCGTTTCTGTAAAGCAAAGCGTGCTTGAACACGGTCCCGCAAAGTTAAGCGGTAGCGATTGGCGGCCCAGCGCGTTCAGGTAGCCGTCCACTGAAAACGTGCAGTAGGCCTAAAGTGACGCTATGCCACACATGTGCCTAAGGAGGTAACCGCGGATGCTTACTGTGATTAAGCTCTTCGTCGGTGATAAGTCATAGCGGCGCGTTTGTGGGTGGTCGCCACCTCGCCTTCATTTTTTTACCCGATAGTTACTCGCAGTGCCATTGCCACAATCGTGCGGAACTCGTAATAAACTTATTGGCTGATCTCAGCATTTATCAACATGACGGAAAACCGTTCCATTGTGGCGTCTGCAAGTTCAGCAAAGCAGTAAAATTTCGTCGCGCAATATGTTAGCGCAGTTAGTACGCACTAACCGGAAGGCATAGGCCGCACACTACGGCTATAGGCCGAACACACTATACGCTGAACACTACGGTCTGTGAATGCATTAATCACTATGAGACTTGGTCGGGGATTCGTCGCAACTGCATTTTAACCATTAGTACGCTTAAAGCGGGTACGCTCTAACGAGGTTTGACTGCATATATAGGCCTGTATTAGTAACATGCATTAAAGTGACCCTGCCTTCGCAGGACGTAATGATCCCATGCTCGTCAGTGCGTCTTGAGCAACTTTTCTGTGTGCTCATGAAATTGTGCACGCAGTTTCCAGATCGCTAAGAGTTTGGAGTGACGTCTTCATATTTACAATTTGTCTTGTAAATGACATGTACTACTAGTTGGCATGGCCGCACATATGCACAGTGACGTTTTTGGTGACTTGGCTTGGTTCATTAGTCGAGAGAGACTCAGTAGAGGCCTTCAAAATCTATGACGTCATGGTGTTTAGTGCTGGAATGTCAAGGTGGCACCATGTCTCCTCCTGCAATTTTGTTTTGTGCGTTTTCTTGCATTACAAGCGCTGTGTCGTGGTAAGAGTGATGTTTTCAGGATTGTGAAATTGTACTTTATGAATATGCGAGAAACCGTTTTGCCTATTAGGGTCCCTTTAAGGGGGGACGTGGGTCTTGGCGACGAAAAAAAAAAAGAAAACGATTTTTCAGTTAGGTGATTTTTGTTATTTTCATATCATCCCGCACCTGCCAGCTAAAAATAAACTCAAAGTGACGCTTCATTAGGCCAAAAAAGGTGTTTATTCATCCCAGCGCTTGGTTTCGCTCACAAAATCGCCGAAAACAGCCCCCTTTTGCGTTGCTCGGATCGCGCTAACCACTTATCGGATCGCGGCCATCTTAGTCTCGTTGAAAAGAGCTTCTGTTAAGCTCGCTTTCCCGCCAGGAACAAACCTTCAATGCTGCAGCAAGTCTGCACTGCTAGGCAAAAACAAGCGACAAAACCGTGTGGTATCATTGGTCCATAACAGTTACGTGAGTGAACAGCGCCTTGTGATTGGTGCGCGGGGACTGGCAACACTGGGCACACTTCACAAATTCGGCAAGCGACACAAAAAGTGTGCTGTGCAGCCAAGGAATCATCGCAGCCAGCGCAGGCTACGCCCGCATAGTCGAGCGGGACAGGTGATCGGCAGTCGCCGCAATGCAGCAGCCGGCACAAAGGCAGCCTTCGTTCGCTACAACTTCTACCAGTGGCGACATGCACTCAGAGTGCCATAAATCATCGCAGCTGCCGATGAAGATATTTGCAGATATCGGCGGAAGAGCGCAACGAATTCCGCGACAAAGTGGCGTTGCAACAAAAGCGAGCGCTACGGCGACCACGGTGCCGTTGGAATCAGCTGATTGCGCTGATACTTCAACAAGGCGCCAGGTACCAACACTGCTGCTTGTGATTAAGACAGCAGAGAATGCTGCTACAGCAGATCTTGCAGCCGGAGAAAGCGTGGTAGAGACTGCGGCTGCTTCCTGCAGTACTTCAAGTATGCACGATCGAGCTGCGAGGGTAGACGCGACATTTTTGACATCGGCTGACCGAGAACTCATCGAGTGTCGCGCCCAGCAAAAAGCAGCGGAACTTTCCTTGGTTTCGGCAACCGATCGCAAAATGAGTGTTCTCGCACGTCAGCACGGCACCGGAAGTTCGTCGTCGATGCATACCATGGTTGACCTCGACATGGTGAACAGTTTACTTAACGAACATTCGGCTTGTCGAGTGCGCGGTGGTCAGTTGACTATCGAATACGACGTGCGTGTGTACGGCGTAGCCGTTAAGCTGAAGCTTCACTGTAGCAACTGCGGAAAAGTTGGTTCGAAGTGGAGCTCGCAACGTGTTGGTGGCAGCAGTAACTGCAACCCGTCCAAAATCAACGTTCGCACGGTGCGTGCGGTTCAGAGCACTGGGAATGGTCGGACAGCTCTGAATGACATCTTTGCCACTATCGGTGTTTCACATCAGGGCCTTCACGTGAAAACGTACCAAGAGTACTTGAAAATGAAGCTTCAGCCAGGAGCAACGAGAGCTTGTGCCGAACATTTGACTAAATGTGCCACAGTGGTAAAGTGCCTCTACAAGGACGCCAATTTCAGCAACCCCGGAAATATTGCCGTCTCTTTTGATGGAAGCTGGCACACAAGAGGACACACCTCTCACATCGGAATAGCCACTGTGATAGAAGTTTTTTCAGGTTATGTACTGGACTATGTTGTGCTTTCTAATTTTTGCCTCGGCTGTGAATGTGGTCCAAAACTCGAGAGCCCAGAATACTTTGAATGGAAAGCCAAACATTCATGCCAGAAAAATACCCTCATGCAAGCCTGGCCAAATAGAAGTAAAGGCAGCAAGGATTTTATTTCAGCGCTTCCTTTCGCTTCGTGGCCTCAGGTACACCACCATGCTTTGTGATGGTGACAGCCAGTCAGTCGTACAGTACTGTCAAAGAAGCTAAGGTGTACGGCTTCATAAATGTTGAAAAAGGAGACTGCTCGAACCATGTGCAGAAGTGCATGGGGACTGCGCTTCGGAACCTCGTGCAGAAGCACAAAGGGGACAGCAGCAAGCGCATGAGTGGCAAGGGCCGCCTCACGGGTGACCTCATGACAAAATTGACGAGTTATTACAGCTGGGCTTTGAAATCCCATTCTGGCAATGTGGATGAGATGCAGAAAGCTGTGTGGGCTACGTATCATCATATGACATCCACTGACGAGAAATCAAACCACAGCTTCTGTTCACACGGCCCCGAGTCTTGGTGCAGGTATAATGCAGCCATGGCAAGGAATGAGCCCATCCCAAAAAGCAAGTACAATTTGCCAGAGGCTGTGAGGAATGCACTGCGTCCTGTTTATGAACGCTTGTCCGACAAAAAGCTCCTGCAGAGATGCACCAAAGGGAAGACGCAGAGTGCGAATGACGCCTTGCATTCGGTCATTTAGAGCCTCTCACCGAAAGACAAGAACGCGTCATTGTTTGCCGTTGAGATTGCCATGGCAGATGCTGTTATGCGTTTCAACTTAGGGAACAAGGAATCTAGTTCGCTTATTTTGCCTGAACTACAGCTAGATCAAACATGCACAGGTAACCAGCGGGCGGTTGAGAAAGACTATCGTCTTGCTATCGGCTCAGAGAGGAAACGTGCATCTTCAGCGGCGTTCCAGGCAGCTGCAAAGAAGCAGCACAAGCAAAAGCCTGCTTTAGACTACTCCGCAAGGGCTTTCTGAGTGATTGTGAATACAAGTGCTGTGGCCTTCATGCATGAAATTTTCATTTTCACAACTTTTTCAGTTTTTTGCATTTTTCTCAAATACAGATTTTTGCAGGTTTTGAATTTTGGGATGAGCACTTTGTCGCTAATGCTGATTCGATTTTCTTGGTCTTTTTTTTGTTTGAATGCTAGGGTATTGGTAATGCTTAAGGACATTGTAAAATTATGAGATTTTCCAGAAATCACCATTTGAATTTTGGGATGAGCACTTTGTCGCTAATGCTGATTCGATTTTCTTGGTCTTTTTTTGTTTGAATGCCAGGGTATTGGTAATGCTTAAGGACATTGTAAAATTATGAGATTTTCCAGAAATCACCAGTAAAAATCCAGAGTTAAGAGACTGTGACATAAAAACTTCATAACTTTGGGTGAAATTTAGATACTAGTTCTAAATTGCATATTTGCACTATTTGAATATTCAGCATATACAGGTTGAATTATAGCTCTTTTGATGCATTACTTTTTATGAAGTCACATCCCAAATTCATAAAATAAGAATAGTTGTAAATTTTTTTTTGGATTGATGTAAAGAAAATGTAATTACATATCTTCAATCAGTGTGCAAAGCTGAATATTTCCTGAAAAAATCATGTCTCCAGGCCTAATACTAATATATTTCACTGTCGGGTCCCATGTCCTCCCCCCTTGAAGGGCCACTCATCAGGTTTGACAATATTGAGCTGACAAGCCTAATGCGTAGACGAAGCGTTCATGATGTCTGACAAAATTTGCAATGCTATGCGCCACGCAAATGGTTCAACTTTCAAGATGAATGCTGCTCTCCCTCCCTTCTGCCGGCACGCGCCCAGAGAATGAAAGCATGACGTGCCTGATGGATGGCCCTGCATACACGGCAATGCAGTGACGTTGGTCCTCTGCGCAGACGACTCTGCTCTGACGTTGCAAACAGTGGCACGTGATATGGCGAAAATGATTGAAAATGGCATGCGTAGTTTATGTAATTTGTTGCTTGAAAAAATCAATAAAACTCTGGATAAATAATGAGACGCAATAAGGGAATGTGAGCGTCTTTTTTCTGTTTTTCTCCCTCGAATGGCAACAAGATGTGGGGCTAATGTGTCGGCGTTTCGCGTGCGTTCGTGTCCCCGTGGTAGCATGCAGCAGACGACCACCGTGGAACACTCCTGCGTGTTCGCGCACTCATTGTGCTCAACTATTCTAAAATATTTAAGACAGCGTTTTCAAGCCATTCCGCAAAAACAGGCAGAAGACCACAATATAACGCTGGTCAACAAAGCAACGCTGCTCGGGGGCTGGACTTCTTTGGGGACTGTTACAGTCGCAGGGGAAAGTTCGCTGATGGTATCCCACCGCTCCCACCAGTTGTTGCGAATGGGGGTCTACCCGGTCTCTTGTGGTAGCGGGGTGTAACCGGGTGGAGGAAACGAACGCTGACAAGAAGAGGATACGAAAAACAAACAGGTTTATGGCACTATTTACACATATTTACAGCAAAGAAAGGTTAGTGGTTTCACAAACCACGAGCTTGGTGGTTGAACTGTTACATGGTTCAGAGCGACGTCCAGCACTCGGCGGCGGTGTTTTAAGCCCTGTCGGGCTCCTCCTTTTTGAGTGGAACACCAATCACACACATACAACAGGTGAGGGGGGACGGGCATGCAAGGTCCACAAGAACGTCCAATATTGAGTCGTGATCGCTGCACTGCAGGGTGTCGCCAGCGGAGCTCTTCCTCGTCGTGTGTGTGCCGCTAGTCGAGAGGTCCCAAGCTCCTGACAGCATACATCAAAGGGTCCGCCGATATGTTCAGCCAATTAGCGGGGCGATTCGCGGCGGCCACCACGGTCTCTCCCAAGGAAGATGCTGTCTTTGTTGTCCTCTCTCCAACGGTTTACAGCGTCGTGGCGACACGACGTCTCATCCTCCGGCTAGCAGGCACAATGCCTGACGAGCATAGGCAGCCGGCCGCTCGGCCTCTTGATTGAGGATTAAAAGAGCGCCGCTCCCCCGTCAGCTCTGGCGCCGGTCACAACAGCTTCCCCCTCGCCAGATGAGTCGCCGAGGTCATTAGGCACCGCTGCTGCTTGAAGGGACGACGAAAGGGTCCGCATTTGAAAGTCAGGAACTCTCGTTTGCTTGCCGCATGGTCTGGGTAATTGCCGAAATCTTCAACAGCGTCTGGCAGACTGTGCGCCGAAAGGGCTGAGAGCCTTCCCAGTAGACCGGCTTATGCACAGTGGCGTCTGCCCAGACGAATCGCTGGGGCAAACGTATCAGCACGTCATGCACACGTCACCTCTTGGTAGGATGCCAGGGAGGGTGGGGAAGAGATTTGGGTTGCGAAAGCTACGCAGAGGAGCGGCAAGGGTTTCGAGCTCGCCTCCTCTCATCCTCGTTTTGCGTCGCTTCAAGAAACCTGTTTTCTCCGCTCGTGATGACCCGATTTAAAAATTTTTTTCCCAAAATGTTCCTCATCGGACACCCGACTACTTCCACTGCTGAACTAAAATTTGTTATGGGGCCTGGTGAGTGGCCCTTTAAGGTTTTTCTTATTGCTAACTTGTGCACCGGTACGGGTGATAGGAATTGTCTGAAAATTGCTTTGTAGCGGCAACCTTTTTTGTTTTCTGCGTTGTGGCTATTGTGTACAGCCGCTTTCAGAGATGATTGATAAGCTACCATGGCACTTGACTGTTACAGCATGGCCCAGAATCTACTCAACAACCCTGAGCTGCTAAAGCAGTTGCAGCAAATGCAGCAGACATTGCAGCAGCAGTCGTCAGAGGCACTGCGGGCCCAGGAGGCCGCCTCCTCCAGCGTGAAGTCCCCGCCGCCGCCGACCTCGACGGCTCCTGTGCACTCCTCCCTGCCTGCGGAGACCTCTGTGAAGCACGATGGGAGCGGCAGCCAGCGGCTAGCGTCACCTAGTTTGCCACCACTGCCCCCAGCATCCCAGTTACAAACGCCCAACAGCAGCCATGCTGCTGTGCAGCAGACTACCCAGCTGGCCAATGCACCTGCACTCGTCACACCAGGGTATGGCGGTCCGCCAGGAGCCCCTGTACTTGCGCAGGTATTTCAGGACACTGTGAGTTTACCATACTGTGCTTTCATAGTTTTGCACTCTGAATAGAACTTACATTTGCACACTGTAACAAAACCTTGCTTACTTTATCTGCATAATAATAAGTGGCATTTACTCAAGTAAAGACTGTATACAGTCGAATCCCTCTATAAGAAATGTTGCTTCAACGAAATTTCCGCTACATCGAAAAATTCTTGGTTCCCTGTAAGCAGTGCATAGAAGTCAAATGCATAAATGCTTTTGCCACAACGAACATTTTTTCCTTCTACCATTCCGCTTCAACAAAATTTGACAACAAATTCTAGGCGGGTATATTTAATCCCGGGAAGTAAAGACAATCTTGAACATTTTGATGCATTTTCAGAACATAAATTATGTCTATTATGTGTAAAATACGCATTGGCACCACCAGACCACAACCATTTATTAAGCATAGGGGCTGCCGTTCCGTTATAGCAATTGCAATGAGACTGCCCTACTTATGCGTTCAGCTTGCTTTGAGCCACAGAAAATCCGTTGGTGAAGCTCAGTCTTTCGATTCATTGAGTTTTGTTCACGCTCCCGGTAGATGCAACCACTGAAGAATGTGTTTTCAATGCCAATGCTTCTGGTTCTTTTCACGCTTGGCCTGTGTGGTCAATGGTCACAGCGACTGTTCGTTTGTGTTGTCAACCAAATCAGCCAGCCATGACTAGTGGAAGATTAGAATAGCATAAAATAACGCATAAGTCACCGCTACACGATACCATGGCTCCATCTCGGCGTTCTCGAATTTTGGCGGCGGACAGCTGCTGGCGTTAGCATGTTAGTCAACTGTTAGGTTTGTTCACCATAGCTGTTATGGCCATTGTTTCTGTGTTCTTTTCAACGTGGCCTCATTATGCATGTGTGAGAATAGCATCGTGACCCTGGTTGGAAAGAAAAGGAAGCAGTGAACACTTTTGATTTTTGGATGAATGTTCTTAGTTTGCTAGCTCAGGTCAGCTATATCTTTCGATTTAATTACAACGAAATTCTCGCTTCAACAAAGTTTTTTCTGTGCCCCATCAGTTTCGTTGTAGCGGGATACGACTATTTTTTTTTTTTTCCCTATAAGCTTAAGTATGGAAGGCTAGTCGTTACAGGGACCCTGAGACGGTTCTGATGATTTTGTACAAACACATTGGGCCAGTAGACCAGGTTCCAAGGGTCATTTACAAATTTGAGCGCTTTGCGTAAACTGTGTAATTTATTGCAATGGTACAATGGGAGACATAGTACTTGGAGCTTTTTTTTTCCTTAACAAAATTTTATATAGGTATATGTATTTTCTTATGCCGACTTGAAAAATGTATTCTTTTCCCTGTGACTCGTTTAGTATTTGAAGTAATCAGATACTATTCGTAATAATTGATGTGGCAATACATAAAAATAAGGGTGAAAGGCAGAGTGGAGGAAGAGGGTACTTGCTTATCATGTGTAGATTCGTTAATACGGAGTATTTTAATAGAATTATGGCGCCAATGATTCGCTCCAGTAGTGGTCTAATCAAAAACGGAATGTGAAAAAAAAAACATTTCAGGGACTTTTAATGCAGGCTCTGCCTGTTCGTTTTGCGAGGTCTTGCCTCGAATAAATGCTGTCGCAACCAAGACTTCACACACATATACGCGTGCACACACACACAAACACACATATGTGTGTTTATATATCGGGCTAGGATATTCATTAATAGTCGCAACTAATTTTTCAGACTTCCAAAGGGGGGAGGCTATCCTAGAAAGCGAACTTTATTTTTTTAAGATATCTTGATGAAAATCTTAGGGTATGTTCACTACATTAAAACTTGAGAAACTGCAAAGTTTCATAAATATGTGTTCAGCAGTTTCAGCGTTTCTGAAGTCTTCACTGGGTGGTTCACTTGTGTGTCTGAAAAAGAGCCCGAAGAAATCCCAGGGCATACCAGAACGCTGAAATTATTTGTGGTCATACCTGGATAGAGTATCCTAGGGCGCTAAAGAGCCATTTTTTTTCAATTTCTCCTCCAAAAAAAATTCAGTTCAACTTTGAATTTGATGTAGGCAGTAATGATGACGTTTATTAAAAATTGATTGTGTAATATTAATTAATGCACCAATTTCCAAGAAGCTTGCTAGACAATGGCAAAAATCATCCAGGAATAGAATAAAAAAAAGTGCACACAAATATGATAAGCAGTTCATTAGAAATTGCTTTCCTCAGCATCACAACTACCTAAAAAATTTATTTTGAGAAAATGGGCTTTGAAAGTTGAGCACATGTGTTTTCCTCAAAAAGCTGCAGCAGAGTAGCTTGAAGTATTCTTATGCACTCTTTTTCTCTTTTGTCTTCCCTCCATGTTCTTTAAGTGCCGTTTGGAATTTTGTTCAGACGTAGAGCATATTTTTGAAGTGCTGGCTGCATCAGTTCAAATTTTTTTTGCGTCGCTGTCATAGATTCGAGTTCAGCGCAAACAGCGTTTTGACGTCTCGCATTCGCATCTATTTCTTCCTTAGGAAACGCGTATGCAGATGAAGGGTTGATGGCCCATGCACGATCGATGGCCTCCATGCAGACAAAGTGCTGGGTCTTGCAATCTCAGCAACACTCGTTGTGACGCTCGATGGCACAGATTCAGAGCATGTGCTGGATATGACTGTCTCGGACATGCTCTATGCATTCGCGGCTCCAGGTACACACGGTGTGTCTGATTCGGGACTGGTGGCAGCCGACAGCACAGTTTCGCCGCTGCAAGCATCTACGCACTGGGCACTTGCAGCAGAAAAGCGGAATTTCGATTCTCGTAGAAATCACATAATGCGTTTCCGTGCTACGAACTTGTGCATAGTCTTCAGCTTCATTGCCGGCATCACGCGCAGCAACAAAGATAAAGGGCACAGAACTTGTGCGAAAAAAAAAAAAGAAGAGAAACTGATCAAAAATACAGCGCAAAGCAAAACGCGGCTCGTAAACAGGCGTCTGTCGAGGCGGACGAAGCAGAAAGCAACAGTGAGACGAGCATGTCGGACGGGCTATTGCCGTGAAGGATCGCCCCTGCTTCCAGCGCAGTAGCCAATGACGGGCGCACTTTCGCCCGCGAGGTTTGAATGTGCTGCTCCAGCCAATCAGCGCTCCAAATTGCATCTTGGGGAAACGCCGATAGCATCTGAACCGCGCCGTTGACGCCATTTTGAAAGGTGGAAAACGAGAGAGAATTCACAATCAAGACAAGACCAAATTAGTGCGGGATGGCTGCATTCATACGCTCCTTCAGCAGCGCTGTACCCTTATGGGAATTATGGGAAGTACAGTCGAGCCCGCTTATAACGAACCCGAGTGTGACGCGGCATTCGTTTGCTGTATCCCGAAGTTCGTAGTACAGTGAAAGCTCGTTAATTCACACCTCATTAATTCGAAATTTTGGATAATTCGAGATGGTCGCCGCAGTCCGGTCCGCACAGTGCATAGGAGACCATGTGTAAAACGATTCGTTAATTCGAACAGATTGCTGCCTCTACGGATAATTCGAAGCGCGCGCCGCCAAGCGTCGTCATCGACAAACACTAGTAGAAGCTTTTACGGCCGAACGATAGGTGGCACGACCGGTTTTTTCGAGCTTCAAGTGACCTCCGAGCAAAGGGCGAGCAAAGTATGGCCTCGAAAATCCAGGGAGCAATTTTTTTTTTTTTTTTTCGTATCCCTACTTGTATACGCGGGACCTGCGGGACGCTGAGGAGTCGGCGGAGTAGTCCTAGCAGTCCTAGGCCGCACCCGGCAGCGTCACTTTGTTCCTCGAGCACGTTGTTCGTTCACGCCGTCAAGCCGTCTTATTCCGCATCGAAGTTGCAAGATGCCGCGGGGAAACTACTGGGCGAAGACTGTCAAGGAGAAGGTAGAGATTTTGCGAGAGGTTGACGAAGGGAACTCGAGCAAATACGAAATTGCGAGGAAGCACGGCATACCTCCGAGCACGTTGCCAACCTACATACGCAACAGGACGACCATTGAAAACGCCTATGAAGCCGAGGATTTTGGCACCAGTTGAAAAAGGCTAAGGACAGCGAAGTTCCCGGAACTGGAGTCAGTTTTGATTATCTGGGTTAAAGAAATGAGAGCCCAGAGTATCGCATTGAGCGGCCCTATCATCATGGCCAAGGCAGCCGATTTCGCTCTGCGCTTGGACATTGTAGACTTTGTCGCCTCCGAGGGATCGGTTCATCGTTTCAGGGAGCGGCACAATCTCGTACTGCGCACGTTATCCGGCGAGGCAAAGGAAGTGGACGCCGAAGCGTGCGCTACTTGGAGAAGCGACACCCTCCAGCAGTACTTGGAGAGCTACTCACCACAGGATGTGTTTAACGCTGACGAGACAGCGTTATTTTTCAAGTTGCAGCCAGACAAGACGATCACCTACAAGGGAGACAGCTGTGCCGGCGGCAAGCGCAGCAAAGAGCGTGTCACTGTTCTGGTCGCCGCAAATATGACCGGTACAGAAAAGGTCCCCCTTTTTGTGATTGGCAAAGCACTCAAGCCACGGTGCTTCAAAAACATTCGGTCACTGCCGACTGAGTACATCGCAAACGAGAAAGCGTGGATGACAGGTGACTAATTCAGGAAGTGGCTACTGAAATTCGACAGGCGAATGGAACTGGGCGGCAGGCGCGTTCTTCTTGTCGTTGACAACTGTTCGGCGCACAAAGTCGACGTTGAGCTGAGAGCAACAAAGTTAGTGTTCCTTACAGCAAATACGAATGCGGCCCTACAGCCAATGGACCAGGGGGTAATAAGGAACATCAAGTGCTTTTATAGGCGTCACGTGCTGGAAAGAATGATGTTGTGCCCGGGCGACAGGAAGGACTTCGGCATTACGCTGTTGTTAGTGCACGCATGAGAACAGGTGACCGCGACCACAATTGCAAACTGTTTCCGCCACAGTGGATTTGCAGCTGGAAGTACGCAGAATAGTTGTGACGTCGACGTGGATGGGGCTGAGGAGCTCATGCCAGTGGCATTGCGTGACACTCTTCGGGGCGTACGTTTTGCCGATTATGTTGAAGTTGACACCGGTGCATCGGTGTGTGGTGCCCTGACTGATGAGGACATTATCGCTCAAGTAGCCGGTGCGCAGCCTGTTGCTAAAGAGCCAGAAGGTGAGGAAGACGAAAATGACGAAGCGCCTGTGCGCTCGTCAGCTTCTGCGGTGATGGAGGCACTTAATGTGGCGCGTCTCTTCTTCAACTTTGAAGAGGGTGAAGAGGATTCCCTGCGCTGCGTCAGCATGCTGGAACAGAGAGCCGCAGCTGTGGCATTCAGAGAAAAGAAGCAGATGGTCATCGCCGACTTTTTTTTTTTTTGGCCAATAAATATTTTTCGCGCCCCCACCCCCGAAATCCACCCATTTTTGCTCACTTTTATTATTTCGAATTTTGTTTAATTCGAAATTGCTCAGCGTTCCCATGGAATTCGAATTAACGAGCTTTTACTGTAAATAAAACACAGCTTTTAAAAAAGTTGCGAGTGAGAACACAGACATTTTTGCCCCAAAAAAGTTTGTGATGCTCGTGTTTCAAAGAGCAGAAGTGATAAGGGCAGTCTCGAGATCCTTTAAAACAATACCTGCTTGACCGTGGAAATAATCATTATTTCAATGCCACAAAATCGCTTTGTAACGAATGTCTGAGCGCTGCCGATAGGTTGAAGCGAACGGAGTCGGCGCTCTGGTGAGTTCCTGGAAAACTACTTTGAACCGTCGGTAAGCCATCGGCAAGGCCCATGGACTCTGCTTCCGTAGCCCTCAATTTGTCGCTGTGCCCGGCCGCTTTTTATTACACACCCATTTGTCCATTTTACACCCGCTACTCAGTCTGAGCACCCTGCGTCATCAGACAAAGCCTGCGTTTTCAAACTGCCACCGATTTTTGGATTACCACTCGACTGACTTGTCTCCCCTCACTTTCTGATGGCTGGTCTTGTTACACTTTCGTTGGAGTCGCTGGCCGAGTGACCAGACCATTTGCCAACATCATTGGCTGCTGACTGTACCTGATTGTCTGTGTCTCCAGTGTCTGCATTTCTGCACGTGTGTGGAAGCATAAAAATGGCGGTTACACTGAACAAACAGCAAGTCATCAAAGTCCGTGGGACTGTGCAAGCCCACCGGCGCGGCAACAGAAGTCTTTGACCTTTGCACGTGCATACCACTGCCCCAAGTTTTCTATGCATGACTTTCACATTTCGTGGACGTTTCAAGCAAGCTACCCGACCTTCTTTCTTCTCGCATGCCTTTGTTTTCAAGGTCGCCTTCGCACCGTACATAGCACAGCTTGTAGCAACACGACAAAATGTATCACGCTCGCTTCTAAAGACGGCGAAATCAAGCAAGCTTCGTCACACATGCTGTAGACGGAAACACACAACAAAATGTTGCCGCTAGCACGTTTCTGTGGCAAAGGCTCACGGCAACACGCCGCTAAAGAAAAAGGTCTTTCACGACCATGTTGCCTACTCTTCACGATCAGCGACCACGAGCTCGACTACCTGGGCAGGGAAAACTCGGCGCACATGGACTCTCAATGAGTGTAGCTCAGTGTTGTATGACCATGCATGAACGCACCGCACTGCTCTTCGGTCAAGCCTGTTAAAGGGACAGCATAAGGTAAGCATTCGTGGCTGGCGTAAGGCACGGTCAGTGCAATTTGGTCTGTCCGACCAAACCTTAAAACAAAGGAAGTGGTGTAAGGGAAAAATTTACCTTACACTGTTCAGAGAGAGTCTCTTCCTGTTGCGCGTGAGACATCTCATGACACTTGCACGCGGCGCCACCATCGAGATCCAGCGCCGGGTGTGGGAGGCTAATGTCACCCCTGCTCACCCATCACCATAGGGTCGCTGAGGAGCGAAAAGACGTGATCGGATATGTAGATGGCAGAATAGGTGCGAGACTTTACGCATTGGTGATAGGCAAGCCTCATTGCCTGCAGGGTTTTTTGCATTAATAAGCTTGGGTGGATCAAACTTTGGTCGATTATGTTCGTAAGTATATTGTAATGCACTTAGGCTCCACTTATGAATTAGCAAGACTGTTATGCCATTAAATAATTCTTTGGTTATCAGAATCTGATGATGAGTCAGATTAATGAGTGGCATGTTTAATTGGCCATGCTGAATCATCTTGGGTGGCCTTTGTTTGAAATTTTGCAACAGGGTAGTGTTTTCCACGTGTCCCTGTCAACTTGCTCATTGCATGCTTTGATTGTGTCTGTGTTCAGGGTGCCTTGTACCCTCCGGTGGCATCCATGGGTGGCATTGGCTTTGGTGGCGTGGTAGAACCCACGGGAGGTTTTGCGCCCCTAGCTGCTGGCCCTGCTCCTGTCGACGAACAACCCCCCACATCGGCATCCATGGAGACCGGTGCGGCATTACCTTCATACATGAGTGGTGGCGACTTGGACGAGCGGTGTGGTGTTGTCCTAGGCCCTGGAGGCCGTGACATGGACCTCCGCACAGCAGGCGGGGGCCTACCCTCTCCAGGACGTGACAGGTTGGTAATTTGTCATAGTTTACCCACAAGTACTGCTTTCAAAGCGAGAACCAGGAAGTGCTTGCTACTTTCAAGACAACTGGCTTATCAAACCGTAGCCAGTTCTACTATGTGACATTTGTTCAAAATGATTTTGTTCATTTCATTTACCCACCACGGCGGTCTAGTGGCTAACGCACACGGCTGTTGACCCCTCAGGTTGAGGTCTCGCATCCCGGCCGCAGGGGGCTGCATTTTCGATGGTGCCTAGACTTAGGTGCATGTTAAAGAACTACAGGTGGTCGAAATTTCCGGAGCTTCCACTATGGCATCTCTCATAATCGTATCGCCTTCTTGGGACGTTAAACTGTAACAAATAATATATAATATGTTAATTTCATTTTAACATGCCCAAAAATTGCATTTTCTCTCTCATCATTTTTGCGTTCCCTGTGCCCTTCCGCACCTATCAGCAAAGTTTGGCTTTGAAATTGCACTAATTTCTCAAGTTTTAACCCATAAAGAGAGCACCTCCGCAGAAGCGGACCTCTAACTTGAAGTGTAAACTAACCGTACTTCAACCGCCAACGGCACCCGAACTACGCACTCCACCAGCACTATTTTATGTTTTGTTGGAAAGGTCACATTTGTAGCTTTTTTCTTTTTTCCAGTAGATAACTATGTGTCCCTCGCAAAAGCAAAAAAATCGAAGTCAAAATTCCGCACAGCGCATGATTCTATTGGTTGCTTGATGCACGTGACCAAAATGGCGCTTCCCGATTGGCCAGGAAAAGTCGCTGGCCAATGTCTGCCGCCATTTTGAAAGGGTATCGCCCTTGCGAAGGTGCCGTGACTCGTATTTCTAATGTGCTTGTGCGTCTCGCTATGCCTGGAGGTGCGAAAAAGTTCCAATTGCAGCATCGTTTTCGCCATTCACGGAAGAAAGACAGAAAGCCCATTGGGGCTGCTACTGTGTCGCGGGAGCAAGCGCCGACGTTGTTTGATAACGCTGTCGTAACTGAAGACATTTTCTCGTGAGTGCACAGCGTAAATGCTGGCCGCCCATGTAATGAATATGTTATCAATGGAGGAGTGTGTGAGACGGCTTCTCCGGATAGCGGACGCTCTGTGAATTATGACCGTGCCGATGCTATCGGCAACAGTGAAGTGCACGTAGACACTGGCCATCCTGGCAGCGTGCACTATGCTGACTCTGGTTGTGTGCGGGTAGACGCTGATGTGATCGATGCCGGTGAAGTTCGCGACGCGCGTGCTTGTGAGACAACCACGATGCTTGAGGGTCTTTTGACGGTGTCGACAACAGTGCTAAGAATTTAGCGCTTTTTGGAGTCAAGTGGTGCGGCAGCAAGGCTAGATGCCAGCAAGGCAAGACTCAGAATTCACACCAAAGCCTCCAATCCGTGATTTGGAGTTAGGTATCAAGAGAGCAGCACGCTTCTCTTTTTGCTGTGGAAGCTGCTGCTGCAGAAGCTGTGCTGTGCTTCAACATGGGCAATGTCAATACATTTGCTGCAATTCTAAAGCAGCTGGACATCACGATATTCAGAAGCACATTCCTGAGGGCTAGGGAGAAGGACAGTCGTCAGAGTGCAACCTCAAATTGAGAGGCGTCCCAAATTCTGACAAAGCTGGTCAAAATAAATAGAGAGAAGCGTCCCAAATTTTGAGAAAGCTGGTCAAGAAGAAGCATGAGGGTGAGATGCATGCAGAATATGCCCCTGGTGCATTTTCATAAGATTTTATTTGTAGTTTTTCAATGAAGGGGTTTTGAATCGTTCTTTCTTGTTTTCTCAAAGCATTAATTTTGGCGCATTTGCCAAGTTGGTGGGAAAATAACTTCTGTTCCATTCGAGCTATCAGCATAATTCTTTTTTTGCCAGAAAGATAAATGCACGCAGTATGCAATATGCCTATTTTGACGGCAATATACCAATCAAACAATTTTTCAAGGGGAGAAGCGGGTCTGTGAGACTGAAAATTGCAAAAAAAATTTGATTTTTTGAAAATGCTTTATTTGGATTCTCCCACTATTGCTACATAATCTAGCCAATTTTCAGGTGTCCTAGATGGGTAATTTAGCCATGAGAGTAGTTTCTGTGACGTTAGTGAGTTGAATTTTGGCGATGGACGCATGAAAAACGGGCTTTTTCAACGCCGCGGTGTTGCCGTTCTACGTTTGCTACAGCAGCCGTCTTGGTCGCATTTGAAAGAGCCGCCCTTTTTCTTTCATATCCTGCCGCGCTTGTTTTCGTCCACTCAGTACGCACGCCGTGAACCGGCGTAAGAAAAAAAAAGCCCCCTCACGTGAGCCTAATGGTGTGGTGAGCACACGTGACTAAATCGCGCCTTTTGATTCGCCCGGCTTCCCGAGCTGTCTGCTGCGTGCGGCAGCGGACCGCACGCAAAGAGGTGAGTGTATGTCACTTTGTTCTCGTCGGCCTCCTGAACTCGCGTGAGCTAGAGCAAGCATCTCTGTATAGTCTACGTTCGACGGTATATTGGTACGGCCCTGAATGAGCTCGACGAAGCCGCCGGGACAGTGCGAAAGGCCTACGCTCCCGGCCGCGTTTTCCCGAGCTGTCTGCTGCATGCGGCAGTAGAAACGCACGAGAAGCGGCGAGTGTATCTCGCTCACATGTCATTGTTCTCATCGGCTTCCTGAACCCGTGCGAGCTATCGAGAAATCGGAGCAAGCGTTTCTCAAGTCTGCACATTCAGGCACGCCGCCGAACCAGCCCGACGAAGCGCGCTGCAGCCACCGGGCAAGTGCGTTAGGCGTGTGTTAGGCCTACGCTCTCGGCCACATTTTGAACCTGGTTTGAACCTTTCATCATGTCAAAGCCGTATCGCAAGTTCCCCACTGCTCACAAGTTTAGAAAAAAGCGCAAGAAATCCACGGCAAAAAGAGATGATGGCGCGGGTATATCTGACGCGTACATAGTACAGGACGGCGCGGCGAGGGAACACGATCTGTCGGATGAAACGCCGACATCTCCGCCTGTTTTCCCGGCCGTCCCAGACGACGTTGGCGATAGGCAGCGCATAAGGAAAGGCACAACCTTTTTGACGAGCGTCGATCGTGCGCAATGGCAGAAAGTGAGTGCTGATAAGATCAGCAGCTTATCGGCAACTTCAGGGAGCGAGAGCAAGCTGCGAACGCACGCCACAGCGCGCAAGGACTCGGACCCGTCGGCGGCTACCTACGGGATCGTCGACTTATCCGCGATAAACAAGCTTCATGAGAGAACGGCTAAATGCCAGACATGCAGCGGGACCATTTCTATTGAAAAAGGTGAGCAAGAATATGGACTTGCGATGAAGCTGATTTCAGAGTGCCGCAACTGTAGACTTGTTGACAGTGAGTGGAGCTCTAGGAGAGTACCCAGCCAGGCTAAATGCGCTGCATTTGAAGTGAATATTCGTGCGTCTCGTGCCGTGCATAGTACAGGGAATGACCAGGCTGCCCTAAACGACATCTTCTCTATAATAGGAATTTCTCACAGGGGACTTCACCACAAAAGCTATCAGGGCCATTTGAAAAATAAACTGAATCCTGCGGCAACAAGAGCTGCAGACAAGGTCCTCTCTGATTGCCCCATGTCAGTGAAAACATTATACAGAGATCTGTGCTTTGACAACCCAGGTAATGTGGCCATCTGTTATGATGGCACGTGGATCACCAGAGGTCACCTGTCGCACATTGGTGTGGGTGTTATACAGCTGTTTTCTGGCTATGTTTTAGACTATGTTGTCCTGTCAAATTCTTGTGCTGGCTGTAAGCGCGCACCACCAAAAATGCACCCAAATTGCTTGGTTTGGGAGTCCACGCACATCTGCCAGAAAAATGAGCAGTGCAAATCAGGACACATGGAAGTTGAGGCAGCAGTCACTCTCTTTGAGCGCTCAATTTCCCGTCACGGCTTGTGGTACACAGTGATGCTGTGTGATGGGGACTGTAGATCATTCCGTGCTGTTGATGACTCGACAGTTTATGGTTTCATACAAGTTCAAAAAAGAGGACTGTATAAACCATGTCCAAAAATGAATGGGTACCGCACTACGCAGTCTTGTTCAAAAGCACAAAGGTTCTCGCGAAACACTAAAAGGAAGAGGCCGCTTGACAGGTGATTTCATAGAGAAATTGTCGAGATACTATGGCTGGACGATAGTTACAGCGCGAGAACAAAACGACAAAACAGAGACAAAAAGGACATGAAAGACGCGAGCGCTATGTCATGTCCTTCTTGTCTCTGTGTCGTCGTTTTGTTCTCGCGCTATAGCTATCGTCATGCCATACCAAATAGCCCAAGCTGCCACAGTATGGCTGGGCTCTGAAGTCCAATGTTGGTGATGTAGATGCAATGCACCAGGCAGCCATGGCCACATATTATTATGTGGCGTCGACCGATGAAAAATCCGACCACACCTTTTGCGCAAGTGGCAGTGACTCATGGTGCAAGCAGAATGCTGCTGCTGCTGCAAGGGGAGAACCGCTGCCAAGACACACCTACAGCTTCCCACAAAATGTCCGTGATGCACTACTTCCAGTCTGCGAGTGACTTTGCGACAAGGAGCTGCTAAAACGCTGCCAAAGAGGCAAGACACAAAATGCAAACAAGGCACTCCATTCTGTCATATGGTCTCTTAATGCCTAAACAGAAGCATGATTCACTCATAGCTGTTCAGACTGCAGTTGCTGAGGCCGTGATGCACTTCAATTCAGGAATGAAAGAAGGCCCCATACGTATCCTCAAAGAACTTCAGCTACAGCAAAACTCCATGAGCAAGCGACAGGCAGAAGAGAAGGATTCTCGTCGGATCATGAGTGCCGAGCGAAAGCGTTCATCATCTTCCAGGTTCCTGCAACAAGCAAAGCGGCGGCAACGACAAAAGTGTGGCAAAGACTCCTGCCCTGGTGCTTTCCTGAGGAATTTATATGCAAAGAGAAGCATTTTTGTTTGTGTAAGATTCCTTAAATATACAGAGCTTTTTTTTTGCCA